AAAAAAGAGGTAGTTGGAACGCAGTGAAAGCAGCAAAGAGGAAGACGCATGTCGGTGTCTGATGTATAATAAATGACCTCTGGCTGGTGCCATGGTCTTTCTCTCATCTTCTTTCCGTTTCTGCCTCCTCCCTTAATCCCTCTACGTGCCTCTTCCTCTCCCTCGTCACATTTATCTTCCCGTTTTCTCAATCATCATTCCCTTCTATTTTCTGTCGTTCCGTTCTTCATCCCCACGTCCTTCCTTTCAGCTCGAGGAGATTCCTCACGGCAAAAATGGTCCAAGCAACGTACCGGGTTTACATGATATTCTCCACCACTGAAATGTGCACTAATAAATCCATGTCTGCCTGTTTCGCCTCAATATGTCACTTACCGTGACCGTCGGCCGATGAAACAGTCCACAGGAGATGCTCTACAGCATATTGGAAGCTTTTCTTTTCGTTATTATCCTTCACACAAAGCCTAACCCCGTTGCACAATAGGGTTCCTCGGAGAACCGACGAGACACGTGTTTTTTAAATTGGTCCATACGTCAGAAACAAAAGAGTTTAGCCAGATTCTCGTTGCGCTGGAGAGAAAAACCTCTCATGCACTTAAACATGATCCGGCTGCAAGATGAAAACACCTCCTTCTATTGAGAAAACATGTTGCCCATGGAGTTTCAGTGTTGGAGGATTTTCTTCCACTGGGTGATTGTGATTCCATTGTGATCGTTTTTTGGTTTACCTGTGACCCTGATGAGGAGCTCTGAGGTTCCTGGTCAACTCAGTCTCACAGGAAGACGTGTAATAGCTACGATGTGGACCAACGTGGTATTGTCACGCTTTTGCGGAGAAAGCGTGACAATACAACGTTTTAGTTGCAACTAGGTCACGTGACTATTAATTTCCCCTCAGCTAAAAACAGAAAATGGCGGACTGTCGGCCTATTATCTGTAAAAAACACAATATTTTAAGAAAGCACCAGCATTTGTATGCATTTCGATGGCATTTCTAGCGAGAAGTATGAGTTATATTTTCATAATCTTCTATCAGAGAATGTAGAAGACCTTCCGTTTATTAGTTTCTAGTGATGTACTTGCAAGGCAATGTAAATGAATGTGCCAAAATAAAACGTAGTATTGTCACGATTTTGGGGAGAAAGCGTGAGAATACCACGTGTATTTCACGTTTTGCTGTGAGACTGGGTTGTCCTGGTTCCGGCTTGCCCGATGGCATCTATCTCAGTTATTAAAAAGTTATTTGGTTTGAAACCCCCGGTCTGCATTTGAGTCCTCCTTCTGCTGCTGACACCTGACACATGGTCTGTATGATAAACAGCACAAAGACAGGGAACAGCTAATGTGGAATTGGAGGCAACATCACATGACCATGTTCAAACAACCGCAGCTTTGGACGCTTTCTCAGTTACCCACGTTCATATTGTGCATGCGTACGCACATTAACATGAGGCCGGTGTTTCTGCACTCTCGGCTATGGCTACTTCCTGCGCCGCACTGTGTGACAGATGGCTGCTCACTGACAGATGCATGAGCTCAGGACCGTCCGTCCGTCCTCCGGAGCCGGCCGGCCGGCCAGCCAGCCAGCCAGCCAACCAAAGGGCCGCGAGTCAGCTCAGCGCACTAAGCCGATCTGTTGCCCCGGCAACAGCTATTTCGGCTCCACCTTACACATTGCCGGGGTCAGATGAAATATTGGTAGCTTTTAAAGGGGAAGCTTTGCAACGTTTCCGGTGTTTGCGGATCTCACAGGCACAGACAAGTTATTCTTTTCCAACAAATACTCTGAAACTGTCATGTTTTTCATGTCGTCGGCCTCTGGGGCGCTTCTCAGTTTCACCCCTCCTCCTTCTAGCTCTGGATGTTTTGCTCTGCAGAGGTGGAAGGAGAGGAGAGGAGGGGAGAAGAGGGGGTGTTGCCTCCTTTGGTGAAGCAGCAGCTTGGAAACTCATCTGGTAGTAATAAGGTCCCCACAAGGCTACTGTGACTCACTCGCACACACCCACCAAACTATTACGGGATTATTTAGTACGCACGTACGGTCATTACACTCTGTGACCATGCAAGCAGCTAAACACACACAACCTGGGGTGCACCACCTTATTTCACCCAGAAAAGAAAATACACCTTTATCCTATATTAGATAGTTGAAACCTCACTGTAAACCGTATATATACTTTAATTACAGGCAATGAGAGAGGGTTGGACAGGAAACATTGACGCGAACCCAGACGTGCATTAAAGCCAAACGGAGTCCCTTATTTTAACACTTACAGTATGCATTCTCATGGTGATGCAACGAGCAGCTGGTTGGTTTGTTTTAAGGGGCTCATTAGATTGGAATATGCATGATAAAATGTCAAATTTAGGGATTGAGTGGTAAAGTTACGGATTCATTTCCATCACCAACCCCGCATGATATGTTTTCGCGGCCGAACAGCTTTTGAAAAGGTGAGTCTCCAACGAACGGCAGTTTCTGACATCTAAACAGCTAGAACATCATTATGCCGTGATTCATTTCTGTCCACATAAAACTTACGTAAAGTGAGAGGAACATACAGAGATGTTTGTGTTTGTCTCCATCACAGACAGCTGGAGATGATTCAGGCCTTCCCTCCATTTCCAGACTTTGAGTTGCAGGTCCATCCAGCTTCCTTTAAAGCCGTTTATGTTGTCTGGAGATTTCTTTCAGATTTTTTCATTTCATTTTTTCCTGTCGTCATTATCGTTTAAATTTCATGGAAATCCGCTAAAAGGGTATTTTTCCTCTATTTGGGTCACGACTGTAGAAAAAGGCAAAGGTGCATTAAATATAAAACAGCTGGCGGAGGTGGTGGTGTAAAAACCTTCAAATTTAAGAAAAGTCTCCCATTTGCTTTCTTCTCCTACGGTTTCAACCGACATGCGGTCCAGTCCTGACAGTATGAAGCAGTGCGATGGAGGTGATGGAAAGTCATAACCTACATGAGGTCTACTGAGCAGTGTGGAAAATCAAGACTTCATTTGATATTCAGTCAAAGACTTCCTCTCCGGATTTGGAATATTTTCTCTCTCACATCTTGCAGCCAACGCTGCTGACACACCGCCTGGACAGATTGGAAGCGGTGATCATTCAAAAACGCATCCCAATAATCTGCGTCCTCATCCGACGCGTTCTGGATGTCTTTTTTTTCTTCCCTTTCCAGCATCACGAATCGGAATATGCGTGAACAGATCTTTATCAACCAGCAAAATGGCCGCTTTGCACGGCTGATCCCGCAATCTATCATCTGTGTTTCCTCAGAAGTGATGCAGCAGCATCACCCCCCCACCACCCCCCCCACCTCCCTCCATCCCACCGTGCGCACAACACCTGCGCTCCTCCTCCACTATCGTCCTCGGGTCATTTACAGTCACACACAAGGGTCGTGTCTGAAAACAAGCCTCACATGCAAAACAAGCTCATCAGCAGGCTGCGATGCGCAATAGTGCGTAATGTTTTTGTGTTATCACAGCGTGAGGCGATGGGCTCCTATAGTGAAGGAAAGGGGAGTGCAGGGTGTGTGTGTGTGGGGGGGGCAGATTCACCGCAGTATTAAACAGACTTTTCTTTTCCTTTTTTTCGTTGGTAATTCTATGCGTAAAACTGACCAGGCTCATGCGTCCCGGGGTTGTCGGACATCTCCAGCACCAGCAGCTCGCGGCCCTCGAAGCTCTCCCCGATGGTGTAGATGCGGCTGATGGTCGGACACTGCAGCCAAACCGACACCAGCGCCTTGCGCAGCTCCTCGTAGCGGTGGTACTCGAAGGAGATCTCCCCGTCGGCACCGGCCGCGCCACCGGCCAGGGCGACCGCCGCCGCCCCGAGGAAAACCACCGATGTGAACAGTTTCATCTCGAAGTGTCCTCTGTATACTCACCGAGCAGAGTCTGTCCTCGCAGCCTGCAGCTTGATAACACGCCTTATCTCTGAGGTGCTGCCTCGCTTTGGGCTATAAATATCTCTCACCCTGCTGCTGCTGCTGCTGCGTCTCTCTCTCCGTCTCTCCGTCTGTGATGCTGCTCCACCTGAGCGCAGACTCCCTCCAGAGAGAGCGAGGACACATCCGGTCACAATTTTCACAATACATGCTAAGAAGAACAATAAATTGTTGGAAAATAGTGAAGAGAGTATGAATGTGAAATATACCAGTGAACAAAGTACACTAAGTGTTTCAAATTAATTAAATAATTAAACAAACAGACAAAATGTGTGCACTTTGATGAAAATGTTCAAATTAAGCTTAATATTAAGGGAATTATTATTATTTATTATTATTATTACGGGAGTTATTTCTACCTGCTTCTGTCACAATAACGAGAGCACATAAGGAACTTATGAAAGAAAGAGTTAATACATTCAATCGGTTGTTTATGAAGTCAAAAATATTATTTTCTATCTTCTGTTTGCGTCATTGACCTTTTATTCCATCTCACTGAACAGCCTTGACTGACAAAAATAACCAACCGATTACACAATAATGACAAATGTGTTTCGGAGCGCGTGGGATGTTGTCTGTTCATTTAGTCCTCCGTGGATATAAAGGCGTCGCTTCCTGTCTGGGAGCTGCTGCTGGGCGGCTTGACGCAGCAGCAGCAGCAGGGGCGTGTCCACAGTGCAGCAGAGAGAGGAGAGGAACCATCAGTATCGCCTTACTTCCATCATCGACTCCACACTTATGCACAAAAAGAGTCTGCAGAGAAGATGCGGAGATCTGTGGTGGGAATCTCAGACACGCCTGTGCATATGTCGATGGTCCACAGTGTCTTGTTTAAAGGGACACTAGAGGTGAATATGGTTTGAAAAATAAGAATAACTGAGAGAGATAGCAATGCATTATTTACGATAATGCATTTTTTCCCCTCCAATTTAAAGCGAGTATTCAATTGATTAAACGGAACTTTTTGTATCAAATTCAAACAAAACAAAACAAATCTTGTTCTAATCAGTCGATACTTGCATGATAACAACAACAAAAAAAACATATTCAATGTTTATTTGTGTAAAAATCAAGACAGCATTTATTTATTTGTACAATTTATAACAACACCCTTAACCCTTTCGCATCAAAATGTTTACATGGATTTACATCAAACTCGACTTGAGTCCAGACAATTCTAACTGAACAGCAGCTGTGACACCGAGTTACTCTCTGACTCAGTTAAACTCAAGAGGAAGCGGTAAAGTGCTCAGACATTCGGAGGTAAAACAAGCATTTCACAAGAAAGACGTTTGTTCTCGAAGCGTGCAATGACCAAGCAGAGCGACACATCAAAATGAGGATGTTGACGTTTTTTTATTCAATCGGCAGCCGTTACCAGAAGCAGACAGAAATAGTAAGGCACAGAAGAACGAAGCCAACACACTGACTGGCTTGTGTGTGTGTGTGTGTGTGTGTGTGTGTGTGTGTTTGTGTGTGTGTGTGTGTGCGCGTCCGTCCTAGTCGCTGCCTCTCCCCTGCTCCCGACGAAACAGGCCGCTGTAAGAACAAAGGCCCGTGATGGGTTCACTGCTCCTTCTTCTCTCCCTGTTTCTCCATGTACTTGTTGTACTGGTTGTCCGTCTTCAGCAGCTTGTCCCACCAGGTGAAGGTGGAGGAGTAGTTCCCGACGAAGATCATGTGGTGAAAGTCGTGGAAACGTGTGCCGCCGTAGAACGGGATGAGGTGCAGCGGGTTCAGAGGGATGTCGTAACCCGCTGCGAGTGGAAGGGGTGGGGGGGGTGGGGGGGGAAAAAATTCTTCTCTAATGAAAATGCCATAAATTTTTTGTGCCTCTCCGGGGGAAAAAAGAAAAAAACATTTTTTTTCTGTCTTACAAAAAAAATTGTTTTTCGTATGAGGCTCTCGAAATGAAGAAGATATGATTCATTTCTGTTGGTTTGGTGCTTGTGGTCAGATTTCTCATGATGGCTCATTTTATGTTGTTATTGCACTGCACATGGTTCTACTGACAATGATTATTTGTGACTTTGTCCTCTTTTATTTGATACTGCTGCATCGTTGGCTTTTTAAAAAAGAAAAAAAATAACAATATGAAAACGGTGTCGAGGCGGCCTGGAAAAATAATCCCGGAATTATTTATACTTACTCTTCTATATATTTCTTTTTTTAAATATTTTTCTTAACCCGTCCCACCCTTTGTGTTGCTGTGCTATGTTGGTTGGTTACTTGTGTGATTACATTATTATAGCGTTATTTACAATGACAGAAATTACAAAAAAAGAATGATTAAACTATAATGAGCATATTTTTCAGCATAAAATGACAATTAATCAATTTGCTTGTTTCCAAAAGCAAGTTTCAAAACTAGTTAAGAAAAAATAAAAACATCATATAAATGTGTAAGGAGTTCTGTGTGACCTGATAATGTGAAAACAACATCTGGCGCCCTGTGTGGCCCTCTAGTGGTCAACCTACTGAGTCACGGATGATCATCAGTGACGTAACTGCTGCTCTATCTCCAACACGGAAATATGCATCAGGAGTCACACTAATGAACACTAACAACGCCCTCCTGCAGAAGGACCTGCGGAAGACAAAACCGATTGGAAGATGAGTCCCACCTGTGGACGTCGATGGTCTCCAGCAGACGGAAGGACACCCAGGCCCACAGGAAGAACACGTGGTTACAGAAGATCATGATGCCGATGAAGAAACCGGCTCCCAGGATGAGAGTCTCGGCGGGATGAGCGTATTCCGCCTGCATGCCGAACGGAGCCTGAAGGACGGCGGACACGATGTGACGAGGACGTTTGTGTGTGTGTGTGTAGTTTTTTTGTTTGTGTTTATCTATTTAACCAGCATGTGTGTGATGTACTCACGGTGAACTCGTGGTGGACCTTGTGGATGTATTTGTAGATCCTGCGGTGATGCAGCAGACGATGGAGGAAGTAGTGCCAGGTGTCTTCAACGACGGCGCAGCCGAAGCACTGAGCGAGCACCAGCGGCCTGGAGGAGACGAGGAGAGGAGACAGGAGGAGATCAGTTACCTCAGATCCCACAACAACAGTAATATTGCTGATGGGAAGACAGAGGCAGTGATTAATTCATCTTGTGAAGAATTTATGGCATCGGTGGAGTTATTTTATGTTCAGGTTAAAAGACATAATCTAAAAATACACTATAGGGTTTGTGAAAAATTAAGAGTGCCCTTATTCGGTTTGGCAAAATGTATTTAAAATGAGTAACAGGTCTTTATCAGAGTCATAGTCAGAGTAAAGCTTCCACACCCTGTTTTTGACATTTGCAAATACGCTCGCGGAGCAGTTATTGAAGTATCCAAGGTGGTTTGAATACGACGCCTTCAGGTATGATTAATTGTGCTTCGACTGACCAGCGAGGCATTGAGTCCCAGTCGTAAGGGATGTTGAAGAATTCCGTGAAGTAGTAAGTCCCGCAGATCAACGGCAGCTGGATACAGAAATGGTTGAATAGCAGCATCTTGAAACATGTCCACTGCTTCTCCCAGGTCTCTGGCTTGTCCTGCGCACACAAATACACGAAACAGGAGGTCCGTTAACGGGAATATCGCCTCGCATTTATCACGCGGAAGCCTAACAAACCAAACGCACCGGTTGTATCTTGTATTTCTGCATGAAGGGCATGAACTGGAACAGGAACCCAGGCAGGCAGAACAGGAAGTAGATGACCTCGTGGACGATGAGCGACCCCCATGTGGCAATCTGGAACTTGGTGTAGTTGTCCAGCATGTAGTCCCAGGCATGTTTCAGTGAGGGCTGGAAGGGGTTCTCCGGCAAAACTGCATCTACGTACTCCGCCGCCAGGTAAGCGGAGCTCAGGATGTCCGACGTGCCGTTCACCTCCATGGTGGACAACGCAGGGTGAGTGTAGGTGAGGAGAGAAGACTGAAAGACAGGAAACACGATGATGCATGAGCAGCTCGACTTGACAAAGGATATTCTCATTTTAGTTTTCCCAACATCAAGCAGCATTTCTATTCATTTTATAGATTACAATGCGCGCACACACACATGCTATGGAATATCTATATGGAGTCAAAATAAAACCAAACACTACCAAGCCAATACATGAATATGGTTCATTCTAATGTTATTTCAACTTTCTGCCAAACAGAATGGAAGAAAAAATACTTGTGGGCCATGTAATAATTTCCACCACATGTCAACTCATTTGTATTCATACACTTGTAAAAATTGAAATAATTATCAACAAACTGCATTTAGTTCACTAAACACTATTTGAAGCTATACATGCATATGCATATATATACATATATATATATATATATATATGTATATATATATATATATTCACAAGCAACCAGAGACACATAGACTGTAATGTAAGAAGTAAGAGTAGTTAAAATAAAAATATTTTTTCAGAACAATACTAAATTAAAGATTGTAACGTAGGTGAACCAAAATTAGAATTATTTAAAGTACTAATAATGCAAAATGTCATTTTTGACTATGTTGTCTTTATACATGATTAGATCATGTGGATAATTAATCTATAATTATGCATTACATTTTATAAATAAACTGTTGCTTCTGCTCTTACAATGTGAATGCAAATGAACTAGCAAGTGTTATGAACTGTTTCTAGTAAAATATACAACAGAAATGTAAATGATTTGAGTAAAAGAATGATATGAGTAAATATAATACTCCACCACTGCAGGACTTAAATATATTTCACTATTAAAAAACACTACTTCATTGTATTGCTTTATAGCAACATACGGTGTTTAAACAATGTTTCCCAAGATCAGGTTCCCAAGGCAACAATAAATAATGTAAGAATCGATCAATTCTGCACAGAAGCATTCAGTACTTCCGCTAACACAGTAGGTGCGACAACTTAAACACCTCAATGTAACAAGACGACAAACATATCCGAACATATATAACGAACTTATATAACGTCACTAATACTCGGGACACTATTTCAGGATTATGATTGAACTGGTTCATATCACTAAACTGGCTGACATGTTGCTCCGTAGATGTAAAAAAGAAAAACAATCTGCCTCGACTCTTCATTCAAAGACATTAACAACAGATGTCGATTATTTCTGCAAAATTAAACACATTGAAACATCTCGTTTGCGGCTAACGACGCAGGTTCTCTCACCTTTCGGCCGAACGTCCCGTCTACCTTCGCCGAGGCGTGCAGGCGGGTGAAGTACACTCACGTCGAACCATCCGATTGGCCACGAGGAGAGGCGACTGACGTCGAGGGGGGAAGCGGCCTCGCTGATTGGTCCGCGGGATGGAGCGATGATAGTCAGACGCGGTGTTTCCAGAGCGTCGACCAATCAGAGGCGAGCTGCGCTTTTCGTAACCTCTGCCGTGCTGAACGAGGGACGAGGTTTTGGGCGGTGCGGAGAACTTTGAGTCATACGTGAAAGTCTTCCGTGTTTAATTTACATCAAGAGAGGCTGTGACTTCGATCAAAGAAGAGAGAATTTTCATTTAGATAAAACTATATCTCCTGTTCGTACTGTGGGTTCCTGTTTCCAGTCAACGCGCTTCCTTGTTTTGTTACGTCGTCACATTAATTTGTTACGTAACATTTCATTGGATTTTTAAAATATCAATACTGAATACTTTTTCACTAAACACATTAAAAGTTAATTCCAGTACCGTGGTAGTAACAAACTACCAAAAAACAATTCGATAAAAATTACTTCTTTCAAATCTGCACAATGAGATGTAGTATCTCTTTGAACAACATTATGTATCTGATATATTACATCAATTTTACTGAAGCATTAACATGTGAGCAGAATTTTAAAAATAGATCAGTTTAATTACTTGATTTAATGTAGGTTACTTATATCAGATCAACATACAATGAGTTTTTGACCAGCCATCAAGTAGTGAAGTAGAAAAATTAAGTGGCGTACCCAAATAAAAAATACAAGTAAGTGTACCTAGTTATTCACCAGAATGCTTTTTTTATTTCATAGAGGAGGCCAAAATATTGAATGTTGTCTAAAATAATGTCACTGAATGAATGCAAACTGGCAGAGAGGTTAAGAAGAGGATGAAACCGAGCAGGGGAATGGTAGCAGCACGACGCTAATGCTAAAATGTGAAATTTTAACAAATAAATCGCTGTAATATCATCAAAATATCACAGACGGCGTAACACATTTCAACATTTTACTGATTTGGCAAAGTTTTAAAAACAGATTATGTCATTTCACAGCTTTAAATACAAGAAGCATATTTATTAATGATAATATAAAACAAGTAATGAAACATTTTTAAAGTCAATAGCCTACATGACATTCCTCAATACACTGACAAGAAAACAGCAATACCAGTTACTATTATAGCATTATTTTTTTGCAATATAGGAGGAGAGGAAAGAGGAACAGAACATAAAGAGTAGGTTTGGTCACTTTCCAGAAAGAGAGAACAGATTAATAAAGAAGTCAAGAGAGACAGAAATGAAGACACATTTTAAAATTGGCATATTCATAGCACGGGGTGTGCAGTAGTTAGCAGGGATGCTACACCGAAGGAGGATGAGGGAACCGCTGAAGGATCGGAGACTCGAGTTTCGGGACCATGCGGTGAGTTCTGCCTGTTGTTGTTGTTGTTGTTGTTGTCGTTGTCGTCATCCTCAACAGTTTCAACCACAACAAAGATGGCTGCCTTTATGACAGTAAAGCACTGATACATCCAGCTGTTCAGCTTCTCCTATTGTCCTTCACTGTTTTTGGCAACACCGATGACTCCTCTCCTTCACCAGAGGGAAGGGTGTTGGTTTAAAACAATTTTAAAAGTACATTTCTTCTGCAAACGCTTCTCAGGGGGGTCGCGGTTCTGAATTCATGCGGGGCCGACTCAACGGATCTGGAGTCACTTCTCCAATGTATCCCGGCACAGCCGCGCTCCCTCCAGTAACAGTCCTTGAGGCGTAACAAAGGGGGAAGGAGGACGCAATTTGACATCCAGGCACTCTTGAACAGCCACACTGCAACACCGTAAGAAAAAAAAAAAAAAAAGGTCGGACAGAGCGCGTTCATGCGGCGTCGGACCGGGCGTCACCACACGGAGACTTCAGGTGCTCACGAACGCACATGCCCAAGCAAAGGAGCACCTTTTATATGCAAGCGCACACTCACAAACTCAGACACATACCGTTTCACAATACAAACCACAGGAAAAGCCAAGATTTCAGTGCCGAATCTTGTCTTCCACCCTTATGGATCTGACCAGTGGTCTCTCTCAGAGCTGCTTCCTGTTTAACACCTCTACTGGTAAAGTAGCGTTGCAGTTAAACAAGCTTCAAATCAGTTGCGCTGCAATGACACCGCAGTGGCGCTTCAAACTAGTTTGTCCGTTCGCCAGCGGCAGTCCTTTCAGGTGGGGATTAAAACACGGGTTTTCCATTCAGTGCAAAAAAAAAAAAAATCTTCATCCCCGACAGCAATCTTTTCATTTTTCTCCCTCGTCGTCGTTGCCTGTGCCGACGCTGCCCAGCATCATCCGAGCATCGGCGTCATCGACAGATCCGAGATCAGTGTTCTCAGCAGAATGCGTTCCGCTTCAAGTCGGCGGCGAGTGTCGAGAGCAGTCACAAGGGTTTGTCGATCACAGTCACACCTGCGGTCGAAAGCGGCAAAGTGAGATGTTTGCGTCGCTAATCGCCACATGTGGTACACTTGCAATGCTGCATGTTGTAAATGTGAAGTATAAATGTGAAGAAATAACATCAAAATGGCTTTCATGTCAACTAGAAGTAGTGTTGGTACTAGGAATAGTTTTTGGCAAAGTACAGGTCCTTGTATGTATACCACCGTATATATAAAACATGTAACTAATATTGAATTTGTTATGGTTTTGATACGATTCTCCAAAAGCTTCAACCTTTTTGAAAACTTGCCTCTCATGGCATTTTGCATACAAAATGCTCAGTTTCAGCACCGTGTTCATTGCGCGTCTCTCATCACACACCTGCATAACTGCGTCCCGTGCTCATGCAGGCCGGCAGCAGTGTCCACTTGTCCGAGTTTGGATTGTAGAACTCGACGGACGCCAAGTTGCAGCTGCCGTCGTCTCCTCCCACCACATACAGTACGTTGTTTACCGCACACACACCTGAACACACACACACACACACAGAATGATTAACGGGCGTCCAGTGACTCACACTCGAGGACCTCTGCTGGACGAGAGTGTCAGCGTTACCTGCGTTGCGTCGACACATGTTCATGTCGGCTACCTGCCGCCAGCTGTTCGAGGCCGGGTCGTAAACTTCACAGCTCTTCCTCACCAGCGGACCATCGTGACCCCCCACCGCGTACAGCAGACCTTTTAGCACACCCACACCTGAGGGAGGACACCACACACAATCATGTGGTCACCATTTCTGTCTGAGTATAGCAACACAATGATCTAATGAAACACACAACACACACCTGCTCCGCTGCGTCTCGTGCCCATCTCTGCGATGTAGCTCCACGCGTTGCTTTTAGGGTTGTAAGATTCTACCGTGCTGAGACATTGTCTTGTTGCACCATCGTAGCCTCCAATTGCATACAGGATCCCTGAGGAAGAAAAAAAAAAAAAACACAGTCACACAAAAGGTCCTAACTTAGAATCATAGAAACACATTAAAATATATTACGGAAGCCTTGCCGGAAATACAGGTTGGTGAAGCTCAACATTTCAAACACGTTACGTGCTGGCAAAAATAGGAATTCATTGCTGGAACATCGCTTGGTTTTTACTGAATAGTGACTTTTACAGTGACCTGGGAGAGTTGTACTCACCGTTGACCACACCCACTCCTACGCTGCTCCGTCGGGTACTCATGGGCAACACATGGAACCACTCGTCCGTCTTTGCGTTGTACGCCTCGATTGTCGACAGACCTGCAAAAGCACACGAATCCCAAAACACCGTTCACGATCACATACGACATAATTGCCTGCGTGCCTCTCACTGGGCACTGTCCCGTACCTGTGCTGCCGTCAAAGCCCCCCACGGCGTACAGGAGCCCGTTGAGCACGGCGGCCCCGAGCGTCGAGCGGCGGTCCTGCATGCTGCTCACGCTCGTCCAGCGGTCCGCCGTCGGGTCGTAACAGTCGACCGTGCGCACGCGCAGAGAGCCGTTGAAGCCGCCGACCGCGTACACGCATCCGCCGACGTACACCACGCCTGGAAGGGCAACGACACACGCGAAATACAAACACGCAAACGGCCTGGTTCAGAGAGGCCGAATGTTGAAGCAACCTCAAAAACGTAGCCAGCAGAAATTTAGACGAACGATCGTTTGCCCGAGTCACTATTAAGTAAAAACGGAAAGAAGGCCGAAAAATATGGATTTTATATCAAATGTGGTGTCAAATTGTTTTCGGGTGAACTGTGTCTACTAATAAAACCAGGAGGTTTCACGTTCCCACCAGATTTATTAAAAGTTATTCAGATACAGTATAATAAATATTAAGCATGTAGGCTTTGTGCTAATAATACAGGTGTCTAAACCTGTAAAACAGAATATACACTTTATCATCAGTTTGAGAAACAAGTCCTGCTGATTTTGTTAATCATATAATCTAGAAGGAGATGAGGACCACCTGAACGCAACACCACTTTGGTAACTTTGGGTGGCCGCGGGGCGTTCAGGTGCTCTAACGGAACCGCGACGCTGTTCACCTCGTCGTCTCTGCCATTGATGCGTTCCTACCTGCTCTGCACCTCCTGGTCGGGAGTTCGGCGACCTGGTACCACCTCTGCCCCTCAAAATCATAACATTCAACGCTGCGGATGGCCTTGGGAGCCTGGCCTCCGACCACAACCATCACCTGCGCAGAACGTGACAAACTGCACATCAACTGCTGTCGCTTTGTTATTAGTGAGGAGCAGCAGAGTGTGTGTGTGTGTGTGTCTGTGTGTGTGTGTGTGGATACCTTAGGACAGCAGGCCGGAGTCCGCATGCGTGTGCGCGCGGTTTTCATCAGAGCCCTCTGGTCGGCCGGCAGCAGGTGGTACTTCATGGCCTCGATGAGGTAGTCTTTGCACGCACTGCTGTTCTTGATCAGAGACTCCTCCTCCACCCGCTAACACAACCAGAACAGTGAGGAACGGAGCCAGTCAGCCGGGTGCATTAACAAAAAGCTGCATTGACACAACAACAGCTGACAAAAAGAAGTACCTGTGGAATAAGGGTTACATGAACTGAAGTCAAAGCAAAAGACACAAATATAAATCCAGAACAAAGACGAGTTGGGGTTCCAATGACAAATCTGACGTGTATTGGTACTTAACATAGTTATCTTTAGATTTTACCTGAACAATTTTAATAGTACCAAGAGACAAATTGTTAGATACCATGGAGCATTGGGGGAAGTGCATTGAAGTGAAGTGTTTTTCCTTTGCAGGATGGAGACTGCGTGAATTTCCACATAATAAAAAAATAATGTATAATGATCAAATCAATAGAAGCTGCTGTATCTGAAGCTTAACTTCAACCAGCTGGTTGAAAGTCATAAAGCTCTGTAAAAAAAAGGATGGATCATACTGCCAAGATCATTTTAATAATGTCAAAATGTTCAAAATGACACTTGGCAGAAGTCGATTCAAGAAGACTCACTTTAAACTCATAAATATCAGCTGATTGTGAGCTGGTTCGGCCACGGCTGCCCGAAGCAAATCACACAATTGCTTTCAAAATGTTTTCAACTGCTCTCGTCTCACAGTGCACATTGCAGTATGAACCGGCGCCGCCCTCCTCCACCTCATTCGCCTCAAGCCTCCATCATATCCAGTGTCCAGGCCCGTTACTCCTCCCATCTTCAGCAACTCCCTTCGTCACCAGCATTATCATCATCATCATCCTCACCACCAGCGTCCAGACTTCAGGGTGGAATATTCCTGATCCAACCACAGCATCACTACCCCTCTTTTAATATGCTACGTCATCCAATCAAAGACTCTTTACTATTTATTTCAAAGCACATTAGTGTTAATAAACTACTCATTTACTGAAAGGAAGTTCTTTCTGAATGAAATGATTTTCCCATGTATGTTATTTTGACATTTTGATGATAGAAAGTGATCATCTGACCAAACAAAAAGGCCCCTGTCACACGGGGGAGAATCTCAATAATTAGCGCATTCACTCGAACTCATTGACTGGTCGTTGACATACAACATTGTGGAAATGTGAAAGGCGTAAACGGAGGTCAGTCAGTCAGTTTGACGGCACAACAAACTGTCCCGCGGGGGACGCTCATACCTGCACCAGGTACTCTCTGGACAGCAGCGGCAGGCGGACGTGTTCCATCAGGTGAGCCAAGTGCTCCTGCCGGACATCCTTGTCGTGGTTGACCCAAGCTATCACCGCCTCAAACACCTGCAGAGGGAATCACACGGAGAACACTTGAGGCCCATCCGGTACGGCCGTCTTGTTGTGCTGTCCTACTTGCGTGCATTGAACAAAGTGAGTACGTACCTTCTCCTCCGTGGGGATGGTGAGCTTGTCGCTGGCGATCAGGCTCGACACTTGCTCCATGCCCAAATTGAGGAACTCTTCACTCCCAACCACCTCGGTGAAATGTTGCTCTGTCAGGCAAAGCATGGAATGAAAATAAGTAGTACAATGACTTCTCTCAACATCGTCTTGTTGCCACATGCTCAAGGATACGGAACAACGCACTCAACGCGCAGTCAACAAGTGGAGATTTGCACACGCGAACCTGCGTAGCTGTTGGCCTGTGTGAGGAGCTGAGAGCAGGCATGAAGATCAGCGAAAGCTCGAATCCCCAGACAGTTGGATGGGTGAAGCTGAGAGCTCAGGAACTCACAACAAGCCTTTTTCACCTCGTTCAGCTGAAGCAGGCCGGCTGCAGGCAGCAACGCCTGTCAAAAAACAACCCTTTACTTCAGAGGATCGCAGGGTCACTCAAAATGACCAACAGGTCGAGCCTTAAAATAAAAAGATAAAATGCATGTGTGTAGATTACAGTAAAGGGTCTGAGCTGCCAAACTAAAGTGTAAATTACAGCAGCAAGAATGCCTCGTCCTTTTATTTGACTTTGCACTTTCCAAAAGGAGCGAATTACCCCAAAGGCAAGGCAGGACTTTTTAGTCAATAGGCTCAACATATGATGAAGTGAAACAACTTGATGCTTATATTGTACACTCTCCTAATCTCAGCAGAAGCGCCGCGAATGGATTTGTGTGCGTTTACCTGCACATTATCCTCCGTGACTTGTATCTCGGCTGTGTAGATGTAGTCGACGAGAAGGCCCAGAGTCCAACCGTCCATCTCCTTGATCCTCACTCGCTTCGCCCGACTCTCTGCCATCTCACCTGTTGGCAGGCACCCATTACCGCAGGAGGACATAATAAACAACAGAAAAGTGATTAAAACAATGTCCAGCAGGCACAAATGGCAGCAAGTCCTCACCTGTGAACATAGCGTGGAAGTACGGGCTCCCGGCAGCCAGAACCACCCTGTGAGCAGCGATCTCTACGTCCTCCGCCACTATGGTCACATCGCACAACAAGCTCTGGCTGTCATTTAGGAGACGGAGAGGCGAGAGATTACAATTATTATTTACTTATTTTTACAAACATAAAAAAAAAAAAAAAGAAAGGGTGGCCAGAGTACAACATAAGACCGGAAAGAGACAACCGTGCATCACCTGCGCAGCTCGTTCATGACTTTGAACGCCTTCCTCATGTGCCGAGGGTTCAGCGTGACAGGACCGTGTCTCTCGACGCCGTCTTCTTTGTCCAGAGCGTGTGGACAAAGTCTGGTTCCCCTGAGAGGGACGGCACGGACGGACAACATTGCTGACATCAGACCTCTACATACAGGAAGTACGTTGAGTGGTAATGCACAAGATGTGTGTGTTATTTTCTATAGCCGGACATTCGGTAATGTGTTAACCTTTTTATATATGGTGTAAAAACTATATCCACTTACATACTTGAGTAGGAGACGTATTATCAGTCAAATGTATTCTATTAAAGTAGTAAAATTACCATCATCAATGACGATGTCATGTATAGTATAATTAAATTGCCTATACTGATGCATTAAGGTGCCAGTACGGATGTAGCTGGTCAAGTTCTATTTTAAATACTCCGTTTAGGGGTTCCCAAACAAGGGTTGGCACCCCTCTAGAGGGTCACGTAATAAATCTTAGGCGTCACGAAAATGAAAAATAACGTTACACTAATTTGTAGGAAAAGTTTGAACTTCCTTGTAATCTAAGCAAATAGTTGGAAGCCACAGCTAGTTTTGTATAAACATCATAACTTGTGTGTAAATGTAAATCATTGTAAGTCACTTTGGATAAAAGCGTCAGCTAAATGACATGTAATGTGTAAAATATCAATCTGAAAATGGAAACTTTAACTGTAAAAGTACAAAAAAATGTGAAATAGAAGAAAAACATAAAAAAGCAGAACTATTGAAGTGAAGTACAAGTACCTCAAAACTGTAAATGTGGGCCACTTTCCACCACTAACACAGCGAACACCGGTGGCCTTTCGCTTTCACAATAAAACACCCAACACATATGGCCTACAAATAATCACGCCGCTCGTGGCAAAATCACGTGGCCCTTGTTTTTTGTCAAAAACACACACACACACACACACACGACTACGTAGCAGTTGACACACGTCCCCTCTGTCATAAACAAAAGAAAACACCCCCAACAAAGCATCGGATTATAAGACCCCCCCCCCCCCCCTCTCTCTTTCCACACTTTCAGCCGGGCGGGCTCGGTATCGGTCCCCGGCTCTCGGTGACCCGGTTCCTCCCCGGTTCCTCCCCGGTCCTCCCCGCACAGTGAGCGGGCACACCGGCTGGGCGCTGTGGCCGCTCAATGCGGCACCATCAGTCAAAGCCTGTCAGTGGGAAACGTTAGCACACACACACAAACACACAAACACACACGCGCGCGCGCCCACACACGGCGATTTGTGTTGCACTCACAGCGGATGGCTGTCCATGATTTCGGTGTTTTTCAGAGGCTGAAAACGTGGGCCAGCGGCGGGCAACATTCCATATTCACGCTGCGCGCCCCGCTGGGTCTAAAACTACAGCGCGACCCGGGGGGTTACCCTTTCCGAAGGGGGGAGGCAGGGCTTCCGCCCGCCCCTAAAAAGTACCCCTTCTCATTAATACACACGCCCCCAATCGGGGGGGGGGGGGGGGGTGGTGCTCTGGAGGAGAGAGGGAGGGAGGTGGGGGAGGCACACGCTCAGTAACAAACACGTTGCTGTCGAACCCGGCTGTTGTCTGTGCTGTCGGTCCGCCGCAGCAGCGAAGAAGGAACTAACCCCACAAATAAAATAAAAAACAGCAGCGTCAATGGGGGTTAATTGTGTGTGTGTGTGTGTGTGTGTGTGGGGGGGGGGTATTTTATTATATCCTCTCTTCCCCTCCTGGGGGGTGCGAGGGGCGCGCGGTCAAGGCTACCTGTTATGTTCCAATCGCTGATTAGAAAACGCACAAACAAGGACAATGTCGGCAAAGACGGTCCTCCGAGCAGCTAAGGTGTCCCACAAGAACGCGCTGTCTCCCTCTAGCTGTGGGAGACCGACCGGGTGGAGGGAGGGAGGGGTGTGTGTGGGGGGGTGAACTAAAGCCAAAGCTCTAGAGAAATAAATTAGAATGGTGCGTTGGCAGTTCAGTACTTTGACACTAAATCAAGAGCAAATCCAAAAAGACAATGATCTAAAATATCTTAAATATGTATTAAATACGCATTGTACTGGGATTGTGTCCCATAAAGTAATTCAGCACAGTGAGCTGCAAGACTGCCCCAGGAGAATAAGAACTTTTGGGTAAAAATCTAGAATTAGAAATGTAATTATAGGTTTTAATGAACATAACAATTTGATGATCAATTAAATTAGATTTACCATCTCTCGTGTTTTACTTCTTACCTCTTAATTTTCTATTACCTTATCATCTTGATTTATTCTCATGTCTGATTTGATTAGCGTTACTTACACATTTGATTACATTTCATTGTTTTGTCATATCTTTTACATGGTAGTTCAAAACGTTGACATATCATAGCATTAAGTTACAATGTCCTAATGTTACATTTCCTAGTTCTAATTTACAGTAACTGAAAATATGTAATTATTTTGACTGAATCAACAATTTGATTCTAGAGAATCGTTCCAAACAGGTGATTTAGTTATTCAGACGTTAACTTAAGAGAATGTATGAAGCGAGGAAGTTCTGAAATGCAATAATAAATGATCACGTCAAGACCACAAACCCATCTTCTGCAAGAAGTTCTGAGCTTGGAGTCCATCTGTGAGGATTTGTGCTGTACTGTCCGTGGATGAGCAATAGCTGTGAAGCTGCGGAGAACAAGTCTGTTGTGGTGTGAAGACGCTGAATGCATTAGAGAACCCGCTGTCAGGGGGCTCAGGCACGGCTTGTCTGAAGTATTCTGTTATGATTTCATACAGAAGTCACATTGTTCACTCCAATTTTATAAAATTATGGGATTTCAAATTATAGGTCAAACTTTGGTAATGAATGAGTAATTCACAAATTCGGTTGCATGTCCATTAAGTTTGGGAACCTGCGAGACAGATGAAACAGGTTCAACTGAAGCAGCAGAAGGCGGGATCTTGACTTCTAGTCTGGAGTAATGCTCGCAGAACGCTGGATTCCACAATTCCCATGATGCCTTCATCTCCATGCCACTGCTTTTTCAGATCTTCTCTGCTCGGTAAATGCTGTGTCAGTTGAACTCAGTTTGCAACACCATCGGTTTAGTTTTTTTCAGATCGAACAATTTTTGAAATCAGAATAATAAAGAAAGTCATCACACTACGGTTTGTGCCACGTACAACGCTCCATGACACGGGAACTCATCTGCATGTGGAAAACTGGTGGAATCCCCCCCCTCCAAAACACAAAAATGATTTGCAAATGGAAAAATGCTTAAAAATAAACTTTGGTCCAGAGTAAAAAAAAACCCTTTATTTTACAGTAAAAAAAGCTAGCAGGAGAAATATTTACATAAAACAAAATACAGACATAAAATAATGCATGTCATGATGTCCCAACTGCTGGACAGCGACCAAAAACTGTTCTTCAGTGTTCATATAGGTTGACACTTGACAGCGGGCATCACGCAATGAACACTGCTGTATAAGGTAAGGTACAAAATCACATAACGCATGAACCTTTGTGATTGATGAGAGGATTCCTGTATCGATGTCTCTTGCAGGTCAAGGTTCAACATCACACAACAAGATATTGTGACTGACTTCGGTGTGTTAATTTGGTTTTAATGGGGCCGGCGGCAGGCTGGCAGATGCCTGCTCCAGAAAGGCTAGCGGTCCACTAGGAGGAAGGTCCGTGGGTTTGCGGTGCTGAACGCTCACGTCCTCGAGAACTTGTTGCCAGTGGTGCAGTTTGGACAAGTGTTTCTGAACCAGCAATTCTTTCCTCTGTAGCTCATTACGTAACTCTGACACATCCTGTAGTGAGACAAAAAAATATACGTGAGACAAATGGAGAAAATCCCTTAAAAAAAACAGTATATATGAATAAGCATATGTCAATATAACAATGTACCTCTTTCACCACCTGTTCTGGTTTCTGCACAGACAACTGAAGCCTTTTCTGTAAGAAGAAGCACTCGGTCTGCCGAGCTACATCCAGAAACTTCTGTATGCACTGGTCAACACCTATAATAAAACAGACAAAAAGGATTAACTGCAATATACTGACTGCAATATTAAGTAAATTTAAAAACTACCATGAACAGAAAAAAACTCACCAGTCCGGATCTCCTCCTGATCCGTTCCATTAACGTAATCCTGACTTACCAGGGATGCGAAACACGCCTGAAGAAAGAAAACAGCACGGGTGAATAAATCAAATCGCCTTCACTTACCCCCAGACTAATGTCATAAAGAGACAATAAGGTATATTTTCCTTAATTCCACCGAAAAGTGAAGTAGCCCAGAATAAAACCAACCCAAATATAAATGTGGCCAAAATCAATGTTTCTCAAAGTGCCTTATGAAATAGGTTTTTCCAGTAGTCATAGGGTGAAGAATATCAAAGATACGGCTGTGATGTATTTGCGATTAATTGAGGAGGATGAATTGAGTGTATCTGGGAGGCGTTGGCAGATGCCTGTCACTTATATTACGATGCATGGGATGTGAAGCCAGTCAACCTGAAAGTCACAATTAGCTCCCTGGCATTAGCTAATGTAGTTTAATGATGTATTCAACAAAGACGTGGAACAAAATACACAGCCATTTAGTTGAATGCTGTATTCAACAAAGACGTGGTAAAATGCCACAGCCATAGCACATGAGAGTGCAGTACCTTAGCAACACCGGCCAATGCTAAACATTAAAACATAACTTACGTTAACGTTAGCTAGCTAAATAAGCTAACAACACTTAGCATTCTCAGCTAACCTCTTGCGGTTAGCTTTACCTCAAAGGAAGCCTCGAGTTCGTCCACCAGCGTGTTGTTTACAGGACCTCTTGCAGCTGTACCGGGGAAGCCTGGCTGGCCCGGTACACCGGGACCCCCGACGGGATGGACGCCGGGCGGCTGCTGACCGGAGAACATTCCACTCATGGACGACGCCATCTTGCTTTCCTCTTACCCAGTTCGCGCATGCGCAGACGGAGACGCGCCTCTGCGGACAACTGGGATGAACCCAGTTCTCCTTTTTCATGGTTAAAAATATTTTGATGCAACAGCACACAAAGTGGTTCCAAAGCTGGAGGTCAGGACCCCCTGTATACGATTACAGGAATAAGAATGACAGCATATGCCTTCTACTTTAAATCTGAGAAAATTCTAGAAGGAAAAAACTGCTCACAACTCATGATGGGTGTTCAAGCTGCTTAGTTTGAACTGGTCCTGAGCAGACTATGCCACCAACTGAGTGGCAACAGTTTGGGGAAGGCACTGACTTGCCCCCTTTCACAATGAAACTTGACTTTAGGATGGATGCCATATCTGATGGACTCTGAACTAATGCTCTTGTGGCTGAATTGGGGCAAATCACTGCAGCCAATTTCCAAAATCTAAGCCTTCTCAGAAGAGTGAACGCTGCACATTAATGCCCGTGATTCTGCAACGGGGTGTTCAAAAATCACATACGGGTGTAATGTTTGGGTGTGAGGCAGTGTGCGTCGGTGTAGTGTCGACTAAAGAGTGACAGGGATTACAAATGTGTCACACACATAATTAATGGTAAGACTTTATTTTGTACAACATATAAATTTAAGGTTTGAAAGTTCCGACTGAGCGTCCGTTGCTGAAATTACAAGATGTAGGGATCCACTGAACCAGTATTGAATTGTGGTCTCTTACACTGATTAGCAGTTTGTGAACATTAACGGCGCCTAGTTGGTTTAACAAATACAGCAGTGAATCTAAACGGATTCAATTTCTGACTTCTAACCCTGGCCATTGCTGAGGAATCATGGTCGAATCTTTTCATAAAAGAGGCTCACACGCAGAGTCTTGTGTTGCTATTCGTGTCACTCCCTCAGCCACTGTTGGCCAATCCGGCAGCAAACTCCACCAGCGTACGCGTAGGTCTACCAGACATGCCTTTCCTAAGGTACGGAACCTCATCTTTGTTGCTCATCACACCTGCGATGTCCAGATGTGCCCAATGAGGAGCTGAGACAAACTCTCTGAGGAATGCAGCTGCTGTGCATGCACCGCCGGAACTGGAAAGAGGACCAAGGGATTGTCAGACTCAGGGAGACAGAGCCACGGCTGTGCTCAGCCTCAATCTTATTCTCATCATTAATCCTGGATGAAGTTATCTTGCGCGAGGATGCGCCCTCAGCTTGAAATGAAGGCACAGAGGAGTAGTAGCGGGATACGTACCGACTGTACTTGCCAATGTTGTTGAGGTCAGCCAGCTGGCTGTCAGTCACCTGTCTGGTGTAATGCTGGAACAGAGGCATCCGCCACACTCTGTCACCTGTCACAACACTAGCCTGCACACACACAGCATTAGTCAACACGGGAGGTGATAGACAGAGAGGTTGGCGGTATGTTCATTGTGCATACACAGAACCTTGTGCAGCTGCTCCCACAGCCAGTCAGAGTTTGTAAACACTCCAGTTGCCGCCGATCCAAGAGCAACATCCATCGCACCTTGGAGACAAAAGAAATCCCATTTTTAAAACGTACCATTTATATTTGCATATGTTATTATCACAACGTTAAGTTCACTTCAGTTGGTCCGTAACGACTCTGGCCTTATAGTTCTGCTCCATCTCGTGCTCAAACTGACTTTCTGTTACCAAGCTGTAAGCCTGAACTCGCATGGCTGGGTGTTTCTGTCATTGGACAGTTTTGTCATCCTGCATCATGAGCAACACACGGTGGTCGCGTGTTGAAATCTAATTCCAGTGAGTGCAGCACTTTCTGACACCTCATGTGTTAATTCATCACTGTCCTTTGGTGTCACAAAGAATGAGCGGATTATGAGCACTAATGCTTGAGTCTACAACTGGACCTCATGTGTCATGAATGAGAACACAGTGACAGGTTGAAACAGGATTAAAAAAACACTTTTTTATTGATATAAAGGGGATAAGGAGAGAGGGGAGGGTATATTATGCATCAAAGGTCCCTAATACTGCTGCTGCTTTATCAGCATCTTGGCCTGTAGGAGTAAACCCCTCTCACACACCTATGTTTTTAACTTCTTTCTACTTTCTGATTGAGCACAGAATATTCATACATTCACTTCTTCACATGACTGTATAATCATTTTGCATATTACACACATTCCTTAAAAGCTTCTTCCCTGAGAACCAGCTTGAGTCAATATCTAAATAGCTCCAATTAAAAAAAAAAACTCACCTGTCAGCGTAGCGACGTTGACGATGGCTCTGGGGTTGAAGGTGTGTCCGTAACACAGTGCGTCAGCGAGAACCAGTCGGCCCTCTGCATCTGTATTATCGACCTGTACAAAACAACAGTACAAACTCGTGTCTCCACACATACATTTACAATTACATCACACTGACTTCACAGGGATTTTTCGAACCCACCTGGATTGTCTTTCCATTTTTGGCCGTGACGACATCCCCTGGTTTCGTAGCTTTTCCACTGGGCATGTTCTCACACAGGGGAGCCAGACCTGATTGATTGTAACCAGTGGAAACGGATAGGTTAGGAGTTTGTTTTACTTTACAAGAATAATTACAAGATGAATGTGATCTCTGGACATTTATAGATTCTCTAAACCCACGATTACCAATAATGTTGATTGGTAGTTTAAGAGCCGCTGCCGTGACGATGGATGCGCAGACTGTGGCCGCTCCCCCCATATCAGCTCTCATCGCATCCATGGAAGGAGATGGCTTCAGAGAAATACCACCACTACCAAGGAGGAGTGAAAACGACTTTAACGAGAGCTTTCGTAACATCGTTTCATGCGAGTTAATGGGCTTGAGAGCAAGTTATCATGGTTCACCTGTCAAAGGTGATGCCCTTGCCCACTAAGAGCAGTGGGGGCTGCTTGCTGTCAGGAGAACCGTTGTAATGTAGCTCCAGGAAGACAGGGGGCTCTTCTGAGCCTCTGGACACACTGAGAAACGCTCCCATTTGTTGCTGCTCTATCCAGGCCTGAGATCTGCAGAAACACATGCAGACATCAAAACACTCTGCCTTTGTCGGATTTTCAGGGTGCCAAAAAAGGAGGAAGTTATACAATATTTTGATGGAACTCTTGAACGAACATCTCCTGCAGTCAAATGTTGTTCCACAACTGGCAACACATAAGACTGATTTTTTTACCTGTAACAAAAATACACATACAATTCACAAAATTCACATACCTCTTGTTTACTGTGACTCTTTCAGAAAGCACCGCCAATCGCTCTTCGATTGTGTTGGCAAAAGCAGTAGGAGTGACGTGATTGGCGGGAGCTTCCATGAGTAGCCGTGCCAGATTCTGGCCATCTGCATACTTGACTCCTTTCTGCCACCCGGCCGAGTCAGAACTAGGAACAAACGCACACACACACATTAGTGTGACGCTGTGTATATCTGTAATAGCCCTCTAGTGTGAAACGCTTCGGCCTCGCACTACAGCTCAGTTGTTAAGAGTACGGCCTTGAACCCTGAAACCCTCAGTGACCCACTGATGTCGCCTGGTAAATGTTTGAGTGTTGGAGTCTGTAAGGACTTGAAATGGCGTAAATACAAATGCGTTAGCATAGCGTCACCTTGACGACATTAAAAACACTAAACAATTTGACAGTGGGAAAGCCGTGAATCCTCACAGAGTTTGCGGGAGCACGCCTCAAAGTCTGGTTGGTATTCGGCCTACCTTCCGTGGAGCTGTGTGGTTACTTTAGTCTTCTTCTTAGATTTGAGTTGGTCGTACTGGAACAAACCCAGAGCGGCGCCTTCTGCTGCCGATTGGGCATCGCCGCAGCCGTCCACCTCCACATGGTTGACCTCCAGGTCCTGGAGCAGGCGGCAGCCAGCTGAACACACACAGAGAAATACTAAAGATCAGCCAGGTGACGACTCCAGTGAGATAAGATAATTGATCAGAACATTACATGAAATGTTTCAAACACATGTATCTTACCTGATGCCGCCTGTCTGATGTTCTCTTTGCTGGTGTCCCAGTTTTCTGAAGCACACACACCTGCACTGGTCTTACCCAGCCCAACTACTGCCACACACGGGAAGTCCTGGAGAAGACACAAGGAAGAGTTACTTTGACGCTGTCGACAGACCGGGTTTTTCTTGTTCTTATGTCACTCCCAGTTACCTCGTGGATTCCATAAAATATTCTGCTTCTGCCTTTCTTGAGAGTCGGCCCAGAGCTGGAGAGAGCAAAACCAAAAGCAGCTCATTAACCAACTCTGCAACTAATCAGACAGAGGCACAGCTTGGTATCCATGGATACAGCAGTATGGGTTTTGTCCTTCTTGTTTACATTATAATGCCAATATATTTCAACCATTTGGCCTGCATTTTATGTGTGTACTCATACCTTGTTTTCTAAAACTTACAAGGTTGCAAAACAAACGGCAGGTTTTGATTGACAATGACTAAGAAACAGTGATGAATGTAGATCTTTTACATCTGCTTGAATACTATCGGTTTGATTAGACGCCTTCAGACAGTTCAGATTATGATCTGATCTTTGCGAGATCAGCACAGATGTTCACACCACATTAGTAACTTGAATTAGCAGTCAAATACTTTCTATCAATAAAATGTTTATCTATGACAATATACAGTGTAACACAACAGCCCTTTTCTTGAAATGGAATCAAAATCTATAGTCATCGTCACATGAGTTGGGTGCTGACCGCTCACAAACATCCCAGACTCACATTTTCAGCAGTTCAGAGAGTTTTCCAGAAATGTTTTTATCAAAACTAGCAGCTGCTTCAGTAAGATGAAGGCCAGCCTCGTCTCCCTCCTTCTCAAAAGCTCCCAGCACCAGACCCTGCAGTTACACATAGACAAAGGGGGAGGAAAACCAATCAATCCATAATTATGTCCTTAAACATCAAGATCACCAGTCGTCATAAGTGCAATGAACCACAGTGCTTACTTGTTACCCATTGGTATTTGTTAAATCATGTGAGCAATACACCTATTTTATTTTTTGGGGTTATGAGGCTGTTTTAGCTCATTGTTTGTGAAAGTTTCACCACAAACGTCACCTATTATACAGAGTAAGTGCGCTACTGTTCTGAAAGCCCCTTGAATATCTGAACCTTTGTACATGTATACAATGTAGGTCACAAATAAAATCAGTCAACCTACGTTAGCGGAAAACTGCTACTTTTATCTACTATGCTGATCTCCAACTTCAGCAACTTTAAAATCTATATGAAAAACTCTGCTGTACGAATGCAGCTTTGATTGGTTAGTGTATGTTATTTGTTACATTTGGGGCAACCCACTAAAAATATGAATTACAATTCAGTTTCTGGTCAAGATAATTCTTTTAACCTTATTTCATTTCGGGTGGATTTTGCACTTTGTTTCAAACTCAATTAATTTCCCTCTATTTTAAAAAAATATTTAAATATGAAACAATTTAATTGGGTTTGAAACAATTAATAATAATAAATCAGTGAAAAACATCCATAATTAAAGCTGATTAAAGAAAGCCTGTGTGACTGGTATATAAACCAAGTTAGTTGACACCTAAACACGAACACACAGCGCACAGAAAATAAACAATAATAATAAATGAAAACGTCTGAGATCCCATGTGAAGCATTGATGTCACTGATATAACAAACTATCGCTCCTGTAATGCTTGACAGGCTTAACGGCCACTTACTTTTCTGTCGTTCAGGTGAGTCCGTGACGCAGAAAATAACCGGCAGTATTTCGTCCGCGCCGCCGTCGGCCCGGTTTTCCTCAAAAGAAGCATCGTCATCTGCTGTACATACATAAAACCCCCAAACAGACTAACTAACTCAAAGATGCAGAGGTCGCATGCGAGTGACAAGAGTCGATCGCCCTGACGCCGTCGCGTTGTTTCTACGTCACCAAAGCGCGACCAGGGAAGTCATTCGTCGCCGCGTGGCGGCAGCGGCGAGCAGCTGCACGAAGCTTTGAATCACCTGCGGCCTCAAACTAATGACACGAATAGTGACACAAACCTTCAGTTAACCACGCATGGAAAGTACATTTAGTCAAGTATATTACAGATACAGAATAGTGTAGGTTGCTTTTTCAGAAACTTCAGAATGCAATTAATAATACAAAATATCATCAGTGATAAAGATGTCTTAGATATTAGTACTTATTCCACAAATAAATCAGGAATCATTCATGCATATAGCTGCACATTCTATCAGGGATCAATAGTCTAAAACTGGAGACAGGAGACCCACAAAGCGACAAAGATCAGTTAATTACATTCTATACATATAATGAAAACATAGTCATGTATTTACATGTGCAGCTATAGACAGAATATATCCAGCACAAGATGTCCAGAATACAAAGGGCAAATCTGTGATGCAGGACCCTGGCACTGGCACAGTGCTGGTTTCACACTGCTGTCAGTCATTGTGGCTTCATAGTGGTGAAGTAAGCGCTCCTTGGTCCTTCAGTAGAGGAGGTCCAAAGCAGAAATGGTGGGTTCTTCAGGTTTCTTGATCTCCGGTTTGGGCAGTTTGATCCGGCTCATGGCGGCCACTCCGCAGGCGGCACAGTGAGTCGCAATGCTGCCCACACCCAGCCAGAAGGACCAGTCCAGGCTGTCGTCCAGGACAACCAGCACAAAGAGGTCCTCCTGATGATTGGCTATCCGCTCGGTCAGACTGTGGTGTCTCAGGGCCGCCAGGAAACACAGCACGCCCAGGGCTCCGAAAAGGGCTGGGAAAAATTGTGAGAGGTGAAGCTCAGAAAATGAAGCAAGAAAAAACCCACGAATATTTTAAGGGAAAGAGTGAATATGAAACGTGGCTTTACACACCAGCAATGAAGTTCCATAGGTACAATCCTTTGAGCCCTTTGATGCTCTGGTAGGGAACTTTGCGGGCGTTGTATATGCAGAAAGACAGACTGACCAGCGCGAAACCCACGGCCACCAGCAGGAACAGGATCACCATCACGTGAAGGCCGCCATTCAACGTCCGCACAAGCTTTGGGAAAACTGGACCAAAGCACAGATTTAAGAAAGCATAAAGGACACAGCATGATGTGTGGATGCAACTTTGGAGCTTGATTCAATATGAAAAAGTTAGTTAATGTGTCATATGTTATATCTAAGTCAACAAATGAACCTGAAGTGCTGTCTGCATTACATTTGCTTGTGTCTTGTGCTGTCTTTTTCTCTAAATTCAGCATTTGGAGTTTTCATTGCAAACAGGACCAAAATGCATTTTCTTTCAAATAAATATACATTTTAATTATTAATATATATATAAATTCTAATTGATTTATTAGCATCCATTTGCATCAATTCAGCCTGATTTGGCGTGTTTGAAAGCTCTGTGATCTTGAGGACTGATTGCTTTTAAAATAGGTTCTCTGCTTTGTTGGTTAATAAAGGTGATGAGGGATTATGTGTAAATGGAGAATATATGATTATTATTTCGCAATGTCATGGTGATTTTACACACCTTTCAAGACCTAAATATCTTTATTCGGAGATACGTTTTATTGTTCTTGGGAGAGAAAGTGTTTGATCTTACTGTATATTTTGGAGCGCCTGTTGCCGAGCCCGCACCTCTTGGTCTTCCCTCCCTGGAACAAGCCGTAGTAAATGTCCCCGATGAACTGCTCCAGCTCCGGGTGGGACGCGTTCACTATCTCCGCCCCGGTTTTACACAGGATCCGTCCGGTGACCCACCGCTCCGTGGACAAGGCCACGACCAGGAGCCCCACGGAGCCGACACAGAGCACCGAGGCCACCGAGAAGGTGATCCGTTTCCACAGCGAAGGCATCTCACGAACCCATGGTGCCCGCAGGAAGGTAACACGACGCCGGGCAGCGACCGCGCAGCGCGCTCGGCGATCACCATGAGTTTGTTCTACGGTTTGCGAAACAAAAATAACAACACGGGAAACGGATCATCGTTGGGTAAATACTAGATGTGTATCTCCGTTAAAGCGTCGCGTGCGTTTTGTTATGCGAGTCCGCAGCGGCGGAGAAACCGAATCTACGGTGGTCAAAGAGATCCGTTACCGGCAGAGATAGAAACTCTATCCCTGCACAGTGTCCCCGGTTCCCTCCCTCTGCTCTCTCCTCTTTATTCAGCCGACGAATTGACCTTTCAAGTCGGGAAATGCATCACGATTGGTGGTGATAAAACCACGCGAGCGTGTAGCTGATGGCATCGGAATGACTGATGTGGTGCTCTTTGACTCCCTAAAGGTCGGGTCAGGGGGGCCCATGAGTTCACATTCGATTTATAGTTGCACATGGATTTATAATCCAGTAGTTTCTTATTCATTAATGTTTATCTGCATTTCGTCGTGTAAAGGAAGTGGGCTTCGTTTACTCGAGCACTATGTGCTGGCCTAGTGCAGGCCTTCAGTGGGGTTTTATGGTTTATTCGTGACTCTATAAAAAATGTATCTCCAACGATTTATAAATATATGAGATTTATAAATCTCATATATATGTGTGATGACGTGCCGTCTATAGTCTATATATATATATATATATATATATATATATATATATATATATATATATATACAGTCCTGGTCCACAAGCTTCAGCATGTCTTTCTGCTCACGGTGTTTGTTGAGCAGCTGGTCGATAACTGCCAGCGACGGTGGACGTGGAGTTTCTACAGGAACAAAAGATGGAGTATAATAAGTCATTCTGACCTATAGAATCAAATACTTGTATAATAAATATAAACTTTCATTAAAAGCTCATGAATGACTGGTATTTGTATGTGAATGTTTATTCAATAACACCCTAAATATATTTTCACATCTTGTAAAAAAATGGAAAAGTGACACAAATGTATGGAGAAAACTGGAACAACCTTGATGGTGCCAGTGAGGATGACAGAGGAACCTCTGACTGGGTAGCGAGTGGATCACTTTGAGGAGGTGGATTCGGGGCCTGGGTGTGATCTGTCTTGCTGTTGTGCTTGTCCCAGTCCAGAGGAACTGAACAAAGGAACTGTACAGGGCGTGATGCTCCGACACACACTCACGGAGGAACCGCCTCATGCAGTGAAACAAGTCCAGCTTGATATTAATGTTTGCATTAAAATGTGATCTTGAAGCACATGTGTTTCGGAGGTTACCAGAAGTGACATCGGCAACAATTGCATCTGTTGTTCTCCAAGAATCCCATTTCAGATGCTCTCCTGCAAACGACTCTGCCACCTTGAATGCAACACAGCAATCCCTGAAAGAAAAAATAAAAGGAAAGACATCAATGTGACAGCAGTGAAATAGACCACCATGTGTGCTCCAGTGGATATGGTCATCAAAATAAAATTGAATGCAAAGGGCTTTTCTTTAATGAAACTGAAAAAATGAAAAGTAATCTAAGTTGTGACTATGAGCTGTTTGTGTCACCAATGATGGTCAAAAATATTGACATTATTTACCTGTCTACCCACTGTTATTGTGCCTTTTCTATGCCTGCAGCGCTGTAGCGCTGTGCCAGTCCCTCGTATGGGCTTCAGGGACTTAGCATCAAAATGAACTTGAAACTTGAAACTTAATGAAAGATTAAAATCTAGTCGTGATGCCAAATATATCATATATTATCCTAATCATTGAGGCATTAATGTGTTTACATTTGACTGACTTTAAACAATTCTGGTGGTTTAATCTATTACAAGATCCTCATTTATTAGTTGAGTAACATCTGTGATATGCAACTAGTAATTAATGCAGTCAAACACACGTGAACACAACTATAAACTAACATGTGGCGTGACACCAACATAAATGCATTTATAGACATGACACTTGTACTAAAGTACAGTATTTATGGCTAACAACGTTTATAGTTTACTATTCTCTCAGTACGTACATAATATGTATACAGAATATGATGTAATATACAATATATTATCAGCATAATAAATATACAGGGTATAGCGTAACATATACTATATTGTTAGTATTTACAGCTAAAGACATGTATAGCTGGCTGTTCTCTAAGTACGTTTACAGTATATAATGTTTAAACAGTATAAGATGAACAGCTAATGAGAATCTGTGTTAAATGATGTAGCAAATGCTGCATATTTATCTGAATAATTATATCACATGGTTCACAAGGATATTTTTGTTCTTTTATTATTATTTGTAATGGAGTCATTTTATATGGATATTGTTATGTTGTGTATTTTACTTTATCAGGTTAATGTTATGATACATTGTGTATCCTTATAATGTACTTTATACCAATATGTAACTTGTATTTGTTGGTACTTTTTGTAGTTAATGTAATATCATTCATAATGGAGCCCTTTAATATTTATATTGTTATGTTGTATATTCAACTTTATCAAGGTGATGTTTGATTATTTTCAAGATCTTTGTACCTTTATCTAGTTATTCTAATCTAATCAGTAGAGTGCTTCTATATTTATATTGTTGTGAGATTTAAGGTTGTATACATTTAAAAAAAAAGAATTGGTGAGAGATGCTCAGCTTGCCCATCGTCAGATCCCCCAAGGTTAGCATGGCAAAATATGTCATAATTTAAAGCAAACGAATAAACAAAAAATAGGTTTTTAAAATATGTTATGGATTTATGTTATTTGTACAAACACTCTTCCTGTTTTTTTTAAAAACACAAACTGGATTTCACCACATATCTATTTGTAGTATATGAATAAGTGAATCAATCAATGTATTGACGACTAATGATCAAAAAAACTAATTCTATCATAATCAGTTTCTACCAATGTCCATGCATTCAAATTGCCCGCCAGGACTTGAAGTCTACGCGGTGGCATTTCTTAACCCTCCCTCTACGCGACTGGCGTTTACTACGGCTCTGCTTGTAACCATGTCGACGTAATGACGTCACAGGGTGTGACGCAGATGTCAGTCGCTCTCTCAGGCATCGGATGAGACCGTTTGGCGAAGATGGCGGACTCGCTGTCGTCAGGCATAGGAGAGGAGCAGGAGAAGGAAAAGGAGGACACGGAGAAGGGGGGGAAGGCTTCGAAGACAGAAAAGAACGAGGAGAGAGACGGTGTTACGGAGACATTGGGGTTTCACGATAAAAATGCAGGCAGTAAGAGCAAGGAGCGCAACCTGTCAGGTGAGAGCTAGCCCCGTTGTCACAGCCCACAGTTTGACAGCGCTAGCTTAGTTAGCTGGTGATGGGATTGTTTTGGTTTCTATCCAACGTTACTGGCGGACCAGTGTTTGGTTTGATAGTATCACTACTCTCTGCTTGTGCCTGTCTGTTGCGTGAGTACGCAGTTACGATTAAAATCGGTTAACGTTAACAGCTAACATCACTGAGGTTGAGCCTCGGCAGGTTTTGGAGGGATGCTCCGAGTTTATAATTCGAGTGTCGATAAGTGTCGATATGTGGCCAGTTTATGTTTCAAATTACTGCCTGTGACAGAACTGCTGCAATAAACACGCAGGAGTCCAATGTGTCTGTCAAAGTAAGACATTCAGAAGTGCTGCTGAGTTGTTTACGATAAATACGACAGCTGACGGCTGTTTGTTATGGTCGACCAGGCTTCTTGGCTCTAATTAAAGCCCCTCAATGATTTAAGTTAGTCCTGCACTTTCTAGAAGTGTTAACGTAACTGCTGATTTAAAGAGACCCGGTCCGAATTTTTCATAGTAGGAAAAGCACAGCTTAATGTTGACACCTTTACTTTGCCTGGTTGCTTATTGATGCTTTAAAGGGGTAAACTACTTTCACAGTGATGGCTGTCATAGCTGCAGGTTTATGGTTTTTAAATGAGTTGTTCGCCAATGTCATTTGGTTGTAATGTTTGTCTTTCCACACCTGTTTGGTGATACGGTGACGCTGTTTCTTATCTATGCAGATTTCTGTAGTGTATCATTGTCGAAGGGCTCTTATTTGTTTACAGTGAAAATACAGGCACCTGCCGTTGACCTGTGAATGAACTCGTCCCAGCATTCTGGGGTTGTAGTTATTTGTTTACTCCTAAGTCTTATGGCAGGTGAATTCCCTGATATGGTCACAAGGTTATACGCGTTCTTTTTAATACTTCTTTTCCAATTCTTCCTTTAGACTTGTCTCTGGTCAGATTTATAACCACTGAGCTGACTAGAGGATACTTCCTGGAACACAATGAGGCCAAATACACCGAGCGCAGAGAGCGGGTCTACACCTGCCTCCGCATCCCCAAGGAGCTGGAGAAGGTAAACACACGCACACAGATATATGAATATTCTCCTTCTTTGGCTCTGACTCTCCATCTCTCTGTTTAGTTGATGACATTCGGCTTCTTCCTCTGTCTGGATGCCTTCCTCTATGTGTTCACCCTGCTGCCCCTCAGGGTGATTCTGGCCCTTCTACGACTCATCACGTTGCCTTGCTGTGGCCTCAGGTGAAGTATAGATGTAGTTATCGAGGATGCAAACTAAAATATATTTCCTAAATCAACCACTGCCCATAGCTAACCTCTAATAGAGTTTATTATACACCGTGATAAGGTATTTTAACAATCTAACCTAGTTTTGTTGGAATTCTTAAAAGACTTAGAGCTAATTTATTAAGTTGCTCATTAGGATGTTACACGGACATCTGTACAAACCAGTTATGCCAGTGAAAAATGATTGGTTGATATATTTTTTGTTGATCAATAGAAAATTGACCAGACATGTTGCTAATCAATTGAATTATTTCGAGTCATTTATCAAGTGAAGAGCTCAGGAATTACTCCTATTCCTGTTTTGAAAAAATGTAAATTGAATACATTTTCTTTTTTGGACTGTTAATATTATTGACCCGTGCAACATTGTTTTCAACCTCCTGAGGGCAGTAGAGCTCTATTTGATATTGTTCAAACGGATGTCAAATTGTTCTGTATTTGTTTTTGTCTCAAGACTTCTTCCGTTTTCCTCCGTGTGTGATTTGTTTTTGTCTGAATATGTGTGCGTTAGTGGCTCCCGCCTGCTGCAGCCGGCTCAGGTGTGTGATGTGCTGAAGGGCTTCATCATGGTGCTGTGTTACTCCATGATGAGCTACGTGGATTACTCCATGATGTACCACCTTATCAGGGGACAGTCTGTCATCAAACTGTACATCATATACAACATGTTAGAGGTGCGCGCAGATGACACACACGACAATAACATGGTCTATTGCTCTACTGTACAGTGAGCCACCAATTCATTCGCTCTCTTGCACTCACCTGTTGTGTTGTCAGGTGGCGGACCGGCTGTTCTCCTCATTTGGTCAGGACATCCTGGACGCTCTGTACTGGACAGCCACCGAACCCAAAGAGAAGAAGAGAGCGCACATAGGCGTGATCCCTCACTTCCTCATGGCTGTGCTCTACGTCTGTATCCTTGCTGAGAGACGCGTCTACGCGTGTATTTGTCCACATGCATGCATGTTATTTTCTCAGTGTATTTGTAACAGTAAGCTGGTAGTTTATCTTCTTCGTTTCAGACTGTTGCTCAGACAACAGAAGCAACTTAAACATTTTGACTTGCCTTCCCTTCTGATTCAATGACGAAATTTTTTTTTCAATCTATTGAAAATAATCTAAAGTTGCACCCTCACAGAGCTTTACTTACTAGGATTTTCATTACTTTAGCCCTTGTAGTGTATTTTTTTCCTCAGCACGTTTGTGTCTAGTTCTTCATGCCATCCTCATCATGGTTCAGGCCACCACTCTAAACGTCGCCTTCAACTCCCACAACAAGTCCTTGCTTACTATTATGATGTCAAACAACGTGAGTACGGTGCAACATTTAACTACATCAAGAGACCTGCTGCATGAGCCAAGATGTGAGATTTCTTTTTATTTCTGTTGCAGTTTGTGGAAATCAAAGGAAGCGTGTTCAAGAAGTTTGAGAAGAACAACCTTTTCCAGATGTCCAACAGTGGTAAGTGTTGAATGATACCTAAAAAAAAAAATAGAATACGTGCCGCAAAACCAGCAGCCTGTGATTATTTTGGGACTCAGCCTTTGCACTTGGTTATTTGGTACAAGGTAAATTTATGGAATCGAGCTCAGTCGCAGTTCAAAGTAGGTTAATCCAGGATTGTCCCCCCCCCCTCCATCCCACAGACATAAAAGAGAGGTTCACCAACTACATCCTCCTGCTCATCGTCTGTCTGAGAAACATGGAGCAGTTCTCATGGAACCCTGGTAACTAACGCAGCGCAGATTTAATGTAACATTACTGAAATCCCCACAGCTGGTTTGGGACAGAAGTTACATCACACGTCTTAGTGCGGCTCAGCAGAGAACTGTCACTGTCAGTTAAAGCTAATGTTATATTGACTTTAATCACTTTTTATGGTTGTTTTTAGACCACTTGTGGGTGCTGTTTCCTGATGTAATCATGGTGATAGCCTCAGAGGTCACTGTGGACGTTGTGAAGCACGCCTTCATCACCAAATTCAACGACATCAGTGCTGACGTGAGTCCCTTTTTGCATAAATCCTTTCACAGTTCATCCCTTCGGGATGTGGTTGCATGTAAGTGTCTTAGATTAGATCACAAATAACTCATTAATCTCATCAAATGTGGGTTTTGTAGTCAGTTAATCGACTATATTCCATTTTGTACTCACAGGCTTTAAGCTTAGTCGCTACATCTGTTAGCCAGGCATGCTATATATTGTTGTCATATGGTAACCCAAAAAAGTTAAGGCAAAGTGGCCCCATTAAGGGCACGCAGTGAGTGGTTAAGGTGCAGACTGACGTCTTCGTCACGACTTCGTCACGACGTCTTCTTCCCACCTCGTCCCCTTGTCGTGTTCCCTATTTGGTTTCCTTCAAGGAGTTGTAACTTTTGTTATGTAACGGAAACCATCACCACAGGAAGGGACTAACCCCTTTACCCCCAACGTGCCAAACTCATCCACACACATGTTTCGATGTATGTAGATGATGCTGATTAGTGACTACCGGTTTTGTCTTTTTCCAGGTCTACGGAGAATACAGAGCCAGCCTTGCCTTTGACCTGGTCAGCAGTCGACAGAAAAACGTGAGTAAAATATCAGATATGTCTCCAAATGCACTCCTTTTAAAAATAGTGTTTGTGGAGGGGGGAGTTATTGCTTTTTATACTTCTCGCCATTTCTCACTCTGCACTCTGGTGCTGCACTCTCCTGAAAGCAAATATGAAAGGACATAATATGTCAAATTTTAATTAATTAAAATGTTATAATCCGCACTTTCTCTAATTGCATCGGTCAAATTAAGTCACGGGTCCTAAAAGCTTTTTAAATTCTTGACTTTGCGTGAGCGTTATGGATCAAAACTTTTATCAGATTTTGAATTGTAATATGAGTGCTTATCTTGACTTTTTAATGTTTTGGACATGTTTTGCAAGAGGAAGAAAACATCTGTTTGGATTCCTTAACAATGTTCTTGTGATCCTTATGGGGCAGTGCCATGTGCTCCCAAAGACAACATACAATAGTTTATAGCTGCATTATGGGGACAGGAATGTCTCAAGGAGCTGAAAATTAAAGTAATTTTTCACAATATAGCAAAATGACCCATAATGTACAAATACAAGCAAAGAAACTAAGAGTACGATCACCACCGTCTAAGCAGTAAAATATTATTATCATTGGTTTGAGATATTTGCCGTACATTGAAGAGATTTTCTCTAATCTTTCCTACTTGGTCCTTATTGGCTGCGGAAGAAGAAGCATGTTGATTCTTTTTGATGCCTCATGACAAAAAGCTTTCTGTGTCTCCAGGCTTACACGGACTACAGTGACTCGGTATCCAGAAGAATGGGCTTCATCCCCCTTCCTCTAGCTCTGCTGGTCAGTCACTGCTTATGAAAATATCCAGTGATATTGATACTTGTGTGTGTTGTAGCTTTTATTGTAGATATACACTGATCACTAATCTGATCATTGCTTTGTGTTTCATTTTCCAGTTGATCAGAGTAGTAACCAGCTCAGTGAAGATCCAGGGTTCGCTCTCCTTTATGTGTGTGCTGCTGTTTTATCTGGGGTAAAGTGTTATTTTCTGAGTTTTGAACACAATTGCTGTTTTGGTTTTTTATGTTGTTGTTATCACGTGTGCATGTTTTGTGTGTTTGTGAGCAGGATGATCACTCTGAAGGTGCTCAACAGTATCGTTTTGCTCGGGACATCGTGTGCGTTTGTCAAAGCGGCCAACATGGAGGAGAAGCTCTTTGACCCTCCACCCTCAGTTGTCTCCAGCCGTGCAAACTCCAGAGCTCACCGGACCAAGCACGACTCCACTTCACCGCAGAAAGGTGCCCGTTTTTCCACCTCTATGTGGCTCAGCTGATAAATACACCATTTAGTCAAAAGGGGCTGTTTTTGTATGCTACATGTGCTCTGTACCATGATGACTGATTCTATTGGTGATGTTTTTTTTGGGGGGGGAACCAGTAACCCCATTACCTAGTTTGGCTGGTTAATGATGTGGCTCAGTTACTATAATTAAGAGGCTTAGTATCACTCAGTGTAAAGCGCTTCATTGTGCAGAGAAAATCAGAGCTTGTTAGACCGGCTGTGCTCAGTTACAGTTAGTAAGCTGTACTATGCTTATAGTACGGATGGGTGTTCCCCTGCTTCTCGTAATAATATTAAACACTTTCTCTTTATTAGAACCTTCAGCCGACAAAAGCAAGGTACCGCCGACGGCAGACAGTTCTCCACCCGCCAACATGGATGAGCGCTCCGCCCCGACACTCCCCATGAGCGACCCGGACACGTTCCTGACCACGCCGGACGAGGGGGACGAGGACAAAATCATCAACGCCAACACCGGACTGGAAGGGGACCGACTCGAACACAGAACGCCCAAGAAAGATTTGCTGGAAATAGACCGGTTCACCATCTGTGGCAACCGAATAGACTAGAAGGACACACGAACTGACCATTCGCCGTGTCCTGGCTCAACAGCCAGGTTCAGGGGTCGGACGCGGGTTGTGGCGCGCGCTAAGAGCCGGCATCGTTTTGTGCACCCGATCCCCCCCCCTGCGCCCCCCCGGAGTATTTATTTATTTATTTGTTACTGACAAAACCAGCCGAGGCATAAAGCTGTTACTACAAACGTCAGAGGTCCCTTTGGATGTTTCCATCGGGTACCGTCGGTACCTCGGGGGAACCAGGTAGACTCCACGGACGAGTCTCGCTTATTGCGACGTTTGTGAGAAAACCGGCATGCAGATCTGGGGCAGAAAACTGCACATTTTAAATTAGGGGTGGGAATCTCTTGGCACCTCACGATTCGATTCCGATTCAGAGGTCAACGATTCCATTCTAAACCGATTATCGATTCTAAACTGATAAAACGATTATCGATGCATCTTGATTTTCTAAATTTTCTCAAATCTGAGTTTGCTACTCAGAGGTTGCTAATCACTTCCGACTTTATTTGATAATCAAAGCAAATCAACAGATGAATTACCTTCTCTAATTTTTTTTTTTAATTCCGATTATTAACTTTTCTGAATCGAGACCGAATCGTTCTAGAGAGATTTTGAAAAATCTATTTTTTCCCCCACCCCTATTTTAAATAGTAGGAAAGTGGGTGGCTGCGTAAACGGCAGCTGGACTGGAGTATTCAAAAGGCAAGCTTATGTATGTACAGGGAAACGTTGTTTTTAAAAAGAACAAAAGTTGTCGAATTTCTTTTTTTACTTTTTTTATTTTACTTCAAAAGCCTAAAAGGTTCAGGTATTTAAAATGAAGTTTTTTAATGAAGAATCTTAAATCTTTTTGCTAAAATCGACGTGCAGGTAAACAACCGACATACTTGGAGCGCGGACGAGGCTCATCTCTATTTTTACACAACTGGTCCATTTTTTTCTTTTTGTAACATGGCTAAAAATACTACTTTAAACAAAAAAAAAAAACACATTTGTTGTTTTTAAAAATCCACTCTGTGGCTGTTTTTAGATTTCACGTTATAAATAAATCAATTAAATCATTCCAGGCAATGCATTTAGGACCAGTTAATGTAGCGTAGACGCTCTCAAACCCTGAATAATCAACTGCATTTGTGCAAACAGTGCAGTTTGCGTGTGACGCGGCCGCGCTCCGTGTGTTTCGGCTAATAGAGAAGACGTTGCCTGTTTGTAAAGACGCAAGTATTTATTTTGAAGTGGACTCCCAAGACAGAAAGGTTTGGATGTTGTTTCTTTTTTTATGCGAATGTCTTTATTATATTGCTTCATCTCTTCGCTCAGCGTGTTCTCGATCTCATTTGAAATGCAGGGTGCGAGGCACCAGCATAGCAGCTTCAATGTCACTTGTTCTTTGTTTCCTTACCGCTATATTGACAGTGAAGTGAGAAATGATTCTGATTCGATGAAGAAAGGTAAAATGTTAAAGGATACCTGAAGACACAGTGATGACAAAGGCCACTAAATAACAGGAAGCTTAAAGGAGGGTCATACAACACTGTGTGAACCCAGAGTTTGTTGTTTGTCCCCCAGCAAGAGGCACAGAAAAGCAAAGTTTGTTCTTGAACAACAAGACCAACAAGTATGCTGGCATTGTTCACTGAGGCTGCTTTGGTTATCGGGAGAAGCTCTCTCCAGACCCTCGTGTACCCAACAGTCCTCTGATGCTGCAGCTGGAGGCGCTGTTTGACTAAAGTGTCTGGCCCGGAGAGCAAGGAGTCACATGACCTTGGAAAAAAGCCCAAATGAGTCCAACCTGCTCCCAAGTACTCTCTCGCCATTTCCCCATTTTGTCAGAAATTGAGTCATAGTGCTCGCAAAAATATTCTATTTCGTGAAAAAGAAATAGCCTGTGATCTTTGAAAATACCTGGAAGGATTTTTTTAATAACACTTCTGCTCTGAAGATGAGGAACGGCAACTTCAGCAATGGATTAAATAGGCATTTAAAAAAATAAAGTGTGTGTGTGTGTGTGTGTTTTGAGAGAGAGAATGTGCAGTGTATGAATGGATCTCACTACCTGAAGACGCATTATATGTATCAATGGGATATTTCATTGTTTCATGTACATCCCATTTATGTAACATATTTCCTACATGATAGCCTGAGAATAAACGAAAACAAGATTTTTTTTTATTCTGTGATGTGACTGTTTTACACAGTGTGTGTGTGTGTGTCACAGGAACAGTGGTGGGTGTTTCACTGCCGGGTCTGTTTGTGGGGAAATACACTGCAGTCCACTGTTCCCCCCTCCCCTGAATGTCCATGCAGGGGGGGCTCTGTCATCAGTCATTCAAACAAGGGGAGTGTTTTTTCTTCTTCAGGGTCCGACGCTGTTGAATTATCTACCTCTGCATTACGTCAACACACAGGTTTACATTAAACTGGTATTGTGCATCGCGTTAAGTGACTGAGGGGAGCGGATAGAAGAGACTGCTGATGTATCAGAGACTCAAACCAGGCTATAATGTTGCATTTTAGTTGAACTTTGGGGTTTTCCCTCTTTTGAACTGAACCGTGTGTGCTTGCCAAAATGTCACTAGCCTTGACTCTCTGTCTGATGAACTTCAAAGCTGAAGGTCAGCTGCTAAGTGTAGAGTCAATGACCTGACATCCTGGCGGATTCCATCTGAGATCACGATGTTGGATTGTCTCCTACAGTTACGCCTAATACCTGACAGTGACGCTATTAAAAACAGAAAATATGTGATCAACAATATGTAGAAATCATATTTGATTAAAATGGTTAGTTGAGAATGTATATGATGTACAGTGAATTAACCTCTACTGCCATGTACAATTACAGGAATGTGAGTTTTTTATAATAAACAACACAAACAAAAAATTATAAATGAATCAAATAAAGATAAAAAAGACCAGTGAGTCAAATTAATTTTACAAGTGCACAAAAAACAAGAGAAGATACAGTATTACATTTGCATTTACAATAATCCACACTATGACATGTTATATATAAACTGAAATACCCCGAACAGTACTTTGGTATACTTCTGTCTATTAGTTGTTTTCTATCGCTGCTTGCAGCTGACGTGCGACCGCGTCGCGCGCCTCGGGAAGCGCACCGCGAGCTCTCGGCGGGCACGTGCGTTCTAGGGTTTTACGTGCACGCGCGGCAGGATTAGGATCCCCGCAGCCGGTGAGCGCGAGGAGGACAGGACACCGGGATAACGACTGCGACGGGGGGGGGAAAGAATAGAAAATGTCCAGCGTCGAGCCCGTACCGAGAAACCGGGAAATAACTCGAACCTCAACCGCTGAATGTTAAGTTTGAAAGTTTCATTTTTTCTTTTTTCTTTTTTAACTTTGGATGGTGTGTCGGTGAGCTCCGAGGAGAAACGTGAGCGACAGGTGAGGGACCGGTGAGGGACAGGTGTCCTGGACCGCAGAGGCAACCGGGAAGCTTTTCTTTTTTGTTTTTAAACTTTGTTAAGCTTCCTGCACGGGACCGACCCTTTGGGGAGCCATGTTGTGGAGGCGGTGGCTCGTGCTGCTGCTCTGCTGGGGGTCCACGAGGGGCGAACAGCAGCCGGCGGAGGAGAGGGACGGCACGGCGGCGGAGGCCCGTGTGGACCCCCGCAGGCAGCGGTCCCCTCCGCCGGTGGAGCCGTTGGATTTTGGGTTCGTTCCGGCCGCGGTTTATGACACCCACGCTTACTACGAGCCCGGGGCCGTGGGCGTCCTCTTCCACATGGTGCACGCGTACCTCTACGTTATTCAACCCAACTCCTTCCCCAAAGGTGAGATCATCCTCCCCGCGGCGCGCCCTTCCTTCCTTCCTTCCTTCCTTCCTTCCTTCCTTCGCATCTTCTCTCCGGGTCTAATTGCTCTCTCATGGGATCCGTTGATCCCTTCGTGTGTGTTTTCTATTAACCACACACCGTTATTGGAGTGACAGCTGCCGAAGTCAGAACTGTTCTATGCCACAAAAGCTCACCTGTCAGTCCAGCATCAGTCGTACAGCCAGGTGGGTCCCAACCATCAGGATGAGACCCACCCAAGGGGCCCCAAGACAAAACTGAAAAATTACTGTAACATTATCTTCAGACCTTTTTCATATACTTTTCAATACTGGAACCAGACGTCTGGTCTGCTGCAATAATACAATCAGCACCGTGGACATGTTGTGTGATTAATCACCGGCAAAAACAATGTGGTAATAATACATTTGATTTTACACAGCAAACTGGCTGCCGTGAGAACTGAGAAAGAAATCTTAGTTCTTTGGATGTAAAACCTACCAAGCCATAACATGTGTTATGTATCGACCACTCGGCTATCGATGTAGCATCGTTGACCTCCTGACCGTCCTTTGTTTTACGTCATACACTAAACCACAAAGTCCAAAAAACACCGCAAACCTCAAAGAGACCACTGTTTACACCTCAATAGCTCTTTATTGTGATGACACTGAATTAAAATGCGAGGTGCATGCATGATGAAATATGCTGGTGGTGCTAATAAATTAGCAGATCAATTGGGCTCAATAGATGTCATAGCTTATGATTGATCCGCTTTAGGACACATGCTTTGATTATTAGGTTGATATCTGGTGTGTCACTTGATCAATACATACATAGTAAATGTTTTTACTCCCGCTGAGTGTGGTAAAATATAAGTATATATATAGAGCTATAATCAACTTGTTTGTGTTCTCAGCTGGTGGATGATATACAGTGCAATAGGATTGCAGGTTTTAAGTTGCTGCCATTTTGGTGTCTAGGGTTAGTGCTGCTGGCTGGGTAATCAATTAGCAGATCAGCGATTAGAAGAGGCTTTCTCAGTCACCTGCATCACTGCGTAATACCTTAATCCACTGGACCATATGCTGCTACTGGCAGGGACTTTCCTCACAGGTAGAGAGCACCTGGACGTCATGCCACACACTACATGTTCATGCAAAGACTTTTGATCCATTAAGTGCTTGTTCGTATCAAATAGGTCAGCATTATCGGTATTAATATATCTTTAAATATAGGGTTGCTTCCCCACAGGTTTGTATTTGTCCACTGAACTGAAAATATGTCTGATCTGAAAAGATTGCTGTCAAACACAAGCTTCTGGGCTATAAATACCAGTACAGGATTTACCTTTAAGAAAATACTGCAATGTTACATTGAGTTCTGTACGTGATTAATGTAAAGGCCTGAGTTTAAGGTTAGCAGAGCTGGCGGTTTGGGTCAGCCCTGAGGCGGGCTTGATGTTAAAATTGATTGATTGGTCTCGTCCAATCCTTTAGCTTGTCCATCGTTGAGCAATCTCACAATGACTCTGTGGCAAAATCTCCACAAATCCCAGTATTATTAATGTAATTGACGTTTCAGGTTTCCATCTCTCACTTTGCGACACTGCTAAAGGGTTCATTGCTGGTTTCCCGAGCGACTCTCCTCGCTCGCTCGTCCCTATTTTATCCATCTCTGCTGCCACGTTGGTTTTTTTTTTATGATGATGAAGAAGCATTTTGGACTCTTTCACTGTGTGAGGAGGCCGCGTCTTATCCCTCTGATACACACGGGGTAGATTAGAGGATTAGCATCTGCAGGGCTAATGCTAACACTGCTCCGCCAGCGCTGCTGCAGATGGCATTGTCGCACGCACAAGCGCACGTGCACACACCCACACACACACAATTGGGCAAGACAGTATGGGCATGCGCTAAATACTGAAAGTGGGTCATAGTCGCGGTATTTGTCTGTTTGCCTTAATTACTCGGGCTGATCAGGAATTAAATGTCTTAAATCAGATCACAAAACCAAATTAGTCGTCTGATAAGAATATGTGCAAGAAACAGAGGAATTAATCCCTCCAGCAGGTCAAGTGTATCATGTATTTTTGCTTTTGATCTGCATGCTACATTTCAGCTACAGTTCATCTGTTTGCGTCCTTCTGTGCACGATGGCTTTCCCGGGGGAAGCCCCGAGTGAAGCAAACAGGGAAAAAGATCACATAATCCTCTTAGATGTTTTTCTCCAGCTCACAGCAGGCTGCGTTACTTTCTATAGCCCCCGATGCCCCAAACATCCATACTGTACTTAGAGCCTTGTGTAATACAGTTAGTGGTATTTAAGGCAACTAACAGCACTGGCACTCTCAGAATATCACCCCGATGTTGAAACGTCTCAAAACCGTTTTGAATTTGTCTTGCGGTAACTTCAAAGCGTGTGGCTCTCCGCTTTGGGATCAGGGCCCTTTATGATAATTCACATTTTTTATGGCTTTTTTGTGCGTGCGTTTGCACGTGTGCATACTGTGGATCCAATGTATGCGTCAGCTTCAAATCCCAATAAATATATATATTTTTTATTCAGAAAAATCAACAAAGGTACTTGTTAAAGCTGTGCAATCCTGAATCTGTCACGGCTGCTGCAGCAGACCCAATGGCAATGATGTGGTGAGTTAAATCTTTCAGGTCGACACTCCGGACGGTTGTTTATCTTCCTTTCGCTTGCAGTGGCGACATTTTATATTGGGTCACTGAACTAAGCTGCACGAGCTTAACTGCGCCCGGTGGCTAATGCTAACTAAGTACCCGATCAACAACAGGTGGCATCGACGTGACTCAGATGCGCTCACGTGTGCTTCACCTGCAGCGTTCGGAGAGGTGAACCACTTCCCCGCCGTCACGGCGCTCTGAGATTTCCAGGTGAACCGGTGTTTTTGGAGTTGAGGGGTTCGGAGAGAAGCGACACGAGCAGGCCGCTGCAAGAGAGGACGATGGTGATGAGAGGATTATCCATATGGGCACAGAAGATAGCTGGCATCTCAGCTGCTTTTACTCACCAGAAAAGCTCATTCGACAAGAATTTTCACTTTTAAAGCGAGGGCTTAAAATCGTACACGATTTAGAAGCAGTTATTTTGACGGCAATCATTCAACAAAATAAGACACACAATGTCATTAAGCACTCTGAAGAGAGAGTTTCACACATTATAGCAAACTAAATATATTGTTGTGGACGTTATTTTCGTAGGATAATTAATTGACCTAATAAGGATATAGTTCAATTCATTGATCAGTTGAAAAGTAACACTTGTGATATTTACTTGAAGTTATTGTGACTCTATAACTGAAATTATAATGGAAATGTTTTCCTTCACTATTGACAATTTTCTGACATTTTAATGCCAACAGATATCAAATCAATTGGCAGATTACCCTGTGACAAAAACATAAATTGTAACCATGTGAAATGTGAGTGAGAGGATCAACAAAACAGCGTAGTTTTACAACGAGGCCACAATACCGCCTTAATTCCTTTAATGGAACATTATTAAAGAGAGGAAACCAATCTCGTCACATGTGCTTTCTCACCTCACCTGAGGGTCAGCACGTGAGCAAGCAGAAGGCAGAACAGCAAGTGCGTGTGTGTATAGATGTACATATGTGTGCATGTCTTTGGGACAGCTGGGTCAGCATGTACATGCTAAACTGGCCTCCATCTGCTGGCTGTCGTTCACAGTGGAAGTCACTGCTCCAACAGGAGAAGCTACACGACAACAGTACATTCTTAAAAGAAAAAAGCAGGACATTTCCGGCGGATGTCGGCACTTGATCACAATAATGTTCAAATGTGAAATAAAATAAAGTGTCCAGTGGATATAAATATTAAATAAAGTGCAGAGAAGATGTGCCAAAATGGTCCTTGTGGTCCCGGATGGGGGAGTGGGGGCCCGGGCTCTATTCATGAGCTTAACTGCTGACGGGAAGAAGCTGTTTTTGTGGCTGGCGGTCCTGGTGAGTTTGTGTGTGTGTGTGTGTGTGTGTGTGAGTCTCTCTCCATCCAGGTAGGCTTAGTGTCTCCTGACCCGTATAAGCACACGGACAGCTGGAGTCCCCGTTGGCAAACACAAAAGTTCAAACGGCTTCCGCCAAAACACGCAGCTGTCGGATACACGAGGAAATGCATTCGTTATAGCTTCCGCTGAAATTTAAAATATGAATCGTCATAATCTCCGTTGTGTGCTCATGAACAGATAAATGGATTTTTCACTCAAGTGAAGCTTCTCAAATGTTACGCAGGAAGTCTAGTTGATCCTGTGGGATGTTTGCAGATGAGTCGCGTACTTCCCGTAAATCACTGCAAGTGATTATGATTCCATTTCTGCTGAGTGAAAGACTTTAATGTCCACCTATCTGATTTATTTGTTTTTCAGATTTGATTGTCAAAGTCATTCAACAAAACATGGGAGGAATCAAAATAGACGAATGGAGAAAGGTACGTTTGATTTAAGAACTTAATGACAATAAGTTAAAGTGTTTGGATATTTGATTAATTGTTGATTTGATACTCGTTGAAGATCTAGCACTTTTTTGCACAATTTTAAAACGAGTGCTTCCTTGCATTGTTAAAACTTTACACGTAATTAACATTTGTAGATTGAAATGCCATGTAAAAGGAAAGAATTCACTACTGTGCTTACTGTTACCAAGCCTATTGGGATTCCCCTTGTTTGAGTCATTTTCCATCTTTCTTTCCCACCTTAACATGTGATGTTGCCTTCAATTCCGTCTTTGAAAATTTGAATTTTGCTGCCTCAAACTCACGCTGACCTTGTTTTGTTTGTCTTTATTTCCCCCTTGCAACGGCTTTGTTTTGGAATTTGTGTGTGTGTGTGTGTGTGTGTGTGTGTGTGTGTTGGTCACAGCCAGAAAATGTGGTCCTGTTACTACAGGTAAACTCCTCATGACGTTGTCTTCCTATATTACGTCTACAATGTCCCAGAAACACTTGTTTGTGAGGTGTAATGGTGATCGTACAACTCTTCTCCCGCAGTGGATCCACTACGAAGCCGGATTCCTCATATGTGCGACCGTCGGGGTCACCTTTTTGATCCTCACCCCCATCGTGGGCTTTTGTTTCTGCGTGTGTCGATGCTGCGAGAACTGCGGAGGGGAGATGCACCAGAGGCAGCGAAAGAACGTGGACTGCCAGAGAGGTTTCTACACCGCCTCGCTCATCGCCACCTCCATCTTCATCGTGTGAGTCGTTCATTTTCGGGCCTTCCGGTTTATCAACACGATGAGGATTCGGTTCATCTGTTCCCTCTTGTGTGCCTTCCGAACGTTTAGATGGAGATTAGTTGTTGGAAAGCGACGTTTGGATACGCTGAGCTCTGTTCTAGTTAAAGTGTTTGAATAAACACTTTCAACATGCGTATATTTTCGACCCAAATCTTCATGTCTTGCTAAACTTTTGAGTTTTAGATCCCAAAGCAACCAGTGCAAAATGATGGAAACACTCGAGAGGTACACACATCTTTTGGCTGCACAGTTTCTCGATTGCTTATTATATATTTATTTACACGTGCGTTCTTAAAAGAAATATTGTAACGTAGCTTCTGAGAAGCCAAACCCCGACCCAAGTCACGTCACCTGACGCAGTTTATCAGATTTCACAGCGCTCCCTTAGGAGGCTTTCGCAACTTTCCTCTCACGTATGTTTTAGCAGAACTTTGAAGCATAAAATCTTTGAAGCTTTCCTTTAACAAAACCGTTCACGTCGAGACTAAGGATCCGCCTGCCTCCACCTGCAGAGCAGAAGACAGGTGCGAAAGACTGAGAAATCCAATCCACACCGAGCAGGACAGTTAGCTGTCACTGATATCCCGAGAGCGCAGCGTGAGAGGCCTCTCTGTCTGAATGAGAGCTTTCATATCACAAACATGGACATTTTGGAGTTTGTGGCCATTTGGAGATCTGATCAGGGTTTGTTGTTATGATTCTTTTATAATCTCTCACACAGAAGGTTCTTTCCGTTCCTCCTTCTGTCGACATTCACTCAGCAAAGAGACTTGTTTTCTGAAGGAAAAAAGGAAAGTAATAATTTCCACCTTCTGCAATGAAGCTCAACCAAAGCATCACTGCAATAATTCACCCAAAACGCAGGTTTGCACGTCATCAGCTCAGCTCCTTGATAGACTTCATCGCTGGTGGTTTAAAAACACCAAATGATTGCATCATTACCTTATCTACTATTATAATATGTAGATCCTGTATGTAGGTTAGGGATCAGGTTGTGCCCTCCCTCCCTCTGCTCCAATCTAATTGGACAGCAGGTTACATTTTTCAACTCTATGCAACTATTTATGAAACGTCAATTACATTAATAATACTGGGATTTGTGGAGATTTTGCCACAGAGTCATTGTGAGATTGCTCAACGATGGAGAATATCAACCAAACTTGTCATGTGGATCTTTCACCCACATCCACCTTAATGTGGCGGCGCTGCCCCCTGCTGGTCAATTCTTCTCACTGTCTTTACTTTACTGATCCTGCATGTGTTCCAGCCTGGGAGTGCTCATCGCCTACGCTGCGAACCACAACGTCAGCACACAGATAAAGAGCACGCGGCGGCTCATCAACACCAACATCAGAGACCTGAAGACGTTTGCTAACAACACACCTGCGGTATGCACAAACACACACACACACGCACGCACACACACGATAACCCATGTTTGACACGTGTCTTCCGTTGCAGCAAATTGACTACCTGACGGCTCAGTACACCACAGCAAAGAACAAAGTCCTGTCGGACCTCGACAGTAAGTTGAATTCAGACTTATTTATTTAAAGTCTGTCACGTTGTTCCCATGTGTTTACCTACAGTAGCAACACACGACTGCAGTATTGTCATTAAACCGTCCGTCCGTCCCGTGTTTCCTGCAGACATTGGACCTTTGCTGGGAGGGAGGATCAACAGTCAGCTGGAGAAAGAGGTCGTTCCTTCACTGGACGCTGCGCTGCGCATGGCAGGAGGTAACAAACACAAACACACACACACACACTCTGCATGAGCTTTAAATTAAACTTCCTGCTCTGTTCATGCAGTCGAGACGTAGGACCAACACGTCTCATTCAAGATTTATTTTGAAACTCAAGTCAGAAAAAATGATATAAAATGGGTCAAACAAAACGTATTAAGCATTCCTTATATTGTGTAACTGAAAATCAAATTGAGCCGCCATTACAATAAATATCTATGTATGGATACGTCGCCTTTGTGAACTGTCATCACACTTGTTGTGTGATGCTACATGATTTGCTCTCATGTAGTTGTATGGCTAAAGGTAAATCCTCACCATGTTTTACTTTTCCTTTTTTCTAAAGCAAAAGTTGAGAATGCCATCAAAGGTAATCACAGCTGATCGGCTGATCCGATCCACTGTTGTGACCCGTGAAACGTCCCCTCTTGTGTTTTCTGTGGTACTTTGTCGTTGTGATTTGTGTAGCTCTGTGGCGGTTGTGTGTGCTGTGACTTGTGTATTAAACATAAATCCTATGAGGCCAACTTGTGATCCAGTTGCTCCACTGTCCTGCAGCCATGCGGGAGACCAAAGAGGCCCTGGAGAACGTCGGCTCCTCGTTGGAGGTTCTCCAGGAGGGGACGGGGAAACTTCTGACCAGTCTGTCGGGGGAGCGCTCCTCTCTCTCCAACACCTTATCAGACCCCGCCTGCACCAACGGCGCCGTGTCGCACACCTGCAACGCCATCCGCTCCACGCTGTCGCAGCTGGGAATCAGCGCCGACTTCTCCACGGTACCGAGCAACTGAAAATGAAGTGACGCGTGAGATTAGAAGTAGTAGTTGCCGTGTTTGCTCATCTTCAATCTTCACCTTTTTGTGTTCCGTCAGCTGCCGGATGTCACTCGTGCCTTGGAAAATATCAACACCGTCCTGAAGACGGACCTCAGCAACATTGTACAAAAGGTTCGCCTCTGTCTCCTGCTCATCATCATCCTGTTGTCACTTTCTTTTCACCGATCGTATTCTTAAGAAATGCCTCCTGTTCCTTAAGTCATCCATTCTCTCCTCCTTTCCACCTCCAGGGTTACTCATCCTTTAATGATACACCGAATCTGGTAAAAGAACAGACTAAAAACATTGTCTCAGGTACGGAAGTGTGTGTATATGTATGTTTATTTAGTTTACCAAACAACGCATTACAATGGTTTTTTTTCCCCTTCTTTTCAAATTAAATGAGATTAAGTCTGATTAGAGTATTTTACTTTCATACTTGTTTCTCTTGCGAACTTGTGAATGATGAAACCACAGCTCTACCTCGTAAGTCCTTCTCTGTCCCTTTTCACTTTCTCAATATGGTGACCTCTGCGCCGACGGGCCTTCTAATCTGTATTCTCTGTCATCCTGTTTGCACGTGTGTGAAGGAGTAAAAGGTATGCTGGACAAGATCGGCATAGAGATCAACGGCTTCTCAAAGATGTTCCCGGTGGAATCTTCTCTGGTCAATTTCACCATTTTCCTCACCCAAGGACAGAAAAACATAGAGTCCTATTACCCGCAGGTGGACCAGATGGATTTCTACAGGTTTGTGCGTTTCTCTGTGTACATGAATCAGGTTTTGAGAACAGAAACCACATTATCACATTATGGGAACAAACTTTCCATCTGGGAAAAATGTTGCCTCCTTCAATGTGTGTATTCGTGTTAATCAGTCTTTGTGTTAGTCGATGCAGCGTCCCCCCAGACGACAGCACTAAGTCTGCGTGTGTGTGTGTGTGTGTGTCTGTGCCGCAGGTGGATCGGCTGTGTGGCCGTGCTCTGTATGGTCGTCTTGGTCCTGGCCTTCAACTTCCTGGGGCTGCTGTGCGGCACATGTGGCTACGATAAGCAAGCCACGCCGACAACGCGAGGATGCCTCTCAAACACCGGCGGCAACCTGCTCATGGCGTATGCCACATTTTTTTTATTTCATAATTTTCCATTTTTAACCTTTGCCCTGAATGAAAGATGCATTCTGCCAGTGAATTATTGATTATGATTATGTTTCACATGCTCTTTCAGTGGGGTGGGCTTCTCCTTTATCTTCGTCTGGGTGCTGATGGGCATCGTGACCGCCCTGTTTGTCGTCGGTGGCAACGTGGAGAAGATGGTGTGCGAACCGCTCGCCAACAAGACAGCTGGTTTCAAGGTGTTGAAAACAAACTCTTCTTTCCTGAATTGTGTCACTTTTTGACTCTCCCCTTTCTCTGCGAGCGTTGTGTTTGATAACAAACTTAATGTACGCGTCTCTGTTTGTGCTTTCAGATCATAGACACGCCATTCCTGGTCCACCCTGCCAAGAAGAACTTCCTCCCAGGGATGCTGTTCCAGAATCCAAACATTGACTTGACTTTGGGAAGCATGTACAGGTAACAGGCCAGCAGCTGATACTGTACATGATGTAAATAAAGCTCAGTGTTTGCTACAATTTAGTTTGTTGGGACTGAAAGTTAAGAAAAAAAGCTATAAATAACATCAGCTTTATTTGCTGCATATTATGCCTCAAAGTAAAAGCAAGATAAATAATGTTAGTGCTGCTAATTACATTGGTCAATGTTTTTTTTACGTTTTTGTAATTAGCAGTTTTAAGATCGAGCTGAGCTGTGCAAAGGGACGCAAGTGAGGGGTTTCAGTGTGTGACCATTCTGTCTTTGTGTTTTGAAGGGACTGCTATGAGAACAACGGGCTGTACCATTCTCTGCAACTGGAGACAATGTTCAACATCAACACCTTCCTCAACAGAACTGTGGTAGGAAACACTGATAAGTCTGTGTCAAAGTCTGCGTGAACAGTTCAGGAAATCAGGAAATTAGGAAATCAGGAAACATTTATTAGCCAAAATATGTCAAACATACAAGGAATTTGTCTTGGCGGTTACTTATGAGCGCATATGTTTGTTTGAAACAGTACAACAGGGATCTGGCCAAAGTGTTTGAGAGTGTTCAGGTCGACCTGCAGGACATCACGCTGCTCGAGCAGGCCGGCAGAGACAGCCTCATCAACTTCGCCAACTCTGGAGTTGGACACATTGACTACGAGGCCTACCTGGCCGAGGTAATGTGTGTGTGTGTGTGTGTGTGTCTACTATACCGGTTCCACCAAATGGGGACAACAATCGGGTCCCCGCAGAGCAAAGCATTTATTTATCAGACGGTTGTCTTGTAGTCACTGTTGTTCACCTTTTGGATGTTTTTTTGTAACATGGTTATTTAATAAGCTAAATCATAGATAATTCCTATTCAGACAGCAGGAGGGAACCTACATGGTCCTTTGTTTTTTGTCTTAGGTCAATAAGGGAGTCACTCTCGTGGATCTCCTCACCTTCTCAAGCGACCTGGAGGCTCAGGCCGACCAAATGGTGAGTGTCATCATCACCTTACCTGCAAACTACACCAACGCTGTGATGCTGCTTTTATCATTCGAATGATGAAATAATGATGTGCGATGACGCAAGGCTGCCAACCAACAGACCCAAATTTAGTGTTGGACAGCGTCTCTGGAAACTAATTCTGCTTCATGCCCTGAACGGTCTGAACAAGCGGCCCATTCACCCTGAACACACACATTAAGCCACATGCATCGTACATAGTACAAGAACTGTGCCATTTAAAGGCACACGGGACTTTCCACGGAAGGATTAGCGTTTGTATTTCTACACAAAGAAGGAATTGATTGCTTGTCCTCAAGATTTAACTGCAACAAATCGCTTCAATCCTCTGCGCATTGTGTGTTTGTTTGCTTGTTTGTGACTGTTTGTTTACAGCCTCGTGGTGCTCTGGAGAATGCACTGAAGGGGCACGCCAGCAGCATCAGACAGATTCACAGAGAACAGGTGGTTCCCATGGAGCAAGCAATGGTAATCACCTCCCATCAAATATCGTCGCTTCTATTTATTGCATCCATGGTTGCGCACACACAAGAAAATACACACAGATATGCTGCTATGTCCGAAAAAACAAACCAAAGTAAAGACCTCCTAATAGCAGGTTGTGCTCCCACACAAGGAAAAAATAAAATATATATATATATTCTTTTAGTTTTTTGCTCCTCTTTACTTATTCTCTCTCTTCTTCCTCGGTTCGGTAAATGATGACAGAAATATGTCAAAGCGCGGGTAAGCCACCGTTTTGTGAGTGTCGTTGATGTCGTGACGGCGGTGACGTGACGTGGTGGCGTTTTTGTTAATGGGTCATTTAGAGACGCAGTTAATGGTTTGTTTGATAAAACCTTCCTGTTTTCGTCTCTTCAAACAGAGCACGTTGAGCCAGAGCATCAAGCAGCTGCAGAGGATGTCCAGCGACCTGCCGGTCAGGAAGCCACATGTGCACTCAACAACTTAATGGAAGCATCACATGCTTTAAATGACATAAACTCATTTGCCGCATTGCTGTTGTGTGTTAGCACACAGCCAATGACGTCTTCTTATCAAACCATGCATAAAACAGCCATTTAACTTCTGTAACTGAACACAAACAAACCGTTTCCGCTCACTTACTTAAGTGTCTCATTTGTGAAGATTAATTTCTTGCCTTGTCCGTCTCCTACAGGTCAAGGTCACAAATATCCTGAGTGCCATCGACGCAGCCGAGTACCTCATCACTCACAACGCCTCCTATGTGGTGAAACAGGTATGAAAAAGATAAATACTACACGTTGTGTCATATGAGTGATGTGGAACAATGCACACGTGGATACGTCTTCATTTTATTTCTTGCCACATTTGTGGCATCAAATGAATCACATATTGTTAATCTAAAAACTTGTTTTAATCAATTCCATAGCACTATTTTGTTTTTTAACAAGAACACAACAGCAACAACCTCTTGTATTACAAATCCAGTTGTAATTGATTTAAGCAGAAACGGCACAAAAAGAGCATTTTTTAAGTTACTCTTTTCTTTACTGTATGAAATGACTCCATATTTTATCGTACTGTAGGAATCCACACTAACCCTCCACAGGCTGCAGTCTCACGTTTGCTGACACGTTTTCCTCTGTTGGCGTCTAGGAAACAAAAGGCTACACACAGAGCTTGGTGGGATACTTCACACAGTATACGGAATGGGTAAAGAACTCTGTGAGTAAACCACCAGTTTTCTATGATATACGGTGGAGACGTCTGCTTTTAAAGTGTATGGGGCGATAACATGTGGTGAAAATTAGAGGAAAATGTCAGTAGAGACTTTGTAGGCAGAAAGGAAGAGTTTGGTTGATGAGTGCAAATTGAAAACCGAAGTCAAGGTGTTCCTTCAGTGTTGGATTTATACTTTTTTCTGATTATGGTAATTGAGCAGTAAGAGGTCACCTGCACACATAAGAGTCAACAGTTTAACGGCAATAAGTGGTGTAAAAAGGGTTTAAACCATTTGTTCAAAAGTCTTAAAGATGCGGAAAGTAGGATTTTATTTGTTTATTTTGACATTGTGGTCGGAACCCATTGGACCAGGTCTCTTCTGTAAGCCGCGTTCCAGATCGTATACCTTTTACTTTAAGTACGTACTGCTGTTGCCCCTACAAAGGAGCCTCCGTTGCACATAACATGGCACCTTGAACTTTGACCCTCTTGCTCGTGTATCTGCTGCACAGAGGATTGTGGGTCAGAATACCTAGAAAAGCATGCTGGCTTGTGTGCTGATGTGGTCAAACACCCTGATATTTTTGATATACTCTGTTGACATTCTATGTGTTTGGATACACAAAATACTTTCAGGGAAACTAACTAGTTTGGGAGTAACTGTATTGTAACGCACAGTCTATACACGGCCTAAAGCTCATGCACTGAGGTGGCTCCCAACAGGAAAATACGTCATGATCGCCGCTTTGTCTGAATATTTTAAGAAGCTCACAGAGACTCTGTCTGTGCATGACGAGTGCTTCAGACATATTGTCAGTGTGATTGGATCAGACGCACGTTAATGTTTTAACGTAATGTTTTAACGTATTAACAGGGCCAGGATCTCTGACTTCAACCAGATTATTTAAACAGTTCAAGGAGCCACTTTGATTTCAGTTTACAGTCTACAATAGAAAAGGTTGAGGGGAGGTCGTCTTCCACCTGCTCAAAGTAATGGTTTCACGTTTTACATCATCCATACGATTTGTTTGTGTGTGTGTGTTTTTTCCCCCACAGCTGACTTCAGAGGTGGCCCAGTGTAAACCCATCAGCAACATCGTGGACAGCATGGAGATCGTAGCGTGCAGCTTCATAGTCGATTCAGTGGTGAGACACCCCAACACTGTGTGCGTGTGCTTGTGTGTGTGTGTGTGTTTGGTCGTGCGCTCGCGCTGAGGTGCACTGATTCATCTCACCGCCGTGTGTACAGTACATTTGGGTGAAAACCTTTGATTCGTAAACAGCTCTTTGACTGTGAGGGCGCTCTGGGTTTGTGGGAGTGATGAAGACTGTGGAGCGGTTCGGGGCCACGCGTACTGGAACAGTTTGTTTTCGAGTCGCCGACACACTCGCTCACATGCTGAGATGAGTTAGTGTCTGTTCTGATGAGCGGGGTTACGCACACATAGATCTTCTTACTGTTTTCACTCCTGACCTGAGGAGTTGCATAGTGTTGTATTTACATATCAGCTAAATATTGTGTGTGTTTTAAAATGAGAGCACTATTTGTGCCTGTGCATGTGTTTGTGCATGTGTAGATTTGTTGTGCATCCATATGCCTGTGTATGAAATCTTTAGGATTATCTATTAATGGGCATTATTAACACTTTGAAGACATTGGGAATAGTGCCAGATGAGTCCTGGGGACAATCCTTACATTTTTAGATTTTTGAGACCAATAGTAAACTAAAATTACCACTTTATATTTACATTATGGCTGTTCTACTTACTACTATAAAGAATCTGAAAACATCTTCTACCACTTGAATAATGAATTAATTCATCGAATGATCTTTGAAACTATTTTAGCATTAAAAATCAATTTCAGTTTAATCGACTACAAATAGGAATATATCCAAATGTTAATTGGAGAAAACTGACCGGTCGACGTGTTTTTCAGAACACGTTCTGGTTTGGACTGGGAGGCTGCTGCATCCTTCTGATTCCCAGTATAATCTTCTCCACCAAACTGGCCAAGTACTACAGAAGGATGGACACAGAGGACGTCTTTGAGGAGTGAGTCCAAACACACGCACACGTTCTTGCAGACACGTGTGATGTTAGGTTTTTTTTTCTGGATCTTTTCCGTTGATCGAAACTAAATTAATGAATACCTTTCTTTCCTTCTCTGTCATATTCCTTTCCATGGCCCTTTGATTCTCCTCGTGTTGTATCCGCTGTCTCTCCAGCACCTCTTACCCGTGGCTCGTTGCACTTTGATGTTTGTCTGCCATTCACGCGTCCTTTCGCCCCTCTTCCCCCGCACCCCGTTTGATACGGGACACTTCGGTTTTGGATCCCTTCACTTCTTTCTTGCATCCTTTTTCGCCTAAAATCACAAGCGTGGCCTTCTTCTCCTTGCATGGATCTTCATCTCGTCGTCTTGTCCTGCGTCTTCCTGCTCGCTTTCCACTTGTATGCCAAGGATCACTCCGTCCTTGTTGCTTTGAGCTTTCTCTCTCTCTCTCTCACCCGCCGACCCTCGCTCTTGTGTTGCACTATGGGTAATGCAGGTAATCATGGGGTGCAAGCGTGCCGTATCCACGGTGACCTCGCTGCGGTCGGGTACGAGTGGCGTCTCTGCTTGCCGCGCTGGTAATTGGTGGAGGGACATTTTGTAGAGTCTGCAGACATTTGCTACATTTCCCAACAGATTTTTACTTTTTTAAGAACTCCCCATGTGTGTGTGTGTGTGTGTGTGTGTACATATAGGTGTGTGCGTGCATGTAGCTCTCCCTATTGTGACACTCTGGCCCGGTTCCCTCGGGCCTCTGCTCCACCGAGCTGCTCCGACTGGTGACCCAAAGGAACTCGTCGATGAGGTATAACTTTGCACTAACCCTCATGCAACAACGTGGTCGAACAACTAAAACCGCCATGAGAATCATTCCAACGACATCAGTCCCATTTCACCCAGGAGACCGACGCCTTCTTCCTGCTTGCTCCTGTTTTCTTCATCCTTCATCAATCATCGTCGTCTCTTTTAAGAGACGAGGTTCATTCAAAGACCGGGACTCAAAAAGAAAAAGTTACTCATGATGGAGTTAAGAGGAAGTCGCCCTTTTACACCCGACACTGTCTGCGAAATTGTATGTAGCTGTGGACCGATGAAGCATAGGTCATAGAATACACACACAGACACTTTATTTTCTTTAAGATGCGTACTCAAAGATGGCGTTAAGTAATGATACACTCCTCCTTGGTGGATTATAAATTAACCAAATATTTTTTCCGCAGGATTTTAAGGAGATATTTTGCAAAGAAAACGATTGAATAAAAGATACCATCTTGATTCTGAAACTAAGTCAATGTTTATTTTTCCACAGTGGACAGGAGACGTGGAACTGATACTTCCCCTGTGGTAAGTGCCACTCCTCACCTCAGCGACAACAGATAATATAAAGCACACTGTTTGACAACAAACAAGGCCTCTCTTTTCTAGGGTCACTGAACTTCACAGCTTTCCCGTTCAGATCTTGTAACACGTTCAAGGACTGACGGGAAGAGCGACAACAACCGGGGACTGTGTGGTGAGGGAGTCCCGCTCCCCGTTGCCCCTGCAAGCCATTTTGGCGAGGAACTCAAATGCCCGCCAACTATAATATATCAATAATATTCTCACACGCGTCCGAACGAGCACCAGCAGTCCTCCTAGTGTGTGATACTGTGCATCAGCAACTACCAGAGCAACTTTCCAGAATAGCTACTTTTACCTGTAGAGAATACATTTGTTTGTACTTAAGTTATCAATTTCTAACATGGTGACACAAGTGTACATTTTTTACGCTTTCAACCTTTTTGAAAGTTTTCTATATTTTTGTTAATGTTTGTTTTATAACACATGAGTAGTTTTTTGTCGAAGTAGGTCTTTTCTTTTCTCCGTCAAAATTTGTAATAGCTCACATAATTTTCGCTCTACAAATTTGATCGACAAGGAAATTAGGGAATAGTCTGACATTTTGGGAAACGTGTTTATTTGCAGAGAATATTGCTCAATTGTGTTTTCGTTGAATAACAAACTGTTGTTACGTTGCTACGTTTATCACGAAGACCCAAACGAAATGTAGCGACATTTTTTAGCATCTAATGCAAAGCAGCAGTCGTCCCTGGTCCTAAATGCTAACAAGTATTTTGTACTAAGGGCGACATTGTGAATAAATGACTATTTTAAGGTGATAACGTCACTAGACGAACAGGCAGGTGATCACCAAAGTCGATGCACTTCAAGCCAAGGACACCGTAAATCTGCAGTAAATCCATCCAATAGTAGTTTGGACATCAATAAAACCTCAAGGAATCCGTCAAAATCCTTAAGACACTGTAGAAAACGTCATAGAAGACATTTCCATCCATAGAGCCAGTTTACGAACAACCACCATTTACAAGGGTGTTATACGCTGGAATATCTTTATTATCTGGATTTCTTAGAATTGTTTTTAAACTCTTTTTAACAAATAATAAAACAAGTAAAGTTTTTACCAGAAACCGGCTAACTCTCTTCCTGTTTGCAGACTTTGTGCTAAGCTAACTGTTGCTGCAAAGCTGCAGCTAAATTGTTAGACCGCAATCTGTGTGTATGCTATCTTTTTAGCAAACTTTCAACAACAAAATGAATATTGCCCAGAATGTCAAACAAATACTTTAAACATTGAGGGATCATTACGACCTTTTCAAAACACACAAACGCAAAAACAAATATCCAAACCAGATATTGTGTCTTGGGCATTTCTCGCCAGACCCTTAGTGACCACTAGTTGCTTGAGCTGTCAGGGTTTTTTGTTTTTGTTTTTTTTCACCGTCCTTGGATCAGAAAAATAACTTCCAGAGGCCTCTGTGGTGGCAGACGCACGTACACCATTAAATAAATGATAATTCACAACTAAAGTTTGGGGTGAGGATGCAAATCAATAAATAAAAACTTCAGTCCGATAAGTCTGCTGTGTATTTCTTCCCTAAACACAAGAGACGGATATATCAGTGCCGTGTGTCATAAAAAAAAAAGTTATCTTTTTAACTATCGTGTCAAGTGTTTCATGCTGTACAGAAACTCAAAGCCACACTGCTGTGAATGAAAAAGAACACCTGATGATATTACTGAACACACAGCAACAGGCAACGCAGAGAACATTCATGTACCATGTGCAGATTGGAGTACATGCCGACACAGCAGCTGAGAAGAACAGTTTCAGGAAGGTCTGCAGGGAGGGAGGGAAGGGGAAGGGGGGGGGGTTGAGATGGTGTGACCTTCTACTGCATCCTATCAGAAGAGGACTACACTAGTTCTATTCAGGGACACGTCTGGTTCCGACCACATACACTTCACGTGTTTAGTTTGTCTCCCAAAGGGGAACTTTTTCCTCTCCCCCACCAGATTGATGGCTGTAAAAACAAAACTCGCCGAATGTACTGAGGTATATTTTCTACACGCGTGTGCGACTCTATGCAGCAGCAGACTACATTGGACTTTCTCCTCAAAGGGAAGTGTTTCGTTTCTTACCCACCATTTCCCACTTTTGTTGTACTTTGCTTTTTGGGAAATAGGCTACTTAATTTGGTCCAAGATGAGACCAGTGAGACAAAATCTATGGTTAATAATAAACAACATTGACCCTTGGTTTTTGAAAGTCCTCTTTTCAATAGTAGTCTGCCATCAGATCGCTTTGCAGCTGAGCTCCAAAGACTCGTGGATTTCTTATTTCTTTCAGCCTAAAAACATGTTGAGCTTTTTTAAGCCCTTTCCAAATAACTTCAGGCAGCACCTCTTACGGGACGTCCTCGGTCCTCTCCTCCCCCTCTCCCCATCATCAATAGTCAAAGGACCTCCTGTGTGAAATCATATAATGACTCACAACTGTGTTTCACAGTATTTGGCTTCATGTGTGAGCCCCCCGTCCCCGTCCCCCCCCCTCCACAGCTCCCACAAACCTGCTGACCGCATCCCCTCACCCCTCTTCCTCCTCCCTTAGTTCATGCCCACCCTCTCATCCATCACTTTTTGGGGGGGTCTTGAACATGCCACAAAGGCTTCATGTGGTCGTTGTGTGTGTGTGTGTGTGTGTGTTGTGAGGGAGGGGGAGGGCTCAGTGGTGGAGGAGGAGTTTGAGGCCTCCAGCTCACCTGAATAATACCTTCTTTGTGAGCTTCAACCATATAAAGTCCCGCTCAGATGCGTTCCACCCTTGCTCACCTCAACCTTCCGAGCGGATACATACCCATCGTCCCGCACGCCCTCCCGCCGCCATGACATCCAGGATGACAGTGGGGCTGCTGTTTCTGGCAGCAGCTGTGTGTGCGTCGAGCGCTCAGACCAACAACAGCAGCAATGACAACCGACAGCAGCAGCAACGCAGCGTCTGGGACGAGCCCATCAGATTCAGCACCAAAACCAAAGACTCCTGCACCATGGTGGTGTCTGCAGCCGGGGACTATACTCGCCTGCGTGTCTCCTGCAAAGGTCCGAGCCAGGGCCAGACGCCGGCACGCTCCTACTACTGCGACTTCCAGGGCAAGCCCAACTCGTGCCGCGCCTACAACCTCAACCCTCGCCACTACTTCACCCAGACGATGTGGGACATGAGGAAGCTGAGCCACGCCTGCCAGGGACCCAAAGTCTACCGCCCAGCCATGTGCAAGAAGTACCCAGACGAGGCCCAGATGACCTTCCTCTCCTCCTGGCCCAAGACCGCCGGCTCCAAGCCCTCTAAGACCGCCCAGGAGGCCGGCAAGCCGGTCGTGCCGGCCAAGAACAAGCCCGCCACCACGCCCAAATCCGTCAAGCCCCAGCCGGTCAAGCCCCAGCCAGGCAAGGGCCCCCAGACCAAGAGAACTACCCCCAAGCCTGTGAAGACCACTACGAGTGCCACGGAGCAGCCGGACTCCGAAGCCTCCCGCGTCGCCTCCGAGTACTGCTGGGAGAGCTTTCACGGCGTCTGCACCTACTTCATCGGCTGGTTCCAGAACTGAGGCGATGCTGCAGACACGGGTGGGTGGAAAATTAAGAAGTGAAAAGTCCGATAGAAAGTTTAGAGAGAGGTTGGCTGGAAAGGTTAGACGATGCGAGTGAAAGCCCAAAAGCATGGTGGTTAACGGTTAAGAGATCTTGATCTTGGTGCATCTTCCACAAGATGAACAAACTTTTTTCGCAAATGAGTGACAAAAAAACACTAATCTTCCCTTTGTTTCAGGCTGGCGACACCAGCGGCAGAACTCGCCTCGTCCATCTTCGACCTCCAGGATCTGTGCTGAAGTGACTCTAACACCTCGTTGGGCCTGACTCCCGACACCGCGGCATCTTCTACGAGCCGAGCCAAAATCACTCAACCTACTTGCGTACGGTTCGTTCATGATTGCTGGTGCTGTCATGATGTGTATATGTCTTTTTTTTTTTTTTAATAATCTGTAACAACACACAGCAAGGCAAAATGGAAAATATGGCAGGCATTTGATTGTGTTTGTATATGATGTAAAAAAAAAAATGCCTTCCTTGTGTCACATCAATGTTCCAACAACAAGTAAAGAGAATAAAGTCAGAGCGGAGAGATCTCATCTTCCACCTTTTTCTTTTTCGTCTCTGTGTCTGCTCTGTTTCTCGTCCCGCGCGTTTTCTTTCACACTCGCTCGTTTCAAAAGAAGGCCTTGTCCCTCTGCGTCGACCGGCTGCAACAACACGTCTGCAGGGCGGCGCCCTCTGGGACTCGTTAATGCAGTGATGATGGCGCACGGGCCGTCTGGGAGCAGCTAAGCACCTCTTTGTACGGGCCGATGAATCGGGTCTTAAGAGCTGCCACGTGCTGGAACAGAGGGGGGGGTCTGTGCCGGAGGCAACGAGTGTGGCCTCACAGCGAGAGCGGAGCCCAGACCCATTCAAGTTCTAGTGCGGCAGGAGGAACGACAACGTGCCGAGGGGCCCGCCGACGACCTCACACAGGAGTGTGTGCGCAGTGAAGCAGTGAAGTGTATTAAAAGTGCATTTTTCTGATGCATTTATGCAGAAGCTAATTAGTGTTCAGCTAGTTTTTAAACTCGGAGGTCGAGTCTCCTCTGAAGGGTCGATTCGCAGGAGTCTTTTCTCTAATTTTTGCTTCTTTTTTTTTATAAATTAACAGATTTAGTTTATTTTACATGTCGTTCCTAAACAGTTATTTAAATGAATCCTTTTCGTTTCAAGTTTAGAGGGAAAATGCAAACTACTTATTGAGCTCCGAAACACACAGAAAACGTTAAAGCGCTAAAGACGGAATTATTAGGAATCACTATAGCACGTTAACAATAGCTTGTGTTTTAAAGTTGTACAATGTTTATTAATGAAACATCTGTCGGATAAAATGATTGGAAAAAAACATTTGAACTCTCTTAAACGTAACGGAGCAGAAGTATGAAGTAGTGCGAAAGGGGAAAGCTGAAATAAAGCCCTGAGTAAATGTAGTTCCTCTCCACCATTAATCACGTCTTCACTGTTATTCAGAGGCTGCTGGGATTCTAGTGACCACAAGATGGTGCTGCTGAGTCCACACACACACACACACACACACACACACACACACACACACACACACACACACACACACAAGCCTTCATATGAGTGATGTGCTGTAATCTGATATGTAGATCAACCTCACATCAAGTACTGTTAGAAAAATTCTTAAAACAGGACATTTAATGTTTGCAAACAGGAGACGGTCATGTGCCAAGGCTACTCAAAGGTTTTCTTTTCCAGCACCAACATATGCCCCCTTCTTATCATGACATGACCAGGATCATTTGCGCTGGAAAGAGGGATAATTGCATGGGGAGGAGAGACATCAGAAGGGATGTTGTAATGAACGAGAGGCTGCACACTCCAGATGAAGACTTCCTCTAACTTCTGATTGAACCCATGAAGGAGCTCGGCGAGTTAATGTCAGGAGATCAAAGCAGGAACCAACAGAGCGTTTATGTGGAGAGGGGAAGCTGACATCTGGTGGATATGTTACTGTTTGATAGATAACTGTAAGACAGAACAAAGGAAAGTCAAATTAACAATCAAACTGTGACTAAAACAGTATATTTAACCAAACTAAATACTGCGGAAGGCTTTGAAATCAACCATTCCAGTTAGATCAAAGGGGCTTTTAACATCGTCCACATGCTCGCTTGCGGCCAACGCCGCAGCCTCGTCCCGTCTCCCCTGCATTTCCCCAAAGTCTGGCTTTAAGGGACACTGCCCAATATCCAAGTCCCTGTATCCTCGTCCACAACATTCTCTTTGCTCCTATTTGGATTGATTTCTCTGCTGCTGGACACAAAATTGGTTTTGCAATGCAAGCTAACGCAACATGAACGTTTTTTTGAGGGGCATCCTGGCAGCAATCTGAAGTGTCCTAAATGTGAGGCAACCCGCAGGAGACTTTGCCACCCGGGTTCATTTACGGCTTGTTGCTTCTTTCTTGTCTTCCCCCTGCGGCCCCCCTTTTCTGGTTCTCTGATGATGTAATGTCCATTGAAGGCCAAAAGCCCCAAAACAGATCTTAAAATGTAAAAAATAAGACCTTCACTGCTTTCTCTCTAGTGTGTGAGGGCAACTTGTCCAATGCAACATGATGTTTATTTAGTTAATCATGAGCACAGTTGAAGTAAAATGGACAATGAAGAAGGTCACTATCCGTGAATGACAGCAACTGAAATGCGTGTTTTACTTGTATCATCATATTTAGAATTACCTGTGTTTTTACTTGATCCTACATTGTAACCTATTTGTTACCTTGAGCCTTTGCACGGATGACACGAGCCAAGCCACATGGCCGGAAGTTGAAAGAGAGAATCTCCTTTGTGGTGAAGCGCGGCAGCGGATTGGTGGAAAGTCAGTCGAGCCTCCAAGAATGCGCGTGCGCGTGTTGGGGTTACAACGCGGTAACCATGCTCGTTACCGTTATTTAGAATCAATCCGCTGCGCGCCTCCATCACCATTCGTTTATCTTTGATCTCGCGGTAAACTCAGTTAAAGGCGGGATTTGCGTTTGGACACGTCCGGTCGGGCAAGAACAAAACGCACTCTCTTCTCCCTAAACAAACTACTGTCTATAGAATTTCCTCAATGCATGTGTGCGTGTGTGTGCGTGCGTGCGTGTGCGTGTGTGTTTGTGATCGCGTTGGGCGGGAAGGCTGGGCGTGTCGAAGCATCTATCTATGAAAGCCATGTGCGAGATCCCGGAGAGCCAAAAGAAGCAGCTTTACGCACGGCAACCCTCGGAGTTTACGGTAAAGTGGAGTCCTTGTTTTGACTTTCTCGTGCGTTCTGTCCGTGAAGTAGTCCCTAATGTCCTCGACAGGTGTCTTTAGATTAACTGCTGGCACCGGAGTTACATTTTAATCGCACAGTTTCATTGCGTAATAGTTACCAGATTGGCACACGACATTTACGGTTTATTTACCGTAGGCTCTTTTTTCCTTTCAGACCAGAACACATTATCTGTTAAGAGAGAACATGCTGCTGCTGAGGACTGTCGCGCCCTGGATGCTGCTGGTCTTCCTCGGGCAGCAGGTCTCTCTGTCCTGCGGCACGCGCTATACGAAGGGAGTGCAGATGAGTGGGTACATGCCCGCCGCGAGCGGCCGGGGAAAGTTCCTCGCCACGGACAAGATGCTCTGCTCGTGGGGGACGGAAGACGTCGGGGACACCGTCAGGCTCTCAGTGAGATGCAAGGACCAGAAGACGCGCGTCAAAGGCGCAGTCGCCGATCTGGAATGCCAATACAACGCCAAACCGCAGAGCTGCCCGGGCTACAGGTCCGACGCCAGGGGCTTCTGGAAACAGGTGGCCCGCGCGCTCAAAAAGTTGCGGGGCAAGGTGTGCAAGGACGGCCGCGCGCTGGTGAGGGCCGGCATGTGCAAGCGCGCGCCTCGCGACGCGCACTTCAAGCTGGACGTCCCCAGCCCCGTCGCCTCCGTGGAGGCCGCGGACCAGGAGGATCGCGAGCCGCTGCCCACTCGCTCCGTCTCCGCCGCACCGACGGCCTGCGGCGCGCGCGCGGACCACTGGGAAACGGCTGAAGAGAAGTGCGGCAGCGCGTGGGCCAGCGTGTGCAACTTCCTCCTGTCCATCGTGCAAAGGGACGAATGTTGAGTCTCGGATCACAGGACGACGCGCAGGATCGTTCACAGACTCGTCCACGTGGGGATATTAGCGGGCATTTTTTTAAGTATCTCTTTTTTGGAAAGTAACTTTAATGCTGAGCAGCTTGTTCTTAACTCCTTTTTGTTTGCTCAAGTTGAATAAATACACGATAAATACAACATATAACATGCCATTACAGTTACTTTTAAGATTTCAATTTGTATAGATGTTATTGTTACAGATTAAAATTAATGTTAGACACGCAATTAAAAAGCTGCTCAAACTTCAATGCGCTAATAATGATGATATACGTTTTGTTTTTATATAGATTATTTTATTGCTTGAAGTAAAATCTGCTGATGAATCTGTTTCTTACTTTCGAATATTTTTTGGGCCTTTTTGACTATTCAACGACTTTCTTCAACGCACAAACATGCACCAACCGCAGAGCATTGCTGACCTGATTTCAAAGTTTTGACTGCTGGATCCTGAGAAAATTGCCTTAATTATAGTGTAGTGTGTTAATAGTGTATTTTTACAATGTGGTTTTGTTATATTCAACGTTTATATTATTATACTATTCAACTGGATTATTATAATATAGAGTGGTACATTTCTTCTACCTCTGGTCAACTTTATCAATCAACCATGTAAACAGCTCAAAATAAAGGTTTTCTATTCATACAATGTGTCCTCTTGCCTTGTATGAATATGACTTTTAAAGGGGAGAAGCAGTGGGATATATGAAGTTGGTGTGTGGACAAAATGAGCAAAATAAAATACACATTTTATCTGTCATTTATTCTCTCAGTCCTAAATCTTATGACTCAATTCCTTGATTTGTTTTATGTAAATATTTTTCAAAAAAAACAACCACTGTGTAACACGAGACTGCAGAGCACTTTTAGAGGTACTGAGTTGAAAAAATCAAATCAATTCCTTCCTAAGGACTTTTAAACAGAAGCGTCCAGTGCTTTTAATATCTTAAATGAGTCTTAAGGGCTTTGTGTCAGAACTCACTTGGCCGATTGAATCTCAGGTTCCTTTCACCTCCGGCGGGAGGAACACAAAAGCGGAGTGATTGTACATGAAGTTCAGACAGAAGACTTGTTCCTCTGGTTTCCTGCAGAAGTCTTAACTACTTTCTCAGTGACAGCGGCCCGCTGAGCCACGGAGATTGTGAGGAGACTGCTGTGATCCAGCTGTGTGTGTGTGTGTGTGTGTAATCACAAGACAATAACAAGTGCAAGCCCAGATGTGGATTTTATGTTTTCCTGTCAGTTCCTGAACTTCTTCACCTCTGACCTATTGCTCCTTCTACCCTACGACAGACACTTAAAAAAAAAAAACGAACTGGAGAGAGATTTCCACCTTTTAACGGAAGTCCGCTCTCTTTGATGGCACAAAAGGGATTTTGTTTCACCGATTCCTTCAACCAGAGCTCAAGGACACATTCCAGGAAGGAGGAAGTAGTTAGAGGTTAGAGGTCAAGGGCCAAAAAGGAAATGAGGATACCATCCCAAAAGCTGCCTCCTCCGCGGGTCCTCGTGTATTTTTTTCAACATTGGGCTCCTGCAGGCTTTGATCAAGAGGAGATGATGAAGTGCTGCCGCGGCAGTAATGGAGCGTGGAGGAGCTGCAGGGCTGTAAATCAGACGGCTGGTGTGGTTTTAAACCTCACCTTTCTTTTGGAAATGTTAATTATCTACTGTTGATTTATTTCTAAACAGCCTTAAATCTAAGATCTGCCTGTTTCCTCTGTGTGTTTTCGGGTTTGGCCGCCCGCCTGGCTGGTCTCATCCAGCAGTCGTAGCTACGAAAGATAATACAAGATAATGTCCTACAGAACCACGAGCGGGGGAAGTATCGACCTTTTGACCTCATTCACATTTCAGTCGCATACATCAGAAAACTCCAGCCGGCCTTATGTACTTCCTTCTTTTAGGTGACCGGAAGAACTTCTCGTCAATCCGCAGCTTGAAGATGAGCTCTAATATAAAAGATCCTGTGTTTGATTTGTTTCAATGAGACGAGAGAGGATGGGGGGGCTACCTTTACTTTGTGGGAGAGAACTCAGCGAGTAAGATGTTCAAAGGAAAAAATCAATCTTCCTTTTTCAGCCAACATAACATTTACTGAAAAAATAAATCATTCCCCCCCCAAAAATCGAATCGGCTCGGCTCGTTTCCCAGAACACGATGTGCGATCACCAGACAGCGAAACAAATGATTACCTGTTACTCAACTGCCATTTGAGGAGAATTCTTTCTCATAGCCCCTACAAAGCCCCCAGAAACCTACTTCCTCATCACCCCCGTTAACGTGAGGTTCTACAGACTAGAAGCCCAGTCAAGAACAAAAAAGAAACACTCCACTAGCCCCGATTAAATAAATATAATGAGGTGAAGAAATCCCTGAATGAAAACACATTATCCTCAATAACCAACTCACGTGAGTCACATCAAAGGTGTGCGACACCTTTTCCGGCTCAAAGCTTCGGCGGTTTGCGGCGTGTCTCGTCTTGCCCCTCGCCGGGCGGTGACGCCGATGCTTTACAAACTGAACAAACACCCCGAGAGAGCAGCCGCCTTTGACTCCTCAGCTCAAAGCATTAAAACAACTTCTTTTTGAAAGCCCTTTGAGCTTTCAGACCTCCAAAGCAAAAGAAGACAATGCTTTCTATCGGCTCTTCCATCCGTCCTGTCTCACAAAACGGAGAAAAAGGGGTTTATTTTCCTGATGAATGAAAACAGGTGCAAACATCCTTTACTTAGTGATGGTTGGTTGGGGCGACTCTTTTTGTTGAGCGATCTTCAAAGCAGTCAAATAAATCTGATTTGCTACGTTTAGTCCATCAAATAATATAAGACGTTGAAGCTCGGCTGGATTTTCAACAATCACAGAAAACGTGAAAAAAAAAACAAGGCCCAATGTGATGTTTGGACACGATGGTTGTTCACTTGGTTGAAAAGGGCTTTTCATTTTTGGGCTTTAGATCCATTTCTTCTTCACGATGGTCCAACTTGTGACCCTTAAGGTTCACGTGACCCCTAATTGATCTGTTATGTCTCCTGGTTTGTGGAAACCGTCGCTCGCAAACTTTAAAACTCTAAACTCAAGATCTGTGGACACCTTTAAAACTGATTCTCCAGCAAAGAGTCCCACTTTTCTGTTCTTTAATGTTGAGTGCATTGTCTATTCCGCTCTTCAGCAAAGCTCAGCTTTTGCTTTAAGCCGCTGTCCGATTATGTGACAGCTCATACGTTCATAACGACAAGAGGAAATGTTTTCTTTCTTTCTAACTAATCTGTTAATGAAGGTCATCAATTTATTCTTCACCATATTTCAGTTTTTTAAATATGCGGTCGATTGATTTGAAAAAAAATCAAAGGGTGTATTTAACCTGCTCGCATATCTACATCTATTTAAAATGTTCTCTCTTGTGCGAACATAACATTTCCAGCCAAATGTAGCACAGATTGCAACCTGTTAGAAGTTAGATAAAAGATCAAAACAATTTTAAAAACACCATTCAAACCTCAAATCCTTTTAGAAAACATGATTGCGTTACTTCATTCGCGTTTGACGGAAGGCTCCGGTCTCCTCGTGTCGTTGCACGGCTCCTCTCCTTCTCTTGCACGCTTTGTTTCCCCGCTGTCAGTTTAGATCCGGTCCCGCCCCCAACGTCGATCACCTGATGTTCTGCACCCACCTGCACACCTGTTCCCACTTCCCTGATTAGCCCCTTAGTTTAAACACCTGCCCATTTGTGGTCACGACTTCATGTCGGGTCATGAAAGCAGCAGTGAAAAGACATTCTTTTGTTCGGGAGGACCAAAAGTCATCCGCTGCTTTGGTTTTCTTTTGTGTTTCTTTATCGACTCTTGTGTCAAGATGCGAAGATAACGTTGGATTAAAAATGACTGGAAATGATTATAAAAACTAGAGCTTCAGTGCAACTTGACATATGTTCCACAGGTCCTCTGTTGGGTCACGGTCCGATGGCAGCAGCATGTCATAGCAGACCTGTCTCCTCATGTGGGGATAATTATAAATCCTAATGGTACACAAAAAGAAAAGTTTGACTTTCTGAAAAGAAACCGAAAAGAAATCCGTCTTTACGTCATGACCGTTCCCGCGTTCCTCAATGCTATTTAGCTCATTCTTTTGTTGTACGACATGAATTAATTACCCGCATCAACACAGCGATGTGGCGCAGTGAATGCAAGAGAACGAAATACGGGGAACTACAGAGTTTTACTGCTTTTCAAGTCAAACTAGTAAAAGTAAAGTGGTTCTCAACATGCGCCCATCTTTTAATAGTCCTTACAGCCTTTAACATTCTATGTATGATGGTAGCTGCTCTGTGCTGTGAAACAAAACTACCCAGTCAACTTGATCTTGAACTGCAATGATGAAGAGGAGGGGCTGGATATAAAAGATCATCACAACAGAACTTTATGCTTCAGTACTTCAAAGTTCATGTTCTCCTGCAGCTTCTACTGGCAGTGGACCAGAGCCCTCTGCTGGTCCTCCGACCCATGCAGATGTACCCCATCTGGCTCCTGGCGGACTGGATCTTGTGGACGTTCCGCTGGAGAGCCATCGTGGTGAACCTCACTTTTCGGGCTCGGCACGCAGGTGCAGCGAGTGGTCCCTCTGCTCCTCCACGTTGGCCAAGTTGATGTTGGCGGTGTTCTCCCTCTGCAGGAGGAAAAATGTGAAAAGCCTGCAGGTTCCTCGCACACTACGACTGCACGCTGGCGATGAGGTTCACCTCGGCAGGAGGTTCGTGGGCCTCTGCGAGTTCCCGATGGCTTGGATGGTTTTTCACGGCGCAGGAGTCGATGATCCGCTGAGCTGAGAAAATACGTATTTGTGGATCTAGTCACTTTATAAATCCTTCTGTGTGCATTTGTAAATCTAACATACTTGTTAATTGTTCCGTGCGCATCATTTTTTGCAATTGAGAGTTGTACTGTGTGCATTTGCAATTATTGAGACTGATCTGACCCCCTTAAACCCACAATAAAACACAGAAGAGGAAGCTAAATACTTACCTAAATAATGGAAATATTACTGGTAATGCCTTCATGCTTATACCTTTGCATCTTATGTCTTATCTGTAGTTTATGTAGTCTTCAACAGCAAAGTCTCAAAAACGTATAAAACTAATGAACTGTTTTGAGGGAGTACAAAGCTGTACAAATAGCTGTACTTAAGTAAAGCACACTGAAGTATTTATCAGCTATTTTCTATGGCCCTCATTCACCAATATCTATTTTTAGTTATTTCTTACACTGTTCTCAAGAAAGTTCCTAAGAAAAGTCTGTCATTCATGACGTGTTCCTAAACAACGGAATTGTTCGCAGGTGCAGCCTTAGAATGAAGAATCCCAATATGTCGTAAATTGGAGACTGTGGAGGCCTTGACTCCAAAAGAAAGAAAAACGTAATTCTGAAGTGGAGTTAGGCCTAGCACACTTCATACACCATGGCAATTCAAAGTGCTTTACAAGTGTTTCAATGAATTTCTCCCTTTTAAAAGCTGCTCTTTCTCCCTCTTGTGGCCATCAGGAGACAGTATAAACTCAATTGAAATCACATGGGTACTTTTTAAAACATGTACTTGTATATGTGTACTTAGGGACAGATGCCGCAGAGACAAGAAAAGAGGGGTCCTTGTACTTCATCAGTTACAATATTTATTCATGCATTTATTGTTTCTGCCATACAACGAGCTAACAAAACAAACCTTCGTATTACAAATTAAAGATATATATTTTTTATATTTAAGATATTAGTCGCCATAAGCTGTATTAAGTGTTAGCTACCTTCCAAAGAAATTATTTGGATTCATACTTCAAAAGGCCTGATGGGCCGTCGCTCACGTGCAAGAACGTTTTATTGTTTTGCACATTGTGTGTTAGCTTCTTGTTTCATTGAGCAGACGGCCCAAAAAAAAAAAAAAAAAAAAAAAAAGGCCGACTTGGACACGAGGCACTTCAGGTGTGATTCCTGTTTTATTGCTTGTTTCCCGGGTTACGCATCATCTCCACCACAGAGCAATAGCAGGGCCTTTCGGTAGTCGCCGCCGGTATCTCCCTTTAAGCAAACACACAGAAATATAGAAGAAATAAATAAATGATTCATAGGTGTATAGTAACATGTTCACCAAATGTGTGCAACAGTGAGTGTGTGTCTGTACCTTGATCATGGAAAACAGGGAGCAGGCAAACAATTTCCTGAACTCAGTTCTGACGTCGAACAGGTCCACCTCACTGCGCGTCACCATCACTCTGATCAGGGTGTCATCATCGGTTCCTGCCCCCTGCGACAGCAAACACACGGTCACTGCGCGCCTCAAAAATGTTTAATGACCACCTGAGAGCACGCGCCTCCCTTAGTAATTAACACTAGTTCATGTGCGCCCGGGTACGGCTCCACGTTGTTTGCCGATCCCGCTGCGCGTGACTGTTTTGTGGCCACTTGGGGGCAGCGTGTGTGCGGAAGCCAAAAGCAATCGTGACGCATCATCACCCATGAAGTTGTTTTTAGAGCTTTTTACCCAGAGATTGGGGTGTGCCTTCATTCATTTAAATCAAATTGGGAAAAAACATAGCATATGGGTCGAAAGTGAGTCAAAAATTCAGACTATTCAATTCAGACTTTTTTTTTAAAACAACTAACGTTGTGGTGGTGAAACATATCATTGATTACACTCAATCTGCTGTCTTTGTAGTCTTACCTTCATTGCGTAGTACAGAGTCTCAGCAAAATAGGTTGGAACGCTCCTGGCACACTTCACTTTGAGGAAAAACAGAACAGACGGTCGTCATTTTTCCATTCAAAGCGGAACAACGGAAACCCAGCCGGCGGTAGTTTTCGTACCGACGGCCAGAAGCAGGTCCCTCAGGCCTCCGGATGTTTCTCTCTTGATGCTCTCCTCCATCTCGAATCCGGCCAACTTCATGTAGGCATCAAATACTGCAACACATGGGTGCAGAATCAGTTTAGATAAAAAACAGCCACAATTTGAAAGGCTCTACGAGTTTCACTGCAAAAAGGTAAGACGAACCTTTCCTAAGATGCTCCGCACTGCGGTTTCCCAGGATGGTGACAAACGTTTGCTCGTCGGTGCCGAACTTCTGCTCCCCGGCCTTGAAGAGGACCTGCGACCGCGGACACACAAGGACTCAACCTACAGGTAATGACCTTTTCCATTGGATGCTACTGCTTATACGGAGGTATTGCAGTTGTCATTAACAGTGAGAGCAATGATACAAACAGCTGAACAGAATAAAATAAAGTCCCGTCCGTACTGGGCCTGGATCCAGAACTTCAGGATGATTAGAAATCATTCGGCAAAGTGGCATCATGCTGGACCACTTTAAAGTGTAAATCTGTTTAAAATTCAAGTTTGGGGGGGGGAAATGTACCTACTCCCTCCACAAGGAGGCTCTATTAGGTTACAGATCAACTGTACAAACTGCAAAACACACACACACACACACGCACACACACACTAACGCATGCACGCACACACACACTCACGCATGCACGCACGCTTGCTTCAAAGTCCAGCATTTAGATCAACAAACACATGTGACCGTCACACCCCCAGACAGGAAGACAAGGGGCCCATTGATGGCGATGAGCCGAAATATTTATTGATCAGCGATAAAAGAACCGACTCACCTGAGCGTCGGCCTCGACGTTTCCCCCCTGGACGCCACTCTGCCTGTTCCCCTGGGGAGGGACAACACATAGCTGTTTACAGCAGAGCAGACTAGGATAGAGGAGGGGACAGGAGAGGAGACGAGACTAGGATCTAGCAAAGGAAAGAACATGAGAGTACACACGGATAGAGACGACGAGAGGAAAGGAGAGGAGGACACAAGGAAAGGGCAGAGGAGAGGAGCTTTACCTGCAGCAGAATAACCAAGAGTCTCTTGAAATGGCCTGAAGTGTCACCAGATATATCTTCCTCCAGGTCGTCATCATACTCTGAGAAATAAAAGAAATGCACATCTTTTTAGGGGCATCTTTAAAAATATTCCCATCAGGTTCATCTTTTTTACATGCATCTTAAAACACAGAAATATATCTAATACTGACGGACACAAACCCATCTTCAGTTGTCCGCTATCAGAAACAAACCTCACTGCTTCACGTCTACTTTCGTTATTAACTTCCGATGCTCCCTCCCTTTTTAAACTGCCCCTCCTCCGCACGCCACGGACTCCTTGCTTGATACAAACTGAGCCCACAGTCTATAATTAAAGTTAAGCTACAATAAATAAAACGTGATCGCTAAAAGCATTTGCAGTTTGTTTGCTGTTCTGGATCCCTGCTTGTCGGCGCCATTCAGGAAAATCACGAATATGTAAATAAAGAACATTTAACAACCATAATAAAAAGACTTGTGTGCGGGTGGTACCTTTTCTATAAGCAGCAACGATTTCCTTCACCTGCTGAGGGGTTCTGGAGGCGAGGATCTCCACGAGGACCTTCTCGTCGGTTCCTGCTCCCTGCGGGTCAAAGAGGGAAAACGCTGCGGCGTGAAGTTTCCACAGGACTGAGAAACTCTCCGTCCACAGCGCTTAAGAGCGCCTTGCCCCCCCCCTCCCACCGCACTTACCTTGATGGCGTTGCGGAGCGCCGACACGTCATAAGCGAGGGGCGCGGCCATCAGTCCCACGATCAGGGTCTCGAATTTACCGCCCAGCTCTCCCTTCAGGGTGTCTACCAGATCCTGTCGTGAGGACACAGCGGGTACTTTAATGAAACACTGTGTAGGTGTGTGTGTGTCTGTGTGTGTATGCAGCGTAACCTCCACTTGTAATGCGCGCGCTTTAACAGCTGTTGAGTTGGTCCAACCTTTCCAAATTGAGTTTTGTAGGCGACCTTGATCTGCTGCCTCTGGGCGTTGCTGCGAGCCACCAACAACTGCAAGATGGCGTCCTCATCGGTCCCTGCGTCGAGAGGCACCGTGGTTACCCGGGCGGACCCTTGAGGATAGTCCTTTCAACCACATAATTACTGAGTCGAGGTCGGTAGATGTTTATTCCCCCCCCCCACCCCCACCGCGGTGACTCAAAGTTGCACCTCTGCCGACGTGCTGATGACTCGCTGCTGTCCGGGCGGAGCTCCCTCCTGACAGCAGCGAGTCACAACAGAGAGGAACTCCCGAAGGACAATAAACGCCCTCTCATTGGTCCGTTGGAGGTTTACTGCCGACCGACCCCGCGTCGGATGACGGTGTGTAGCTGTGCACGCATGCGAGCGTCTTACCAATCCCTTTCATGGCCTTGTACAGAACCTCGGCATCTTGAGTGGCATTGAAGTTCTGACTGGGTTTAACGGTTCCTCTGGCGGCCTGCAGCATGGAAGAAATGCACAGAGGAGGATTATTCTGATGTCTTCTGTTACAAATGATTTCTTTTTCAAGCACAGCTCGTAGCCACGGACACTTGTGCTGATTTATGCACCAATAAAGTTTATGTCTAAATACATATGTATGTATACATATGTACATACATACATACATACGTACATACGTACATATACATACAAATGTTCTTCCAACTGCAACATATTATTTGTCTTCGTTTGACCAATTATTTATATATTTTTTAATCATAAATGCACCTACACCCAGGTTTATACCGCAGCAGCAATAATATTTCAGAAGGGAAACTTATGCATCAAAAGAAGATCTTTGTGCTGTGTGAAGGCCACACTTTAATCGATATGTAGTTTCATGCATGTTATCTCAGATATGTAACTTATGTGCAGAACCTTGTCAAAGAATTGGCCCCTCTATATCATGGCAGAACATACTTAATAAATCTCCAAATGTATGCTTACAGCAGGCTCAACATTCAGGGTTTTTAATGTGCATGATGTCATCATAGAGTCTTCTCTCAATTAATAATTACAGAACGCACCTTATCGACATTCATGAGTACATCCTCTAAATCTAAAAACACAGTCTCTGATTTTAAAGTGCACACTGTAAGCTTTTGCAGGACTTTCAGATGCAGGTGATTGACTTAATGACCCACAGACGTCATACAAGTGCATGCAGGTGTGCACACAAGCTCTCACATCACCCTCTTTACACCAACAGCACGTGTTTTTATACGGCTCTTTGTATAACGTCTGTACCTCAGAATTCTCCAGCGGTTCATAGATGATGGATTATCAGGCTAATCATTTCTTTGAATGTGGAAACAGAGTTTCAGACCGATCGATACACGGACAGTGAGAATGTGATGTGGTGGAAAACATTAACTTCAAGATTGAGTTGAGTAAAAGAGGCTTCTATCTGCAACAGAGCTGCACTCATCCAAGACACTCCCTAAAAACAGTTGAACATTGACAATTAGACAAATGGTTGCTTCTTTTTGCAGAGGGATGTTTGGAAAGGAAAAACACGGGAATGTCTGGAATTCGGAAAAGCTGTGGCACGTCCAAAGGAAAGCTGGTGTCAATAATCAGCATTCTGTGTTTCGCTACGAAGCGGAACGCCGAAAATGTCCACGAGCTCCCAGACTCCCAGACACACTCATCGGCACAAGCTAAACAAAATCTAATCAGCCCGCAGCCGAACAATGAGATACTCAGAACTGCAGCACAACATCTCCGGTGGAATGTTAGACGCAGTCTTATAGCTCCAGCGGCGAGCGCTGCGTCGGGCGGGGTGAGCTCAGATACGACGGGCCGATGGAGGTGTATTCAAGCGCCGTTCGTGGAAACCGAGGCTTTCGCAACTGCCGACTCGCTGGTATTTAAACCACATACGAGCAGCCCTACTTTTACCACATTGTCAAATAATGCAATATACTGGTAGCAATACAATTACTAGTTACTACATTTGGCTTGAATGTGAATAACATTACTCTTTTACAGATTAATGGCCGGCTTGATTTTATATCTTTTATACGTCAACAAATTAAAAAAGACGAAAAACTCTCTGGTGTGTTAGCTGGTCTCTCTTATTCTTTAAAAGATTATTTCATTTTAACAAAACCTCTCAGGAGAGGCTCTTTAAATGTTTGACTATAGGAAACTAAATGATCTTCTGGGTGGGGAGGCTTACATTATTGCTGCAGAGCCCATTTGTTTCTAGTGAAGACTTTAAAAAGCTTAACTAACACAACTTAGAAAAAAAGGCATAATGAGTTCCTTAAAGCTGTTATAAAAAAATAAACTGTATTCTCTGGGCACGTGCACTGCATCTTTATGAGACGTTTACTTTGTTCATTCCTTAAAGTGGACATGAGTCTAAGATAGACACAATATGACGGTTTACAGTCGCAGACTAAACTGTTTGCAGAGAGCAGCTGTGCTACGTCATCCCCGACTCCTTCCCCGGAATATGATCTTGTTCTCTTCGAGCTCCACCCCTACAATCGCAAAGGAGTTTCCCCTTTAAGAAAGGAAGGTGGGCTTTAAACTTCAGGCTAGTGGTGGAAATGGGTGGATTTAAAAACAGAGAGAGAGCTGGAAAGACTCACCCAAATGGAATAGTGAGTCATATGATAAACTTCCCCAAATGAAACAGACCCCCACACACACATTTAACACTTGATAAACTGCAAGTTTTAGTAAAAGTATTTTCATAAAAAGAACGCATTAAAAGCCACAAGTTGGTCTTTGAAGTTCTTTAATAGTTGCTTATATACTTTTCTTTCTCTTTATAAACAAACGTACTGCCACATATTTCTTTTTGACAACATTTGCACAATTCTGCCATATTGGCACAACTTGCACCACCATGTCATTCATATCCACAACCGTGCTGCATATAATGTATATCGTGCTCCATGTGTATTTCACACTGTACATCTATATATATACTCTTTATCTGCTCCCTTGCACTTCTGGTTAGATGCTAAACTGCTTTTCGTTGTCTTAGTACCTGTACTCTGTGCATGATAGTAAAGTTGAATCTAATATTCACGAGTGGGCTTCTGCGTTTCCTGTAAACTTATTCTTATCTTACATCGTGTCAGTGAATTAACGTTCAAACCTCCTTTCAGATGAATCACTGTTAAGCGTTAGAATACGTTGATGAAAAGTGGGCGTGGTCTTAGATTTTACAGGGCAAAACCCTTTAGAGTCACATATTTAACAGATGTTCACAAAGACCTTTGGACGCTGTAAGCACCCGTTTAATAAAACCTTTCAAATATAAAGTTAATTTTGATTAGGCAGCTAAAACAAACATGTGAAGGGAGGATGACTCACCATTTTGTCGGTTCTGGGTATTTGTTGTGCGGAAGAAGAAGATCTGTTGGAGAGGGAAAAAAAACGTTATTTAGCATAGAAGCCAAACAAATAGCAAAAAGTTATTCTCTCTCTCTCTCCGAAAACCAGATGTTCTTACTACTGAGTCGTTATCGCGAGCGTATCTCGTCACGGTTTTCAGTTCGAACGATAACGCGCGTCTGTTCTCCGCAGGTGACATCGCTTACCTGTATTCTCTAACTTTACATCAACATAACATGAAAAATAAAAAGAAGTTCTCCGGGGAAACTTACCGCCGAGTAACAGCCGTCAGGCGAAGAGGAGAAATACAACCGGCCGCTGGAGAAGAGAGGAGGGGAAGGACCGAATCAGGCGAGAAGAGGCGGAATCCCACTCGGATAAAACTCTGCTAGGCGCGTGACCGTGTGTGTGCGCGTGCCCAGGCCGCACCCCGGTGCACGCGACCTGTCGTACAAGTCAAGGAACCGAACGGCCCTGAAGCATTCTGGGAAATGGTGTCACAAATGTAGCAGCTGGTGACGTTGTTGGTGGCTTAATAACATTAAGTGATTCATAAATGGATCAAGTATTGATCTGCAGATTCACTAGTGACTAAAGTTATAAAATGCATTCATTAAAGTAAACGTATAAAGCAACGAATACTAAGGTGAGGTACCTCAAACGTGTACTGAAGCACAGTGCTAAGTAAATACTTCTCCCACTGGCTGTATTATCAACAGAAGGCCCGTCCGACCAAATGTTACCTGACAGGTTTCCATGTAGAGATTGTTAATTTATTGACCTGTATAACAAAAGATTAAGCGACTTCTGCCTTTATGTCAATGTTTTAAGGTGCTAAACATATACACTGTCTCCCAATGCATTCACGCTCCAAAAATCAGACATTTGGAAGTGTTTAGTCTTTGTCATTAATTCTCTATTACTGCAAAGGGTTCTGCTGCATCTATCACCTGTACTGTTTAACTTTGTCTGTCAGTTGTTTGCGGTCTGCTAACAGATTGCAAAACTCTTATATAAAAAAAAAGACAAACTGCCAAGTTGAGCCATCACATCCGAGGTTTTCACCTCTTGATTACACATAATAAATTCAGCCCATTGTTAATATTAAACTATGACTGTGGCTTTATGGTGAGTACACATAAGAGATAATTAACAAAACAAGCAATGGTAACTCACAGTTACTTCATGCAATCATTGATTTATGACCAAATAGCTGGAATCCAGCTACATATGTAACATTATTTCAGACCCGCGGCATATGCTCAGCCTCTCTGGAAGCAGAAGACTACATATTCTCACCGAAATATGGAGCTTTTTTTAAATATCAAAACTAATGTTCCAATTCTGCCAAAGATCTTATCCGAAAGAGATAAAAAAAAAAACACACGCACACTCACATGCAAACTGCTTTTGACTTTGATTGCGAAAGGCTTATAGTTTTAATCTCATGCAAAGTTTTACAGTTCTTTTCCTCTGAACTATTATTAATTGTCCCCAACTGAATGTTGCCTCCTGTTTGTTTGAAAAATGCTACGGGTAAGCATTTATCATTCAAATGGAACTGGAAATATATTTAAATTTATAGTTTGGCTGATATCCAGCGGAGGCTCCGTCAGCTTCAGGGGGAGGTGCAGTTGGGAGGTTCTGCAGTCGGTGCAAAGCAGCTGGAATGAGGTGTAGCACAGATTCTAATCTGGAATGCTTGGAGTGCTCTGCTATAATTTAACGATCAGAGGCTATTCTGTTCTCAGTGTCTTTAGTCATAACCACAGATTATTATGGGACAGGGCATAGACATAGTTACTGTTGCCGGTGAGGGATGCCCAGATGATTAGCGGGCAAAGTGATGTTCTGCTACACAATATATTTAGTATATTTGTATACACAACTTTCCTCAGACAGCACTTTGTGCAGCGAGACCCACACAAGCAATGGACTGTTTATAATCACGTCTTTTTATTCGCTGTGAAGCAAAACATTGGATTTGATTCATTTTATTCAGTTGGAAGAGATGGGATTTCATTATCACGCTGATTATGATGAGATGCCCTGACAGTCTAGGGTTCATAACATTCTGTGCATGTTTTTGTTAAACGCTCTTCAGCACACAAGCTCTGGGAAAATAAGGGTTGGGTTAAAACATTTGACATACATACTAAATTAATTCCAATATTTTTAATGTAATCACCACACATCTTCACACATCTTCTACAGGCCGCTACCTCATTTATGCTCATCCACATTTTTAACCACCCACAGGGACTTAAAATGCTCTTTTATCATTTGGAAACACTGTCATTCTTTTGTCAAGGTAAAATCCCATTGCACACAGTGATGGAACAACAGATCAGCCTCTTTAGCTCCCTATCTTTATTACATTTTATTGAATATGATCAGCTTAAGTAGCCTAAAATAGAAACTCAACTACCTCAATACGGTATGAAAATACAGAACTCAAAAAAGGTACTTTGTGTTCACCTCTGGTAAGAATGTATTTACACAATTAGATTTCAGTTATTTTAACTAGGATTTGGACATTCACAACATCATAGATTATCATAGAATACAAACTGAATGATTTACATGTGATCTGTGTACTCCACACCACTACAATTATCGACGGGATGATTGAAAAATATGTCCCTTATTGAAATTGAACTTAGGCCAGAACCATTGTTGATAGAGTGATTAGGGTTGTACAACTTTGCTTCTAGAAAGATCTTGGATTGACGAGAGTGATCTCGTATTCAGCGGTGTGGTCTAACTTTTTAATTTTTTTTATTAAGGAAATATCTCTTTCTGGGAAGTTACTACATAAACATATTCGTAGCACAAAAAAACACCTACCATTTCAAATCCTTTGATATTTCTCAGAAGGGCAGTTAATTATGAACGCCACCGGTTATTTGACGTGAGACCACCCCCCCTGTCTGCCGGTAAGTGGTATGACCCGCAGCATAAAACATGGACAGGCTCTGTAACTCCAACTGACGACTTCAAACCGACAACGAATACGAAGCAGACGCGCAGTCACCCCGAAAAAGTGCAAAAATGGAGTGGACCCCAATGGAAATCAACCCCGAGGTGGGCTTGAATGTCTTTGGATCAGTAACTGTTTTACCAGAATGTTTTCTAACCGCAAACTCACCTGCGGCCTCTGTTTATGTCGTTTCAGATGCTGAACAAGGTGAGTAACGGTTAAGCTAACCGAACAATGGCCATGCATTCACAACGTTTTATGTTTGCTTCGACTGTCAGGTATGTACGTTTTAAAGTAGCTAGCTAGCTATCGGGCCAGTTAAAACCGTTATACCGGTTAAAACAAGACGCGGGGGGAGAAAAGAAGCCACCATGTTGCTACTGCGCAGTTAATGTTATGGTATAAAATAAAAGCTGCGCCATTAAACAAAGGGAGTGACTATCTGCCTTTTAATGTGTGGAAGCATCCCTCCCCCCACTCCCCCCCACGGGGCGAGGGTTAAGGGTGTGGTCCTACTGGAACAACACTACGCAGCATCTTCACCCCCCCCCACACACACACACACACTTCCCACATTTAACGTTACATATCCACAATCAATCCTGCAATCCTTAACTGATTCCCATTCATTTGGGTTGTTTTGGTTCTTGTCCTCGCTGTGCTTCAGATGATGATCAACCTCGGTGTGGGTGAAAGCTGGCGCTTCTCAGACGTGCTGGGATTTGAGAAGGACCAACTCTCTGCTGTCCCCAAACCTTGCTGTGCATTGATGCTGCTATTCCCACTGACCCAACAGGTAATTGCGGTTTGATGGCTGTGGCGACTTTTTCCTGGAAAGGGTGGGGATGAGTCACTTATACAGGCTGTCTGTGGGGGGGCAGCCTGCGGTGCAGGCAGGGCACGGTTGCAGACAGCGTGAGCATATGCAATAGTTTGAATATGTGTGGACTGGGCTGGCAGCTAGGATACCAACATGACTCGGTTATCCTGTTCGACGCCATTTGTTTTGTATAGCCAAACGTCTCACATTTTCAGCTTTGCAATCTGTACACGTGACAAAACTTGTCCCCACATCAGCACTGGGAAAAACTTTCCCCAACAAAACCCCTCCTAGGATGGCCAAGTGCAATATATTAAGGACATGAGGTATAAGTCAGCATTTCTATTCGGTTGACCGTGACCTTCACCTAAAGATTAGAAGTGACGTAGTTGACCTGTGTTCATGTGGGCAGTTGACCATGACAATGCTCTATGTGGTGTGTGTGTGTGTGTTGCAGCACGAGTCGTTCAGGCAGCAGCAGGCCGACAGTGTTACAGACGGCTCTGGGGTTTATTTCCTGAAGCAGACTGCTTCCAATTCCTGTGGCACGATCGCCATGCTGCATGCTGTGGCCAACAACAAAAGCAAAATGTCATTTGGTGAGTGCGGTTGGTTGGCAAAGGACACTGCAGTTACTTTTCACAGTGCAGAAATCTCTTGCTGCCGATTAATTTAATGTGCTCAGTTTCTTGTCTGGGATTAATTACGTAAGCAAAAGCGGAATGTTAAAATTGTTGGCGTTATTCTGGGTACTCTGTAATCCTGTCATCACTGGATGATTGGCAATACATTAGTGCGGCAGGTTATGATTTTGTTATGTGAACTGGCATATTCATTTCTAATTGACCTTATTTTTCTTTTGGATCTTTTCAGAGGGTGGCTCTGCCCTGAAGAAGTTTCTAGATGAGACTGCTAACATGTCTGCTGATGACCGTGCCAAACATCTGGAGAAGAACAAGGTAAACGGTTGAAGCTGCATTCTCATTTCTATTAAATTTTAGAGCATGAAGATTCAGCTGTTGGATGGGAACACAATCTCCAAAATATCATATATGGTTTTGGTAAGACTTCATGTGACAATAATCAAAGTCTGCACATGGTTGCATTCTTGTATAGAAATGTGTGGATAAAATGACTGAGCTTAACATTTCCACCAAATGACTATGAACATTAAACTCTTGCTTTTAAAAAAGCCTCAATTGGTAACGACAAGCTACATATTTTGTCCACTTGGAGGCACTGCACACCAATAAGTCACTCTAAAGGATGCTCAATGGCTGTTAAATAGTTTACAAATACAAATATATTTCAATCCTGTGAAACAATACAATTGTAATATGCTAATAATTACAAAAACATTTGCATATGTACGGATTACTTTTTTTTTTACCGTATTCTATTTACATTTTCTAAATTTCTCTTCTCCAGGCAATCTGGGAGGCTCACAATGAGGTTGCGGCGCAGGGCCAATGTAGGGTAAGATGGCTAACCTCATATTACCCTTTCAGAAAGTATGTGCACTTCTCTCAAGCTGCATTTGGACCCACATCTAACCCTGGTCTAGGGCAAAGGTCATGATGGTGGGCCGGGTTGATGTGCATCGACAAATTCGGATTAATTCCGCTGTGGGTCTAACCCACACACCTATTCTCAAAGGGGAATAACCGATTAGTTTTACCTTACTTTTTAGTGGATGTCTTTTCTGACGCTTTCATGAATTCTATTTACTCCTGATGTTAATTCAAACCTGAACTTTCGCAGCCGGAAGCCGACAAAGTCAACTTCCACTTTATCGCCTTTGTCAATGTAACTGGACAACTTTATGAATTTGGTAAGAACCTCGTCTCATTTTGTACGTCCTGTTATGTTAGTTTTGTGGATTCCTGACTGATTTTGTTTTTAAGATGGGAGAATGAATGGACCTGTGAAGCATGGCGCTACCAAGGATGACTCCTTCGTAATGGTAGGTTTAACTATTTTTTTTGTTATTTATTTTATTCTTATAGTAAGATATGGAATTGTTAAAGTTATTGGGTTTATAAACCCGGAATAGGGAGTGGCTGGTCCCAAGAGTCTTTCTTCAATCGATAAACTCTGCAAATGCACTCTCTCCAAAAGGGATGATACAACTGCAATGGAGCTTAAGCAATTATGTTTCACCATATATTGTGGGGGGGGAAAAAACCAAGCCATGAGAGACTACTAGTTTGTTAGAATTTCGATTGATAACTTGACCAGTCTAGGATTTAACTGGAAAACCAAATGCGATTAGTTCCATTTTGCAGATACGCTGTTGACGTCATGGCGCGCAAGTCTATAAGATGTCCCGTCAAACTACCTCAAGAGGGCTCTGCATGCAATACTTATCTTGCAGAAATGTTAGAACTTGTCGACCCTGAAGTGGAATGAAAGCTCACATAGCGTGCTTCTCAAGTAGACTTAAATTCACGCTGCATACTGCAGTATTGCCATCAGCCCTACTGGGGCATATTTTAATACTAGCAGTAAAATATACAGATCTTTATGGACTCTTCTTAATGAAAGCTTTTCCTCCATGGTTAGCAAGTGTAATCTTTCTAGTTCATGTATCGCCGAGTAAAGATGTATCTAATTTATATTTTTCCCCTTTTCATACCTGCCCAGGATGCAGCCAAAGTGTGCCGTGGCTTCATTGAGAGGGAGCAAGGCGAGGTCCGTTTCTCAGCGGTGGCTCTTAGTCACAGTTAGATATTCGGCAGGACATGCTTTAAAGTTGTAAACCCAAATGTTCTAAAGCATTCACATGACAAACACAATCAACAGGCACCTAGAACAACCTGTGAACCCACGCATCTGCAGGCACTATGCACTATAAAGCACATATTGTTGCCACATACGGTTCTTTCATCTCAAGAACAAAGAACACTAACTCACCATTAACCCTTTTGTTCTACTGAGATAAGCTTGTCCACACTGTTTTATGTGACTTCATTCAGCAATGGGACTTGTAAAACATGAGGTCAGATATCCCCACTACGTGTGTTTGTGTGTGCGCATTGGTCTTTCTTGCGAGTTTGTTTTTGTATGTGATGAAGCTTTTCAAAGTAAAAAAAAAAAAATTCTGATGCTTGAATACCTTTTTGTGCCAATACATATAAAATGGAGTGAGAAAGAAAAGGCAGAATTCTTTTCCCCAAATGCCTTCAGCTTATAAGCATCTGACATTCCTCAGAACAGCACACGTCGAAATAATTTAACCAGTGTTTGCGGATTAACAAAACCTTTTTTGCATTTTGGTCTTGGGTGACTGTAAAAAAAAACAAAAAAAATTGTTACTGGTGGAATGCAGTAGTTGTTTGAAAAGAAAAAAAAATACATTTGAGATGTTTGCACTTTTGAAAACTGATTTTCACTTAATCTGTAAATGTTCAAATACACTAGTGTGAAGTTAAATGCAAAACTTCCAAAGGCGAACATAAAAAGCTGCTCTGCTGGGTAGTTGTTGTGCAGGGTGCTAGTTCTGTATTCTTATGCTGTTCCCTAACTGTACCTTTTTATGCACCTTCAAATACTATGTTGCTGTGGTTCTGTTTATGAAGCAGCTGTGGGTTTCAATAAAGCAACCATTATACCTGTGTATGTGGTCTCTTTCTGACTCTTTCATTTTAAACCGTTAAACAGTTAAACTGCAAAAGGATGAAACTGCAGGTGTGTTTTTGCTCGGCTCACCTCAGAACAATACTTTTTTTAAATTTTTTTTAATCAGTTCCAAAATGGCAGGCAGTATGTTTACTTGGATGACAGGGCGCTGTTTCAATAGAGACTAAGCGATCGTGAGAAGGCACAGATGTATACTGCAGTCCTTATCCACACAGACAGACCGGCTGATATCTTTGAGACAGGAACTGCGGATTTATTAGCCTGTGGTCGAGTCTTTGTCTCTCCGTTGTTTATAAATCTGTTTACGACACACTAAGGAAAGACTAAACATCAGTTTGTATTCATGATCAACACTGATTACAACATGGCTAACTGCAAACCATTCTTTGTTCGTTTTGTTAAATGCAGCTAATAGGGCTTCATGTTTTTGAGTCTTTTGCTCAATGACAAACACTTTTTCCACATTGGGCAACGTTTTGCAACTTGGAGGCAGGTTTGTAACTTATTAAAGATATCTTGGTGAGGGTCCGGACCCCAGAGGTAATCTAATGCGCTTAATATTTAAAATATGTGAAAATATTATCCACAAGAGTTAATAGGTATTGTGTTGCCTTAAGAACCCAGCAGGCACACAAGTTTCATTACATCTTTCCCGTGTTTAGTATGTGGTTTGATTAAACACTATGTAGGAATACAATATTACTGGAGTAAAGGTATTAATACTAAAGATTGGAAGAGGCTCTTAAACGCACAGCCAGCATGGAGTTTCTGTGATTTTAGTGGTGCATATTTCTAAATGTATACAATTTATTTAATTTAATTCAGCCCCCTGAGGGTCTGAAGGCCTCATGCCTGCTCTCGTTTGCAGTCCAGTTGCAGTCGGATTCATTTCTACATCGAACTAACTGTTAAATGAAATTTAGATGTGAATCTTATGAATGTCATTTTCATGGAGAACAAAAAGACCTTACAGCCCCCCCAATCCCATCCCATCCTCTCTCTCTCTCTCTCTCTCTCTTGACCTCCCCCGCACAGATTCCTGCCTGCGCGGTCACGCTTAACAAAATGCGCGGCAGCGGCTTTCTGCGTACAAGAATCCTTATTTTTAGCGCCTGGCTCGTGTTGCAGTGACGAGCCCCCCCCCCCCGCCGCCGCCTCCCCCCAGTACATCTCCCTCTGAACAGGACTCGCGGGGGGGGAGCTCGACAGAACTCTGACCGGCGCGTGGAGTTGCGGGTCGGTCGACCGTAGCGAGCTATGAAGGACAGGAGGAGCAGGAAGAGCAGGAGGAGGATAACGGACTAGCCGGGGGAAAGCGTCTCATCACCGTCCGTCACGCGTCCCACTCTCTCTCGTCGAGAGGTCGTCTCGAGATTGCTAAACCCCGCGGCCGGCGCCAAATGTTCCCGAAGGCTCCCCGGAAGGAACAGATCGGGGACAAACACACCCGCCGAGCCCGCTTGTTTGGAGGCACAGAAATGGATAGAGGTGGGTGAAGTGACCGCTGTGGGTGGGGGTTGCTGCCGCCGCTTGCTGTTCCACCACCATAGCGGGGACAGTGAGGCACCACACTGGGGAGGGAGAGGGGGGGGGGGGGGGGTGTAAAAATACTCAGCGCGTGGGCCCCACCGACCGGTGCAGCGTCACCTGTTGTTGCGGGGCCGACGCGGGGCCGACGCGTAGCCGGGATACCGTGCGGGACGTCGGCTCTGCGGCGGGAGGACGGACGGACGTGTCAAAAGTTTTATCACATGTGTGGGCGGCTCACACACACACACACACACACACACACACACGCACACACACACACACACACACACACACACACACACACACACACACACACACACACACACAGGAGCACACCCACCGACCGACATAGTACAGAAAGTACACCTTAAAATACCGTTGTTTTGTGTGTGTGCGTGTGTGTAACGCCCCCTCCGTCGTGGAGGCCGGTTGCCATGGCAATGAGCAGTAAAGCAGCGGATGCTGTGCAGCGGCCCTGATGCCCGCCGCTGATCGCATCGAAGAAGATTATGGTTCGTGGTTCGCGTGCATGGCCCCCCCCCCCCCCCCCCCTCCCACTGCCCCCCCCTCGGATAACAGAACGCCTCCCTACATATAAGCCGGAGTGATGAATCACGATTTCGCCCGCGGAGCTGCGTTATGACCTATTTATTTTTGGTCCTTTCTGTCCTCGCTTTAGCTTAGCTAGCTGCCAACATTTGGGTAAATAAAGGCTTGGATGTACAACACAGTTGAGTTTAATGTAAAAAGTTCTGGCTTTGGCTTCGCACACCTGGCTGTGTTTTCACAGGACTCCCAGGAGCCTGTTCCCCACAGGCCACGGTAGATAGAGAAGAGGATGGATGGATGACAGATTAATAATCCATAAAGTAATAAAGAATAAGGTAAATGCTAGACTATAAAAACCCGACATGCCATTCAAATTGTTCAACAGAAACAGATGCAATGCTTTTTTTTGCATTGCAAGAGAAGATGTTCAAACATGCAAAACAAAAAGAACGATTTAAGATTGATTAATTAAGCAGATATGAGCTGATTCAGTCCAAACCGGTGAGACAGAAATCCAATTCAAGATTTAACCAACCAAGTGGATTTCAACCTGGTGTAAGGACACAAAGAATTGACATATTATTTAAATGTTTTTTAGGAAAGCCTTTTACCTCTTTAGGCCACTAATACCAATCAATCGTATTGAGGAATTGAACACGTTCTGGCTGTACTGGTCTCAACCAGTAGACACGTGCATCCACTGGGGAGGGGAGGGGTGGCAACTAAAGATCGTTTTCTTTCATTCATCTTTCTGTCATCGTGAAATGCTTTGCCATCTCTCCTCCATGATTACTTTTAGAATTCCTGAGGCCACAGAAGTAGATCATTCTCTTCCCATCCACCCACTTGAGATCTGTCAGTGTCCCAAATGCAGTGCGCACAAATCTAAATGATCAGCATTTAGGAAAAATGCCGTTTCTGTCTGGAGACTAATGGCCTAGTTACGTGGCTCAGAGATATTAATATGCACAAATCCTTTTCCCATCAAGGAATAATGTTGAGCTTAGATGTCTCCTACTCATACTTCAATACGCCCTCAATCATATACTACAGTTTAAAGGATTCATCTATCATTTAGGCTTTAGATAATTCTCACACATCTGAAAGAAATAAAGCACCTTGCTAGTAGTTTAAAGCAGGAGTGTGCAGGGTTGTACTTTGCATATTTATTCACTAATTGCTTGTATTGTTGGAAAACAAATGTAAAGTGGCAAATTCCAACAATAAAAGCTGAATGTTTTAGTATAAACATCCATACAATAAGTCTTGAATCGGCAAAGGAATAGTTTAAATAGAATTATGTAACCATAGAATAAGTTAACAAGACAACGAATCTAACCCAACATTTAAATCTTCTTCTTTTGGCCTCGTTGTCCAAGCCTTCAAACATAATTATGTTATTTGGGAACTCAAAAGGTTATTGAGACCGTTTGATGCTGAGTGCAATGGACACATTTAGGTCTGTCCTTAAATACCACCATTTAACATCAGTAGTGAGCACAAATAGCTCAGTCTAGGTTAATGCTGGCTAGTCCTAATGTCCTAATCTCTCCTGCGGTGTCTCCGCTCTGTCGTCTTCCCGTCTCCTAATTCTCCAGTTATTTTCAGTCCGGTCAGGCGGACTCTATTTCTAGTGTTGTATTTATGCTCCCTCACAGGTGGGGACGATTCACTGTGCTCCACGCAGACTGCGTATGTGCGTTGCCATGTCTGCAAGAGTATGCAAAGCGTATGCATGGACACACCTAGACACACACACACACGCTGATGCCAATCAGCTGTGCATGATACCGCTCACACACTCCTCAGACACGCCCCGGTTGGGTGACACTGGTCACTATGGGAACACAACACGGGCAGGTTCTCAAGTGTCGCTGTTTCCATGGGGGGCAGTGGAGGAGCAGGACTATATGTCACCGCGTGACCCGAGCAGGAAGCGCTATCTGCTTAAAAAAAACCAGACACGGTGGGATCAGACCGCCCAGGACGCTCACACGCAAGCGTCAAAGGTGCTGCGGCACCTGTTGGATGGGACATTGAGCAGTTTAAAGATGCACAAGCTTAGAGAAACGCAAAAGTTAACTTTAGTGACAGCAATTAACCTCTGCTGTCACCGGAATACATCACGCAGCAAGAGTTAGACGTGCGTGTGTCTGTGTGTGTGTGTGTGTTTGTACCAGATGTCACAGCTGTCCGAGGCAGATTAACTCCGTGGTCGCAGACAGGCAGCTGTGTCTGCGCGAGAGAGTGTGAGAGCAGGACTCTGTGGGAGATTCCACGCATCCAATACTGTATGAAAGAAAGTGAAATAATGGCGGCAAAGACTCGCTGTTGGCAGAGACTGTCTTTCACGCCTCAGTGATTTCTTTGTGAAGCCAGAAAAGTTGCAGATTGCCTCTGACATCTAAACATGTTTTGTGTAGCGTTAGAAAGGTGATGTTATAATCGTTTGCTATCATGATGCGTGTTGGATTCGCTCTAATTAGCATTGTGCAGCCTTTTCCAGTAGCATTAGATTGTGTTGTTTCAGCTTTGACTGTGAAAATAATGCAGTAAACTCTGTTTAGAATGCAAGTGAACACAAACGGTGAAATAATTTAGTTATTTGGTACTTTTTGCTGTTAAATTTACCTGAGTTGCAGAAAATCTCAAAAGGTATGATTTATACTCTATGGCATTTACAAATAGAAAAGCTAGGACTCCATTGCCATGCACAGTGCTGAGGGAAATACTTGATTAATGTCTTTAATTAAAAGTACTACAATATCTTAGTGATATGAGAACTCCTAATCGTTAGCATTAATTAAGTTTTAGTGTGCTTTTACCACTGATTTATTCAGCTATGATAACGATATCTAGCATAGTAAATGTTTTTGTTCCTCCAATTTCCAGCACATGAAGAGATGTTTCCCAGTGTCGAGTAACTGGTTAATTACTCTGATGCAGATTAAACTCATTCACGATCTGGATTATGACTTTAAATCTCTGCCTTTCAGTTTTTTTCCTCCTCAGTGTCCTCTTCTCTGTATGTCACATGCGTCCATTAGTGCCTACAGCGGGGACAACATTATAGAAAGACACTAATACTTCTGAAACTCCACCAATGAAAACACAAGCCTCCCTCAGCAGCATCACACTCCATCAACCGGCTCTTCTGGAAGTCCAACTTAGCCCTGTTTTTCATGCATCGCCGCCACGGAGCCAAGTAGCCTTTTAACAACACTTTGTTTATTTTCCTCAGCTCCTCAAACCTTTTCTATTTCCTTCCTTCACAGAAAATATGTTTTATTTGTTTAACAAGTGGCAACTCTCTTTTAACTCTTTTAAATCCAAACAAAGCTTTATGCTCTAAATTTGTAGACAAAAGTTGTATAGCTTCTCTCTTGTATTTCATACAAAATAAAGCATCCTTCTCTATTACAAAACCAGAAGAGAATTTATTTATATGCGGTCTCAGCGAGTCAATCCCAATTTCATGTGAAAGGTCACCTATAAATATCTTAACAGCAACTACTGTTAAACACATATTTCTAGATGTTTATTTCTGTCCAATAGTTACGGTAACACAAGCTTAAACTCAGGAGACCTAACAACTGTATCAGCGGCAGCAGCATGGCCACATTATTATTAACAGCATCCTGTCTTATCGCAATAGAATACAAACATTCAACCTCTGACTCTCACTCATATGTCTCAGCTGTGGTTCTAACTGAGCCGAGGAGTCCACCATAGGGACTGAGAGGAAGCGATGGAGGGTCAAATTACCACAGCTGGCGTCCAAATACTCCCCCACTGTTGTTTTTTTTAGCAGCCGTGGATGCTCACTCAACACACATATAAGCTCTGTCTCTTTTTTTTACAGTAACAAACACAATCTTTAGTCCTCTGCTTATATTTTCTAGACTTGTTCATCCAAAACCCATAAGCTCACATCAGTCCCTCTGTCTAATTACTGTATTTCAGCTTCAGCGTTTAACCCGGGACCGACCGTTATCCGCCTACACCCCTGACCCGCGGTCTGCGTCCTGTATCCCAAACCTGCACGCGCCACCTACACAAAACACAAACACATTTGTCCTGCTCTCCCTCAATACAGTTCTCTGCTCTCCCCTCCATCCATCAATTATGCACCAGCACGCTGTAAATGTTTCAAAGAGCCAGAGTCAGACTTGATAAACATGTGCATGTGTGCGAAGACAGAATGATGAGGATGGGAAACATCTGGTCGTCACTTATGTAACAATAAAACAATGGGCTGTTTTCATAGCTGCAGATGTACTCTGTGTGTGTGTGTGTTAAGCATGTGGTACACGTGCATCAGAACTCTACATAGACAAATGTCAATGAATCATAAGTTCTAGAAATAGAAGATGCAAAAGTACCCGTATTTTTTCCATCACAGTAATCTCAGAATATTGACAGTCGCAGGCAAATTCTGTCGTATTGGATCAGATTAAGTGAAGCTTGTTCATGGCTGGATGGTCAAGAGCAGAGTGTAGTAGACTGTACGTGAGCGGTGAAGACGGACAGAGTGGCCGCCTGCGGTTAACAGTTCTGGTGCCAACTATAATCCACGCTGATCTGGATTAGAAGTCCAGCGAGTCAAATCTCTCTTTTTCTTGCATTCACCTTCGGCTGCTGGTTACACAACAGCTCTGGAAGGCGGCGTGCGTGCGTGTGGGTCGGTGTTGCGTTAGTGTGTCAACGTCAGCTCCCTCCTCCTCACCTGCCCGTACGGGATGGACAGCCAATGGGAGTCCAGGTTGGAGGCTCCAGGTTGTCGTTCGCTCGGGCTGTTAGTGAGTTCTTCTCAATCAGGGGAAGTGGAACGGGGGCACAGAGCAGTGCGTCAGTGGCTTGGCGTCGCTCTAATTTGGTTTCTACTGAAGCAGAAAATGTTGGGGGGGTGGGGGTGAACGGGGCAGAATCAGGCTCCTCTTTCAGGGGCTCAGTGGGACACAATTCAACAGAATTTCTACTTGATATTTATCTGTTAAATTATGATGTTACAGAACAGAGAGCAGTAGCAAATCTTTACACTAGAGGAGCTGCAACCAGAAGGTATTTTGTATTTCTGGTGGATAAATGAGTGAAATGATTATTAGTAGGGATTTTATAGTCTCCTTCTCAAGGTGAGAATTTGACTCTTTACGTGTAAACTGAACATCTTTAGCCATGTAAGCAATTTGAAGACATCCTGGTTTGTAGAAACTTGAACATTTATTGATTTGAAAATAACCTACGGATAAATGTTATATTAAAAAAATATCTCCTTTACATCCGTCTCCTGCTGTCCTCCAGGCTGTTACTGGGAAGAGCTTTGGAGACCAGGACTTCCGCAGCGGATTGGAGAACGGCATCCTGCTATGCGAGTAAGTCTCGGACATCAACGCCGCTCAGTTTTTCATGTCTTAAGTCAACAACGACATAACGCAACCTCCCCTAAGACGCAATAAATCTCTGCTCCGCCCCTCCTCCAACTCAGGCTGCTGAGTGCAATCAAACCAGGACTGGTCAAGAAGATCAACAGACTGCCCACCCCCATCGCCGGACTGGTAAGAGGACACTCCAGAGTGACATTCGTCCCCCGTTTAATCTGCCGCTTTGTCAAAGCGATAAACCTCTGACCCGCCGCGGTCCCCTGCCGTCTGTCTCGTAGGACAACCTGTCAGTGTTTCTGCGCGGCTGCGAGGAGCTGGGCCTGAGGGGCTCCCAGCTGTTTGACCCCGGGGACCTGCAAGACACTTCCATTCGAGCTAACCTCAAGTAAATAGTGTGTCTGTTTTAGTCCTGTCTATACACATTCAAGTGGAGGACATTGTGACAGTAACATCTGTCTCTCTCTCTCTCGTCAGGGACTCTGACTGCAACCGCAAAATTAAAAACGTGAGTAATTATTGACCTTTCATTTAGCTTTCCTGCAAATTGAGATGCCGGCATGTATCTACGACCATACGTCCCCGTCCCACCCTGTGTCCCCCCCCCAGGTGCTGAACACCGTGTTCTGGCTCGGGAAGGCTGCCAGCGGCTGCGCCTCCTTCAGCGGCCCCACTCTCAACCTCAAGGAGTTTGAAGGGCTTCTCGCTCAAATGAAGGTGGTGAGTGGACCCGGTGAAGAGGACACGGGGGGGAGGGACAGACAGATAGCAGCGTGAAGGAGGTGCAGGGGGGGTTGTTGTTTCCTGTCTTTGTGTGTGTGTGGGAGGGGGGGGGGGACACACGCTAGACAGGACGCAAACACTGCTTTGTTTTTGTTACACCACCTTAAAAAGACACAGGAAATACGAGTTTATAAGAGGACATTGGATCAATTTGAAGTCTTTTCAAATGTTTCCTTTGCAACTTTCCAATCAATTGTCTCACATATTGCACATATTTCCCTGAGGCTTGTGTTGTTTGTGTGTGTTTTGCAGGAGTGTGAGGAAGGAGGCGACAGTTCACTGAAGCGCAGCGTCAGGGACAGCGGCTACGACTGCTGGGACTCTGAGAGGAGCGATTCTCTGTCTCCACCACGACACACTCGCGACAACTCCTTAGACAGGTGAGATACATCCTTAAGACACACACACACACCTTTTGGGGTGTGCTGATGATAGGTTAAATAGGTTAAGTACAGCTGTTGAGGTTGTCTACATTATAGAATCTTAATTGAAATGCATTGATACAAACCCTCATATGATTTTACAATGTGAAACAGTGTGTTTTCCTTTTGTATTTTGCAGTCTGGACTCCTTTGGCTCTCGCTCACAGCACAGCCCTTCTCCTGATGTGGTGAATCGAGGCAGCGCCGATGGTTGGTTCTGTTAAAAGTTCAAATGTCAAGTAGGAAAAGTAAAAACATGAGAGAGAGAGAGAGAGAGAGTCACCAAAGTGGATATCAAACCAATTCCCCCAAAATGTAGAACTAGTCCTTTAAAGCAGCAGCACAAAGCCTTTGCCCATAAATAGTGTGACTGCTGATCTCTAACATGTTGGGGTTTTGACCTTGGTATATTATGGTCTGTCAGGCGGACTGCGGGCAACAGCTGAACGTTTCGGACACTTGTGTGTGTGTGTGTGTGTGTGTGTGTGTTTGCGGGTGTGCGCCCCAGATGCAGCAGCTGTTGGTCTGAGTAGCAATCACTAGAGATTTGGACCTGGGAAACACGAGCTGAGGTCAACATCCTGCCCGTCGTATGTCAGTCTGTGTGTGTGTGTGTGTGTGTGTGTGTGTGTGTGTGTGTGTGTGTGTGTGTGTGTGTGTTTGAGGGGAGTTTCACAGGCATCCTGTTTGTGTCTTTTATGCTGACAGTGTAATACGTGTGAGGCGCGGCGGCCAGACAAAATCTATTCCAAAGCCGGGAATAACTTTACTCCCCACATTCCCGGGAGGCTTTAGAGGAGGTGCACTACTTAATAAAGTAATATTTACTACTTTACATGAAAGAAATTCACGCGAGACAGTTTGTTTGATTTCTGTCTCTCTGTGTGTTTGCTGAATACTTTGATTTATGCACAATAACTTGTAACATAGAAGAAGTGATCAATGTTTCTCACTGCCCATAAAGGAGTGTTGTATCAACAGTTAAAGAAGTGTTCTGGATTATTATAACAAGTTTTTAAGAGACGGAACTACGTTGTCTGTCCTTTAAAAGTGCACCAACATAAACAAAAAACAGAGCTGACGAAAATATCATGTCCCAATTCATGACTGATTTATTTGCTCTTACTGACATGTAACAAATTGGTAAAAGCATTGGAGATACTATAAACAAAATCGAGCCAATATGCCTTGAATATGGTTTGGTATTTTCAGTAGTTTTCATGAGATGATCCATTGAAAATAATTCCCGACGTACTTTCTAACCTTCATCACTCTCTTCCCTTCTCTGCGATGCTCCATTGCTCTTCGCCCAGGGCGAGGCAGCGACTCGGAAGCCGATGGTTCCAGCAGGAGGCCAGATGTGCGGAAGGACGACATGCTGGCCAGACGGACTGCCAGTGGTGATTCCAGAATCTCCGTCCCCTTTAACCAGTTTCTCCCCAACCGAACCAACGCCAGCTCCTACATCCCGACTGCGCGCCGAAGACCACACACGGAGGAAGGAGAGCAGCGCCGGTAATAAACCAATTCAATAACTCGGCTGCAAATTATGCATTTGATACCCGTGAAAGTCCAGACGTTGTGCTGAAGGATCGGTAAGTCACACACAAACTACCTCGTACATGATCTTTCCCCGCCGTTGCACACCGTCCTCCAGTCACCCTCGAGCCCCGTCAGAGCCGTTCAAGAGAACCGGACTTCTCCACAAAACTCCCAAGACTGTCACCTGGGCCGCTGACAGTACTGGAGAAGAAGTCAAACAGGAAGAGGAGAAGGGGAATCAGGAGGCGTTGCAGCAGAAGAGGCTGATGATGTTGGAGAAGGCAGGAGTCAAAGTTCTGCCTGCTGCCGTTTGCTACGGCAGGTCAGAGAGGAGGAGCATGAGAGCCGCTGCCGCTGTGGTTGGACAGTTTTTGGTCGTGTTCCCTAACGGATCATTCCGATGGTGATTTTGTTTGCGAGGTTGTCTGTGCCCGGCGCTCCATTCACACACGGGCACGGAGGGTTTTGTAACCGCTATCTGGTTGAAGCAATCTGGCTTATTAACGAGTGTGTTTGCAGATCTGACTAACAGCTCGCTGCCTTTCTGTGCTTAGGTTTGTTTAAATCATCTCAGCGGTTACTGCTAACCGGGTTTCGATGGCCATGAACTAATCCCAAATTGGTTTGGCATGTTCCTTTCTTATTAGAATATTTGTGGGCACATGTCAAATCAGAACCTCGCATGTCGCTACAAACAACAGATCGGTTCAAAAAATCTCTGACATTACTTTGCCGCCCCGTTCGCTCTCCAACCCCAGCCCTTCCACACCGGAGGGACAGGAAGTGAGGCCGCCGTCCCCGAACATCATCCTTCGCTGCGAAAATGACTTTTTAAGCTCCCAGAAATCGGCGTGGGACTCCTCCTCCTCGGATGTGGACGAGGAGGCCGAGGTGCGCAAAGTTCCGGATGTCCGTAGAGACGACCTGGCATCCAGGCGGGCCCACCGCGGCCCCGTCGCTCCCAAGGTGCATCAGTTTGTCCCTGCGCCCGCATGCAGCAGCAAAGACCGGGAGCGCTGGGAAGGCATTAGACGATCCTCGCAGCAAAAGGAGAAGGAGATCAGGTTAGCCGCCGGTGGTTTGAGTGTGTTGCCGCTTTTTTTTTTTTTCCTTCCTACCATTTGCTCTCAAACTTACGGCTAAATATTCTCTCACATTCTCCATTCTCTCTTTTTATTTCTTTTCTTTGGGTGTTGTGGTCACTTGTGGTTTGACGTGTGCTTGCTTCACTTCCACCACGTGGCGCGTACCGGCTCTGTGAATGGACAGTGGGAAAGACGCGGTGCCTGACATCACCACACGCAGGGACAACCCCTTCCTAAACTCGGCGTCTCGCCTTGAGGACGAGGAGGATGGGGAGGAAGAGGGAGGAGAGGGGAAAGCTAAGGCCACGCCGAACAAGCAGAAGGATGACTTGGCCCGTAGGCGGGGTCAGAGTAAGCCCCTCCCTCAAAGGGACGGGCCGGCGAGCTTGGTTTCTGCCTCCATGAGCGAGGCAGATATGCAGAAGTGGCAAAGACTCAAGATGACTGAACCAAGGTGCCCGACACGCTCACTCCGCTCCAGCACACACGCAGCACAGAGCTCCTAAATGCAGCAGTATGTCCAGTGCGTGGTTTCGTAACGTGTGTGTGCGCTTCCAGGCCGAGTTCCAGGCTTAAGCAGATCATTGGAGGCAGAAGAGGATCTTTAATCCGTAGAGACTTTTGTATGATGTCATAACAGCGAATTAAGCTCACTGGATGTTTTTTTAAGCCTTATCAAACCAGTGTTGAAAACGTGTAATTCAGGTAGAATTAACTCACACTTTATCTGTAAGTCATTGCTCTCTTGATGCTACCTGTGTCAGCTATTTAAAAACGCTTCATCGCCACAACCACAGTAGCTTATTTTGTTACAGGTGAGCACAAAAAAAACAGTGTAACAGAAAACAGAGATTTTCGCGCAGACTTCAAAGTATATCAAGTTTAGTTTAGAGAGATATAAGACCTCCAAAGATACCTCCATTATGTATTTCTTTATTATTTCATCAGTTTTAGCGCTGTTAGTCTCTTGAATCCTTCTGTAATCGCCCTGATATTCCCTCAGTTCTTTACCCGCCCTTCTTTCCTCTTTTACTCCCCGTGCTCTCATTTGCCTGTTTATTCCCCACACTATTGTGCACTTCAGGCCTTTTCAGTCTTCTATGACAGGCATTGAAACAGCAGGGAATTGGCCGGTGTGTGAGAAAGTGTGTGTGTGTGACCAAAAGAGAGGCCACTGTTGGCAGTGATCACTGCTTCTGCTTTGTTTCTCTCTCTCTCCGCGATGATGTCATTAGATAGTATAAAGAGTTTTTTGTGTTCCCAGAGTAGCCGCAGTGAACACAAAAATGTGGCTACCTAGAGTAGATAACAAGCTTGGTGTGTGTGTGTGTGTCTTAATGTACGTAGGTGTTTGAGGCACTTGACCACACAGCCGCATGCATTGTCCTCATCGGTCCATCCGCACTTCCTGTCTGAGTCATCGTTTCCACCTCATCCTTTGTCTTCACAGTTTGATCCTTTGTCTGCGTTCGCTCATGATTTTCCACCCTCTTTATTTCCCACTGCTCCGTTGCTGGCTGTTGTGTGTGCGTCTGTCTCCGTTTGTGAGATTGTATCTACAGCGAGGCTAGCCCGGCCTCTGTGTGTCAGGCTTGTCTGGAGAAAAGTTATGGGAGTCCCTTCAGCGGATCAGCAATGGCAGGACGAGGTCACTGCAAAGTTGTGACCTTTGGGGGCGTGACTGAGATCGAACAGCCAATAGACACGGTCACGTCAAGTGAAGGGGCGGAGACGGAGTTGCTAAGACGACTCCTTTCCAAGGCAACTGTAGCCATGCCTACCATTGGCCTGGGCGCCCAGCTTTCAGAGCGGGGACGCAGGTACGGATGAGGCCAAATACGAGACAAGTTAGGCTGCGATGGCTTGAATCCAAAGTTTGTTGCATAAGTGTGGACTGTATTGGGGAATAGGCAGCTCCCTTTCTGTTCCACAACTGTTTAAATAGTTTCATTTAATTGCTTGTCGATGTTGTTTGGTGAAATGTTTAACATTTCGGGGCTATTTGAATGAGTAAATACGGTTGACGCACCTCTTGGCATTTTGTCGATTTGCTTGTAGTTTTATTTGGAAACGAAGGTACACAGACACAGATACACACTGCATATGCTGTTGTGATGAGTAGAGCTTGATAAAACATCAGCTGATATTGGCTCACTCTCGGAAAATACAGTAAATTAACATTAGTGGTAAATTTACAACTCAGTAATTCATGTCTGTGGAAACCTTTTTTTCTCTCGATATATATTACCTGTTCACTTCTGAATTTGAAGTTGCAGAAAATGTCCATGAAATCGAAACATTTAATAAATGGAGGTTGTCATGTGACACTTAAGGTATTTTTTTATTTTATTTTTTTTAATTGGCTTGCTTTTTCTTTTTCTAACCTTTTTATTTATTTGTTGCAAGAATAACTCCCGATCTGTTTCCTTTAAGCTTAGCCTTCTTCTCTGCACGTTTGTGCCTGGCTTTTAAGACTACAGTATCCATCACTGTTGAGCTTCATATGGTGCTCTCACAGCCAGGTAGATGGAGCCGACCTCAACCGAACCACACCTCCGTCGTCTGACCTCCCATTCTGCACCCCTGAAACCCCGTCTACTCTCGCTGAGCCGGACGCACGTCTGGGTCAATATGAGCTGAGAAGAGACGAGGAAGATGACGAGGAAGAGGACAAGTGTCCGGATCCTCAGAAAGACGACATGATGGCGAGGAGGACAGGAGTTTTCCATAAACAAAGCAGCGCCACAGCGACTTACAACCGCTTCCTGCCCCTGCCCAGCGCCAAGCGCTGCACGCCAGGGGAGGTCGCCACCGACGCTGCTCCCAGGAACAAAAGGGACGTGCAGGCAGACAGGAGCAAGAAGCTGAACGTCAGGTGGGCGGAGATTTGTGTGTGTCGACGGTTTGAGAAGGGCATTAACACGCTCGGAGTGACTTGCATCCTCAAAGAGATCCTACAGCTTGATGTTTAGTTATTTCAACTGCGGGAGTTTCTGCCATAGAGAGGAGCGACAGCCGCCCAGCGTTCCCATGGAAACGCCTCCACTTCAGCCCGACACGACTGTGACCCGAGCAACGTCTTGCGGCGGATTGGAAAGCGAAGATGACGAGGACGAACATGATGAAAATGAGCCTGCGCCTGACCTGGAGAAGGACGACATGATGGCTCGGAGGACCGGGTCGTTCCAAAAAACAAGTTCAAATGTGCCCATCAACCGGTTCCTGCCGGTCCCTGGACAGGTTAAATATACCATCGCCCCAGTGTCGCCAATGAAGCCATTACACAACAGACCTAAATTCACAGAGAAGATGGCTAGTGGAAGGTATTTTACTGATTTTGAATGCTGAAGAGATTGTGGTGCAACTGCAACTAACAAAGCATTTTACTGGCAAAGATGAAGGCTTTATTATTTTTTACAGATCTAATGTCCTAAAGTACTGACACTATACAGCCTCTGAATGATTCATACTTGATCCTGATTCCATGCCAGCCTGTTCGAGAGCCTCCCGCTGGGCGCCTGGTGTGGTTTCATTTATATTTGAATACGAAAGCTCTGGTTGAGTTTTGCTCATATTCTTGGAGTTCTGCTTCTCATATGGTTCTCGAGGTCTGTGCTTGGTTTGGATTTATCTGGCCTTCTGGGCATTATTTTCTGCTGTTGAGATTCAACTTTGGCTTTGTTTGGCATGACTCTGGTTGTTTGGTTCTGGATGGAGTTCCTATCTTGGTATTTGAAGTGTAAATCCCTGCTTAATAATAACTGCACCAGTAATGTACAAACTGAGCATTTTTCTTAATTCTTTTCTATGAGTAATGGCAGATTAATTTAACAGGTTTTGAGATATTACAACTTTCAAAGCTTTCTTGAGACCAATACACACCAACTTAAAAGTTGGTCGTTAAAAGTAGTGATAATTGATGAATAGGCAAACTCTAGAAATGTATTACTGGTCGTACATAGCATTTAGAAATCTTATAAAAAATACTTCCAATAAAAACACATCACAGTAAGATCTACAGAAGATCCAAACTGACTGTTTGCTGTTTTAGAATATCATACATTTAGTTTTTCATGGTTTTGAGCACCACAAACACAATTCTATTCCCATTTATTGTTTTGTTTGTAGGGCAACACAGACCACATATACTGAGTCTTTTAGGAAACAGTCTTCTGTTGACTGCGAGGCGGTCCTGATTTACCCCCTGAGCTGTATTTCCTGGTAATCTCGGCCTTGTCAATGGATTTAACAGCATCGTTATCGTGGCGGCGGAACCTCAGGCTCCGCCCTCTGAAGCCCCAACCCTCTCTAAGGAGGAGGACGCAACGCACGAGGGAGGCATGACAACCCCTCACTGCTACGTCACAGACGTGACGGAGCCCCCTTCCTCTCCGCCGCTCAACCCTCCGTCACGGCCCGCGCCAGCCCGGATTTGTAAAGTGGCGGCGGAGCCGGAAAGGCCGAGTGTGCAGGAAAGGGTTGAGGGGAGAATGAAGGACGTAAACGGGGAGCCGCGAAGGAAAGCCTTCTGGCTGGATGACGATGATCTGCCTCCCATCATGTGAGATGCTCTTTTTGTGTCTTCATCAACCCCCTCCTCCTCTCAGAGTGTGACTTTGACGCGGTGAATGCTGCTGCTCATCGCCTCGCCTGCTGTCTCCTCTCATTCACTCTGTTCTGTTGTTGCTTTAGGATGAGTCGGCGTGTTGCTTTTATGTCTGAGGACACAGAGTGAGTCTTTCTGCGTGAACCTAGATGAGTTTCTGCATGACATCGATACACACACACGCGGTGCACATTTAAGTTCCAACAGTACGGACAAATAAAATGTTCATATACGACACACTAACAGCGTGCTCATTGTCACGTCTCATTACTAACTATCCTACTTTTTACTGTCACCTTTTTTTTAATGTTTGCATTCTTTTGCCTGTTTTAAATATATTTTATTGTGGTAATAATATAGTAATGTGTCCGTCTTGCCAAAATAAAAATATGTTCGTTTTGTTGGTTAAATTGCTTGTTTTTGTGTTGCTTTGTGATTGGTTTATTGTAACGGAAACATATTTTTGTTACTTTGTGGAGGTTTGGGGCAACACGTACACAGCTAATCCACTACTGAAATGGTTACTACTACTAATATCTACTAAACAAAAAGATCTGTGGTTAGTAGACTGATATTGGTTGTTTCTGTCTTACTTTTTGTTAATAATATTGTATCTTTTATCTCTAGAAATAGGCTGTAATTACTGTCAGAACATCTTTGTTTATGTCATCTATTCACTGAGGTGTCCAAAGTCAACAATGAATTCATTATAATTGATTATTTTCTGTCAAATTGGACAAAGTGAACGTGTTGGGTGTATTAATGCAGTAATCTTTTCACGGTTGTGTGTTTTTGATCCTCTCTAGGAGCGTGAGCATGAGCGACATACTCAACGAGGAGGAGGTGGAACACTTACCGCCACTGAGCCAATCCCGAAATGAGCGAATGCACGAACCGTACAACAACTTTGAGGAGGATGACGACCACTGGCAAAACGTAAGAGGCGCATGTCATTTAAACGAAGGCTCCGTTTAGATCATATAAGAAGAAATATGTTGTGTGAAATAACAGAAACATCCGGATTTAACTCTATTGACACTATAAAAGGACTTGGCCCGTTGGAAGAATCGGCGTCGCAGCGCGTCGCAGGAACTGATTAAGAAAGAAGAAGAGAGGAAGAGGATTGAGAAGAGGATGAAGGAGGAGGGAGGTGACGGCAATAAGAGGAAAAGCATTAAGACCTACAAGGAGATCGTGGAGGAGAAGTAAGGACGACATTGAGGCCCTTTGTGGTTTTGTCGAATGACACATTCTCATGACTCATTTAAAGTTGGCCAATTTTAAACCCCGACAGTATAAAATGAAATATAGAGCCGACTTCCAAATACTTTACGTTTCTCTCCTCTGCAGGGAGCGCAGAGAGGCCGAGTTGTGCGACGCCTACAGGAACGCTGCGTCTCCGGAGGAGGCCGCCATGGTTCTGCAGCGCTACGCTCTCCGCTTCACCATCAGCGACGCGACACTGGACAGTCTGAAGCTGCCCAGATCCAAACAGGACCTTCACCGGGCGGACAAGGAGCACGGGACGTCCCCCACCGCCAGTGAGACCCGGAGACCTCCGCACACGCCAGAACCGCCTGTCACAAAACCACAGAGGCACCGCAGGCCGGAAGCGAGTGAGACAAATGTGAGAGGCCAAACAAGAGCCCTCCGCTCCCGTCTCCTGCGGTCCCCCAGCGGCCGGCGGCCCGCTCACAGACTCAGAGAGTTTGCCCGCGCAGTCACTAGAACCAACGGAACCTGGATCCAAGCCGCCGCCGCCGCCGCCCACCACGCCACAAACACAGCCGACAGCGGGAGACGCTCAAACCGGAGCCAGTGGGATTGCGCCTGTGCAGCCTTCCGGCACACAGCCAGGACACGGGCTCCCCTCCCCTCCGTCTGTAGCCAGCAGACCCGTCCCCCTGCTGGCAGCCAAGCCCTACTGCCCCCCTCCTGCACACAAAGCAGTCAAGGTGAGGGGCGTGATTCCCATCAGTCACAGCAGTCGGCGTCGCCTGATACTCAGCGTTTGTTGTATTTAGGAAGCAGAAATGCATCTGCTGGTTGCTGCTCTGTTGTGGATTTAAGCTCAAATCTTTTCTGCAGCCATAGAATTTGTCTCTGAACCAGAAAGAACGACTTGCCTTCTAATCCTAACTTCTACCGTCCCACTCAGATGGATGGTTTGGTGCGAGTGAATGGAGAGGTGACGGAGGATTTATCTGTTTCCACTCCACCCACCTCTGCTCGTCAGTCACCGCCGGAGGTCAAGGACAATCCATCAAAGACGACGGAGGAAGACGTTTCCTCTGAGGAGACAGTGAAGGACGTTCCCTTAGAGAAGACACAGAAAGACGTTCCCTTAGAGAAGACAGTAAAAGACGTTCCCTTAGAGAAGACACAGGCAGACGTTCCCTTAGAGAAGACAGTGAAGGACGCTCCCTTAGAGAAGACACAGGCAGACGTTCCCTTACAGAAGACAGTAGAAGACGTTCCCTTAGAGAAGACACAGGCAGACGTTCCCTTAGACAAGACAGTAAAAGACGTTCCCTTAGAGAAGACACAGGTAGGCGTTCCCTTAGAGAAGACAGTGAAGGACGCTCCCTTAGAGAGGACACAGAAAGACGTTCCCTTAGAGAAGACAGTAAAAGACGTTCCCTTAGAGAAGACACAGGTAGACGTTCCCTTAGAGAAGACAGTGAAGGACGCTCCCTTAGAGAAGACACAGAAAGACGTTCCCTTAGAGAAGACAAAGGCAGACGTTCCCTTAGACAAGACAGTAAAAGACGTTCCCTTAGAGAAGACAGTGAAAGACGTTCCCTTAGAGAAGACAGTGAAAGACGTTCCCTTAGAGAAGACACAGGCAGACGTTCCCTTAGAGAAGACACTTGAAAATCTTTCCTCAGAGCCATTAGAACAGACAGAGAAAGACTTTCCCGCCAAACATTCGGAGAAAGATGTCCTCTCCGAACATATTCCGGCCTATCGGGAGACACTGGAGCAGACGGCGCCTCCACAGACAGAGAGGCCGACCACGTCTCTCGGCTCTGCCATCAGCTCCCTGATCGGAGGCCGAAACTGTACCATCACAACAACCATTGTGACGGAGCTCACCCACGTGGAGCCACATCAGCCGGACATCCAAATCGATGCACAGGTAACAAATGAACAGACATAAAACCCGGGTGTCTCCATTAAACAATGCACGCTTCACATTAGGGACCATTTTCAAAAGGATACAGGACGTCAGTTTAATATATTTTTCTTACCATCCAGGAAGCCGCGCTTTTTGGTCATTTTCAGTGATATGAAACCTGTAGAAATGTGAGAACATCCATCACAGTTATTGTTGTGTGATTGCCGCATGGAACAAGTGTAAACCGTTTTCAAGGATATTCCCTCCCGGTGCATCGAAGTGTTCACCTGAGACATGAGTGTCAATGGTCAGCTTGTACCACTCGAGAGCTGAGCACACGTGGGTTCTGTTAAAAAATGATGTTGTGAATTTAGCTACGCGTTGCATTAAAAAGATGCAGTTCAGCAGCTGACTCTGGACCGCTCTGCCCAATGTGTCCACTGGGAAATCTGTCTTAGACTCGGCACTGCATTATGAAAAACAATAAAAAGACATCAAAGAAAAAATAATCACGAGAAATTCAACTTGCACACGAATGTAAATGGCCATTGCACAAGTTGTACTTTTTCCGTCCTTAGTTTAAAACGGAAAGCGGAATATTTCGACGCAGGTCTGTCTTCATCTCGGAATGTTGTTCCAAAGAGGGCGGATGTTGGACATCTCGGTGCTGAGACATGAGCTCAACCTGAAATGCTGTCCCGTAGGCAGAGACGGGTGTCCTATGTAAAGTTCACTCTCACCCGGTTGATTTAAATATTGTATTTACATAAAGTGAAGCGGGCGACTCCCTGAAGAACGAAGCCTCGGTGAACAAGCGGGATTCATCTCGGATAAATATTTATAAATGGGGACGAGTTAGTTATAGATCCACAAGTCAGTTAATGTTCCACTCATTTGGTCGATTAACTCTACTTTCAGGTCATCAGTACTTCTGGCTTATCTGAGAGTCAAGTGGAGGAAAAAAAAGCTCCGGCAGCTTCATCGCCGAGCAGCATGCAGGAGTGTTCTCCCACAATCACAGGTAAAACCGAATCACGTCGCTTCGTAGAGTTCACTGCGGGATTTCTGCTGCAGACATTCTGTGTCATTTATTTCTCTTGCACAGTTAAGTTTTGGTATATTTTGTTTCCGTGTTGTTGTCCATTTCCATCTTTCTGTAAATTGCTTTGTGCGTATGTAAAGCTTCTTTGTATTCGTACACACGCTTTGCCACTAAGCGTGTGTCTTATTCTGAAATGTTTATCAATCCGTGTGTGTGTGTGTTTCTCTCTCAGCCACAGAGGGACCGGAGGAGAGCAGCGGGACTGTGAGTAACTCGCAGGAGCTCCTGCTTGTTTTTGTTTTTTTCTGTTTCTCCTTCATTCTTAGATTTGACTCTGTCCTGACCCTTTGTCTCCTGTAGTCGTTGTGGTCAAACTTGTCCCTCTCACCTTTTCCTCCTCTTCTGTCCCTTTGGTCCGTATACATGTGTGTGGGTGTGCGTGTGTGTGTGTGCGTGTCCGTCGGGTCTGGGTAGATTGAGACCCCCATGTTGAACTTGGCTAAACGTGTTAATCACTGGGTCTGGGACCCCAATGAAGAACGTAAACGCCTGGAAAGTTGGCAACAGGAGCAGGAGCGCCTCCTACAGGTACACTGGTGGAATGCCGTTTATGTGCATGGCACCATGAAAGTTAAGTGAAAAAACAAAAGGCACAGGGTGTACTTAATGCGTGTATATATATATATATATATATGTGTGTGTGTGTGCATATATGTGTGTGTCATGGGGGTGTCTTGATTGCTGCAGTCAGCGTTTGACAATGCACAATGTTTTCTCTGCAGGAGCAATACCAGAGAGAACAGCAGAAGCTGAAGCAGGAGTGGGAGAAAGCCCAGGTAGAAGTGCAGGAGGAGGAGAGGAAACACAACGAAGAGGTACAATCCCACACAGACCGACAAGCACGTGGAAACAAAAGCATCGCCTTCTGCTTTTGTGTGTCTCATCAGTTGTGTCCTCTTTTTTTTATTTGCTTGTACAACTTACAGGAGAGGAGGATCCTAGAGGAGACCGGGACGCCCTTAAGTCCATCGGGTTTGTTAAGCCAGCAGACGGGGACGACTGCACCGCCTCCAGGAAACAACGAGACCGAAAAATGTAAAGTGACTCCGCAACAAAATGGCCAAAGAACCTCCGCAGGGAGCGAGGATCAGCATGCATCCAAGCTGCACTTTTTCCAGGGTGAGATCCCGTCCGAATACACACTGTTGTGGCCACGTTTGTAATTGCACGGCTCATTCAATCTCAATCCTCTGCTATGACGGTGTATTTTATTTTACGATGTATGTTTGCAGATTGTGCATTTGATGGTGAACCTCTAAAGAAACAAGAACTGTGGAAAACGGCCTCTCTGGACCGCAACCCTCAGCTGAACCCGGAACATGTTGCTAAAAGGTCAGCAATCTGGATTCCAGGATTGTCCCATATTGCTGTGAAAATCGTTCACTTTTCCAGTTAGCAAGTAATTGATTGATTTCAGAGGCTGATCAAGTGCTCGTGTCTGATGTGACATTTCGTGGATTCCAGCTAATTTGGTAGCTAATCAGTGACATTAATGCAAAACATGTTGAGCTACAATGCTAAGCTGATGTTACAAATGGAGAAGAGTCATTACTGTCAGTTTGTGACGCCGTAGTCGAGTGTATTTGATTAGGCAATGGTGCGTTTTTTATAATTAGCGATCCAACTTTCCACTTTTAATTTGAAATGAATTAGTTGATTATTAATTTCTTAGTTTCTGACCCATTCTATCAAAGGGAAAATGTGTGTTTGCTCATAAACATGTTGAAGTGTTTCCTTATCCGTGAAAAATATTTTTAAAATGTTCAACCCACCAGGCTTTACGTATGCAGGAATAAACACATACCCTACAAACATGTTTACCGAGGTTTTGGATGTGCATTTATTCATTTCCGTTATCTTCCCCAAAGATCTGAATCACACGACGCCGTGACTAACAAACAGCAGCCCTCTCCTTCCTCACCTCAGCCTCCCTCACCCAGCAGGTAATGACTCACACACACACAATCACACAACTACAAACGTGTTTTAAAGACGTTAAGCTTATTGATTAATTCAGGGAAGGTGCTTTAATGTCCACGTTCCTGTGTGTGTGTGTGTGTGTTTAGATGTGTTAGTGGGAAGAGACTATGTTCTGGATGTTCTCAACAACTGGAAAAGGGAGCTGCCATGATCATCGATACACTGGGACTGTTTTTCCACATACAGTGTTTCAAGGTACTGTATTATTGTAAGAAACAACCAAACACTATTCAGAAAACAATAGATTTTATACACAGACGCAGCACTTGACTTTGGCATGGCGGTATTAAAGCTGTAGAAAGTTTCCAAAAGCATGTTTAAGTGACAATTATCTCCAAGGTAGCATGAATACACACATAAGACGCAGTCATGATTCTCATCAAATCATTCTCATCCTTAGTGTTTGGGAGACATGTTTGAAGCAACCCTTTTACGTGTATAATGTCGATAGTGAACTGTACGCCTCTTCCCCAGTGTGGCGTGTGTCACGGGCAGCTCGGTGACGCCACCGCCGGGACTGATGTACGAATTCGAAATGGACTGCTGAGCTGCCATGAGTGCTACATTGCATCTCGGGGTGAGACCACATGCACACACACACACTCTCATGTAGTCACGAGAGCCCCCATTGAACTGCATTACTATAGTTATTTTTCAATCACAAACACTGATGGACTAATAAACAGTTATTGAACAACCGCAATATACTGTAAGTGATGAGAGCGGACTTTTAACACCTTTCCATTTGTGTGTATGCAGGCAGAGGTCAGCCCACCACACTATGATGACCTGTGTTTGAACTGGACCCCCCCAGCCCCGCCCCTATTGTCACTTGATTGGACGAAGAAGAATTTCTTTCCCTTCTGAAATGCACAAACAGCTCTATGGTTTAGAAAGCAAAAACTGGACTAATATGTGGACTGAGTGAGCATCATCACATGCGCATACAGTACAGTGTGTGTGCTTAGTAACTGTACACATGTATACACTTTAACATTTAAATATGTGTAGCATGGATTTAATCAATAAATCAGTGTGTTTAGATCTTAGCACACCGTTACATAGCCGGTTAAGACGCTAGAATAAGGCTCAGTTCTTTCACAAGCTTAACATCTTTTGCTAAAAGCTGAACCACCATCAGTCTCAAAATCTTGATCCACTATCCTCTGCTTCCACACTGATCACATGACTGGTTCGGGTTGGATAACCTGAAGTAGCTTGACCATCATAATGCCTTACACATCATCGTCATACCTTCTCACTCTTCTTTGTGTTTTGTGTTTACAGTTTTGCATGAAAGAAGACCATATATAAGTTATTGTGGGTATTGCTCGGATGCGGTAGTGTGAGTTTGACGTACGTCGTTGCTATGATCTCAACAGCTGAACTCTAACTTTACTCTTGTATGTTGTACATCGTCATCCTGATATTTCTGAATTGTTATGTGAATCTGGTTGACTCACACAAGCTTTTTTCTTTTCAATTAATTTTACCGGAATAAGGATGCATGTTAATAGTGATATACTTGTTGTTCTTTGGGCTTTGAATATTTTTCCTTTAGAAGGTTTTAGCCATTGTTTATTCCCATAGACTGACTGCATACGAATCAGTGCCTTATGTAAAGAATGCGAGGCTGGTGTATGTCGAGGAGTAATTTCAACCTCACACGGACCTCTGGGTCTCGGCACACGTGCGGTTGTGTGTGTGCGTGTGTGTGTGTGTGTGTGTGTGTGTGTAAGAAATCATGCATGTATAGGTTTGTCAGCAATGTGTAATTTGACTTGAAGCACAGTTCCATACCAGCAAATAACATTGGAAATGGATTTCCTTATCACCTGCTGTTCTCTTCCACCCCCTTCCATGAGCTAAACCAATGACACAAAGTGATTTGCTGCTTCCCCGGGTTAATTATTCCCCAGTGTAAGGACAGTTTCACAATGTCCTATAATCTCTCCTCGCCTGCCTCTATCACAAGTGTTGCCTCCCCAGAGTCTGAGCTGAATGTCTCTGTCCTTTGTGTGTCGTTGCCTCTATGTGAAAACCTGACAGCGTCTTCATCATTTAGAGGAATAGAGCGCTCAGTCCATTGTCTTTTATAGCAAGTGTATGTTTATCAATAAAATATTTTGAATGGGATTCTTTGTCTTTTTGTTTAATTAAAATGAAGCAACTGTCCAGAGAGATGTGCATAGATTTATGCACATCATCATTTACATTTAAATGTGTAAAAGTAATTTGGATTAGTCAGAAATAGTCTTATTACACAGAAAAGTCCTGCATCAAAAGTAATTTCAACAAAATATACTTGAAGTGTAAAACGTAAAAACACTTGTTTTACATGAGAATGTTCTCCGCCCTTGCTATATACTTTTAAAAAATTACCATGTTTTTGTAAATAAAAGCCTCTAAAAATATGTATATAGTACAATATAATAGTAGTGTGTAGTATTACTCTGTAACATTGTAGAGTATAGATATTTAGCCCCATTGTAATGTAACGTAGCCTATCAAACTTTTCAAGCCCGGTCTGAATTATGATAACTGTTTATGATAAAACCTTTGTCTTATTCAGGTTATGTTAAGTTATTATTAAGCAATTAAATTGTATAAATGATATGCCTGCCCATACAAATTCAATTAAAGAAATATCGTATTGTAGGGCTACTGCAGAATTTTTTTATTTTTTATTATTACAATTAAATTACTTGATTATGTGTCACTATGTTACACTAGGAACTAAAGATCAACTCAGATCGGAAGCATAACATAAGCGGACCGGAAATGCACCAATATTATGTTCCGTTTCGTACCCGCCCCTTTTAGAGCATGTAAGCTAATGGTTGTTTGCTGTTTATTTGTCATTTATCTTAAACAACATGGAGCATCAACACAACATGGACTCAAAGGAACCCTCTCTTTACGCAGTACGTACCTGTCATTCAACGTTCGCTGGTTTCTGTATCAACAGTGCAATGTAATGTAGCACGTTAGCCTGGGTTAGCTAACGTTAGCTAGCCAGTAGGCTAAAAACAGACTGCAGCATGTCGTGTGGCTTAACTATCATGTGTTTCAAATGATCCGATAAGCCAGAATCTGTTTAGTGCAGGGGTCTCACACTCGGATCAGGTGCCGGGCCAGATGCAGCCCACTTCGATGTGGCCCGCGGGCCGGAGTTTGACACCCCTGGTTTAGTGGTTTCTCGTCTGTTTCCTGTTTTGTGAGTTTCGTGTTTGTTGTGGTCCAGATTGGATGTTAATCTTATCTAAAAAGACGTTTCAGTTTCAGGCCCAAACAAATAAGCATACAAAGAAATCTAAAAAAATAAAATGACGAGGTCCATTAATTGAACTATGAGTTAACATTTCTCTCTCCAAATCTGCAAAGAAACTAAAGTTGTCAGAAAAATGTAGTGTAGTGGTTGGGAAATACACTATTAAAACAACATTAGAAACAGACCTAGCGGTAGGTAGGAACAGGATCAAATTATTAGTATTCAGAGGCCGTCTGTGTCTTTATAGTGTGTTGTCTGTTTTATAGCCGACCAGCTCCTTGGTAGATATGTCACGAAGCACAGAGGAGGACTCTTTGGTGGACGGACCTCTGATCTCTGCTGACGTCCTCCACTCTGCCATCAGCAGGGAGTTTCAGGCCGTACCAACACCCTGCCATGCCGCCCTGCTGTCTCTGCTGCATGTATGATATATACATATATTTATTTACACAGACACACACACACACGCACGAGTGGCATAACTTTGAAAAAAAACTGCTTTGATAATCAAGTCAGTAATTCAAGGAAAATGTTCTGAAATCATTTTTCATTGCAGCCCTGTACTTGTAAATTTAACCGTTAATTTCATCAAAGAAATTTCCAAACGAACTGAGTAATGCAAAACATTTCAGTACATTTATCTAATGCATCCTCTTAAGCTGTATGTGGGCAATGCACCTTTTATTTTCAACATGTACTTATATTGAGAGTATTTATTGATCTGTGCTGTCTATCATCTCCTGTGCTCTCTCTCCTTTGTCTCAGGTTGTGTACGTGGTGTTATCAATGTGTGTGGCGCTCTTGTGTGTGTTAGAATTTGGGGAAAAGGACGTGTGCGCGAGTATTCTAGGTAACGTGCGAGGCGACAGTGTCATTGTCTTTGGGAAGGTGTGTTTGTGGGTGCTGGTGCTGCTGTTCACTGGGTGCGTGCAGCACCACCACAGCCAGGCCAGACGCAGAGGGTACCTGCGGTTCTACAGACAGACGCAGGGGCTGAAGCACCTGACGCTTACCGTGCACTCTGCAGGTACGTCGGCCGCACACATGTTGTCGGGCAACTGTGAACCCCTGCTGAACATGTAGGTGTCAATTTTCTCCACAAGATGGCAGTAAGAATTTCTGTATTTCTGTATGTTTCTGTGCAGGAAACGTTATTCTGCTGGTTGTTCTGGCTTCGCAATTATCACCGACTCTGCAAACCCAAATGCTGATCGGCATCCTGGGGGCGGAGCTCTTGTTTGCGTTGCCGTGCCTCATCTATTACACAGGTAAACTGATCTCTATTTTGGTATTAATTCTCTCTGGTGTTGCAGATTAGGGTTAGACCTTCAATGCACGTAATGGCCGGTGTAAAGAATCCAACTTCAGTTAAAAGCAAAGAATATTTTTTGATTTCGATTTTGTGGCATGACTGAAATTTTAGCTTGACTGAAATTGATACACAAAAAAAAAAAAAAAAAAAATGAACCTTGAAAGAAATAGAATTGAACTACTTAAATCACTGCGGATACATTTTTCATAGTCTAAAAACACTATTTAAGAAAATAATAAGAGTTAGAACAATAGTTTTGCTGCGCAAATGAACAGTGAATTAGCAGCAATGTCCAAAATCACAACTGAGAAAACCGCACTTCAATTAGTGATAAAGCCATCAATTCCCTTTATCCACATTTTCAATGAGGTATCTGCTGTATATTAAATTAAGTATTACATGCAAAAAGGCAACCAGGCAGGATTCTCTTCTTTATACAGACTCTCAAAGTCTGTATAAAATATTTAATGGATCAACATGGTGTGAAAATCTTCTCCAGTGTCACAGGAGCAGCATCATTTTTCTGTGGATGGTGGTAGTTATATATATATATAGAGAGAGCGAGAGAGAGAGACACACCTTGTAGATTACACACACACACACACACACACACACTACCCCCCATTCTCTATTTGAGCACATTCGCATCACAATACCCGCCCTGCCCTTTTCAGACCCGACAGCATGACAATCAACCATTGAGCTCCCTGTCCTCCCTCTGTCTCTCTCCCTCTGTCTCTCTTCCTGTGTCTCTGTCTCTGTCTCTTTCTCTCAGACGATCAGCTGACTATTTATTTCTGATACAAACACCATGCAACCATATGATCATATCCATTGTGTTTTTATACGTCTTTTGAAGTCAGGAACAAATTGGTTAAGTTGAAGTTCTGACTCGACTGTGTCGGTGTCCTGCTTGAGTCGGCTTCGGCTGCAAAAACCTACCAGAGGGTTAGAGATGGAGATTTGGCTCCATTTGATGCCTTTCTTTTCTACTATTATAATACTCAACAACATTTCTTTCTAGTTGGTCTAAACATCCCTTGGTCCAACACTTTGGTCAGAAACGGTTGGATAAATTCCAATGACTTTGTGTTCAAATGCTTATAAGATGGAGAAAAAAAAGATCCATTTGCTTCGGAAGTCAGAATTAATAAGACAGACATGCTAATAATCGGCATATTACTGCAGATTTTTCACTACTCCAGTCACCTTGTAGACTGGAGTTCGATGCTTGTTTTAAAATCAACCTTCTCATGAGACGTACACGCTTTGTAGAATCTGGAGATTCCTCCAGGTCTTAGCAGGCGTACTAGTTACGTCAGCATCGTGGCCTTTAAAGACAAAAATGATTCATTTTGCAGCCGTATGTTGTTCTGTGATACGGTGTTTACTATTAAATGTTACATTTTGTGTGATTCATAGATGTGGGAAATCCTATTTACATCTCAGCTGTTTGTATCATGACTAAATAGACTAGTTCAATCATCTTGACGAGGGCTTGATTTCTGGCCGAATTTGTAATTGTTTCAACCGCTACAGACAATTTAACAAGTCATAATTAGATGAATATTATTAGATACCATTAGAGCCGCTTTATCAGAGGATATTGATATGGAAGAATGTCTAATGAAAGGAAATCCATATTAAAGGGCTGTTTGGCAGCCGAAGGGCGCAGATTTCGAGATAGCAGAGAGAAGATAAGAGGCATTAGGGTTTAGCCTAGCCACGGGGTAGCCCTCGACCCACTCCACCCAAACACAGGGCCACGCTCACACATTGTCCCCGTGTTTACAGTGTGTGTGTGATTCAGCCTGTGGAGGAGGGGGGGGTTGGGGGGGTTCTGTGTTCGCCCGCCACATTCCTGCTCAGATCAGTGCAGTCGGGCACGACGCGAGCCGAGCGACGCCTCGCAGCGCAAACACAAGCGCGCTCACACACACACACACACACACACACACACACATTCTCCTGCTGATGCAGAGTCAAGGTGACATCAGAGAGTTCATTAGAGGGGGACGGGGGGGGACGGGGGGCTGCGAGGTGGCGACAGAGATGAAAAACCTAATTTCAGAAGAGAAGGAGAGATACAGGGCCTGCAGCAATGAAGTCCATACAGGAAGGCCTCGTTCCACTTCTCTTTGAAGTGCATGCTCATTGTGAGTGTGTGAGTGCGTTTGTGTGAGTGTGTGTGTGTGTGTGTGTGTGTGTGTGTGTGTGTGTGTGTGTGTGTGTGTCTTTGAGGTTTGCTGTATGTTTCTGCCTCTCTCATTTTAACATGAATACACTCTCCTCTATAGACCTCCATGCACATCAAAGCCACGTCTTGGCCTTCAAAGGCTAAACTTAGAAGACATCCCTCTCCGGACGTTAGTGTAAGCACTGCAGGGCGCGGGGTGAACACACACACACACACACACACACACACTGAAACACACACACTTACAGTATATGAAACTATCACAGACTCGGAAACACATACCGACAGTATATACAACTATACCCGGTCGTTTTCTCTTTTTTATATCATGTTTTTCTTTTTCTTTTTATTGCACTCCTCGTTGTGTGAGTCCAGTTGTTGACCTCCTGCACCGTGTGCAGACTAGTAGATTGTTGCATCGTGCCGTGCACCGGGCTTTGTATAAGTCTCTTCCGAACCGGCATGCTTCCGATGTCTCGCCATCTTTCCAGCTGGTATAGATTCGTCTGCCCATAACTTAAGTAACTTAAGTAATCTTCTAGTTATCTCAGAAACTTCTTCTTATATTGAGACAAATACACCGATTTCATGCGCAGGCCGACCTAATTGTTAACCGACCTCAAGCAGTACTCTTCCTCTAAAAGCAACACTACTGTAGCTGTGGACGGCTTACTTATTTGGGATTCTCTCATTTCTGCATTCATAAATAACTAATAAATGTGCGTTGCTTCTTAACCCTCAGCTTTTCCTACAGCTGCTGCATGCGACACAGACCCACGAGCAGCACTCCCCATGCAAACCGGAGACTCGCACTCCTCCTTTTTGAACTCCTTTCAACGTGCCTCGCTGCCGCTGAGAGGCGTCCGATGAGGGAGCCCTCGCCTCGCGTCGCGCTCGTCAGGCGCCGCGCTCGTCGGGGTCCATTTCCTCCCCAATTTTCTTTTGATTGTGATTCAGGCGGTGCAGAGTTGCGACGGGTGTTTGTGGCACCATCAGCTGTTAGCACCTCCGCCGGCCCGCTGTTATCACCTGGAGAGAGGTCGGGGTCTGAGCACTTGTCTGTCCGGTCGCGTGAGGGCTCGAGAGCCCCCTGACGGGGACGCGTGAAATGCGCCACGTCCTTTACGGCGCCCGCGCTCTCCCATCTGTCTGTTTATGCGTCCATCCGCCAGAGAGTCTGTCTCTGGCGTTGGCCCCATGCTGTAATACAGAGGACTCCACAGGCCCGAGGGACGACCTGAATATTCTAAGTGACCTCGTCCTAGTGACCCTCTTGCAGTTTGTGCCTTTCGTTTAGGGCATTTACAGCTTTGTTAATGGTACAAGTGAAGCCAGCGCTCTGGTCCCTGCATTCACTCTGGAAAGTTGTTTCGGTGAAATTAAGGTTGAAATGGAGTTTACATAAAACCAGAGTAACAGATATACAATTGTCAGTCTTCTAATTTACCCTGGAACGTACACGCCTTCCTTTTTTGACAAAGTTAACAGAAACAAAAACAGAAAAAGCCAGTGGAGCCAACAAAACTCATTCTATAAAATCTCTATACAATACATGCTTTTTACACGCATGATGCCCCAATGACTACACGTGCCCTGCTAACCAAGTCTCAACAAACAAACCTTTTAGAAATGGTTAAACTGATTATGCCTGGTTTTTAATTTATCTTTTTATAATACATTTATCTTGTGAATCAACTCACTAAATAATTGGGACGTTTATGCATTTTTAATGATATTTCTATGTAAGACATTTTCCATAGCACCTATTTTTTAAATAAATAAATTAATTAATGGGATAGGATTGATACGATTTGATATCAAGCTCCAGAAACGGTCGACATTTCTCAGAGAAAATACAACAATGAAGGAACAGCCCAAAAGTCCAAAATCTATTATCATAAAGTGTAAATACAAAACACGTCTAAGTAATATACGTTTCTCAAATATGTTCCTGTGAATGCTATCGTCAAAGTGTTGTCGTCCTCAGTAATGTGTGCATGCAGACATTTGTCACGTTACTTTACACGGTAAACTCTCCCAGCTTGTTATTTATTTGAGAAGCGTTTTTGTTTCTGCTTTGTCCTTTCTGGCACAAAGCTCTTCGTTTCTCTGCCTTTCTGGAATGTCTCTCTCTCTCTCACACACATACCTGCTTGCTATTGCTTTATTTACAGACAAAAACACACACACACACACATACAGATTTAGGACCTCATTATGCAGGAATGTGCAGCATTTCTTTAGATTGTGTGTGAGTGTGGCTGCTGAGATGCTGCACTGTAACAAAGTAAAGATAGAGCTCTTTAGAACCTCCCTGACAATTTCCTTTGGCTAATGACACTCGAGTCTTATCAACGCTCTTCTCTCTGCCCTCCCTCACACAGGCCTGTAACCACACACACACACACACACACATCACGGCCTTATCTGATTCAAGCAGCACTAACATCTGCCAACATATTTTCGCCGCGGCTCCTCTTGCAGCTACTGGAGACTCGACACCCACACCTTGCTGCCAACCCCGCCTCCTGTGTAAAGGTGTATGTTTAGGGTGTTAGAATTAGAGGTTTGAGTGCAGGATATGGCAGCTCATAAGGACTAAGTGCAGGATACAACAGTCCGTGTGTGTTTAGGGAGAGGGAGAGGGATGTAAAACTGTAAAAAAAAAAAAAAAAAGAAATGCGTGCAGTTTCTCACCCGAGTGATTCCTGTTTGCAGAGCGGCTCTCGCGGGCCCAGTAACGTCTGCGTGTCTTTGTGTGCGGCCCGGACAAGAAAAAAAGATGGTTCGAGGAATGTGGAAGAGAAAACTGAACAGAGCAATTTGTGTTTTGTGCTTTTAGTCCAAGTGATGCGGTTCAACCGCGAGCGAGCCGCACCAGATGTGAGCCAGGAGGAGGACTCGCTCAGCCACAGTGTCGGCAGCCTGCCGAGGGAGACCGGCTTCAGGTACGGCCGCCGAAGACGCGCTACGTTATCGGTTCTGAAAATCTCTTACTCTGGATTGACTCCAAGTAGAATTCCCATCCCGTCTTAGTGGTATTAAAGAAAGGTTTGCCCCCCTCAGTGGTGTGTTTTAAAAGTCTTCGGAGGTTAATTGAGCTGCGTGTTGTTTGTGTCACAGAGAGGGCTCCAACCTGCACGAGGTGGTGGAGAAACAGGCCGACCTGATCGAGTACTTGAAACAGCACAACACCCTGCTGAGCAAGAGGCTGCTCAACCTCTCCGCTCAGCACTGACCGCAGCCCGGCCTCCACCTCCTCCTCCTCCTCCCTGTGGGCCGGAGCCAGATCCCCTAAACGCTCCACTCTCTGGACACAAAGGAGAAAGGATGGGGGGGGGTCTGTGGGTTTGAGAGAGACGACGAGAAGCTGGAAGAAAAACACGGTATAAAAGACTAAAAGCACGGAAATCCTTGTGCACGCAAGCGAACGGGCACGAGGCGGGAGGGCTTCTCCGCGACGCACCTGAGACGGAAAGATAAAGCAACAGGAGGAGGAGGTGGGCCGTAAGTGGGGGGCAGTTAAAGAGGCAAAGTGGGAGGAGGAGCAGAGCAGTCATGGGTCACAGATCAGAGGTGAGGTTTTTTTTTTAACTTTTTTTTTTTATAACTGTAGAAACCTCCAGTGACCCGTGTATGCCACCGCTTTTTAAGAGAAACAGGAGGCGAAACCGTTTTAGATCATCTGCAGTAAGAGATGCTGGAGAGAGGTTTTAAATCGTCACGGTAACGTAATGCTGTGATTGTTGTATTTTATCTGTCCGAATGTGTAAATGCTTTGTTTGGAAGCAACTTTTTTCTTTTCAATTGTTGAGTTTGTGTATTTGTGTGATATTTAATAAACACATTTTTGTGGAACTCCAAGCGAGTGTCAACATCGGCCGGTGTGTGTGTGTGTGTGTGTGTGTGTGTCTTTCACCGCGCCACCTGCTCCGTGTTCAAATTTACCAGCAACGGGATCTGCGTTAACGGAATATTGGAGTCGCACATTTGAAGATATTTCTTGCATATTTCTTGTATCTCAAAGCCCTGTTTCCAGATTACCATCAACCCTCAAAATGGCTTCGCTTTCGTTGTGGTTTCAACACGAAACTAAAAAGAAAACACTACAATGACTTTTTAAAATGTTTTTTTATTAAAAAGGTTTTAAATGTAACTCGATAAACATTTGAAGTGCATACATAAATTATAGACACTTTGTAGGAACACCGGCCGCGCTCACTGCGACGCTTCCAGCTCTTTGGTCCGTAGCTTTGAAGTCCAACGTTAAAAAATACGAGATGAGGCTGTTGCTCCTCTTCACTCGCCGACGCAGATGGAAGGTGCTTGCAACTGGGATCCGTTTCCACCGGGATGCTAAAACACAGCATCTTTTTTCTTTTCTTTTTTTTTTTCCAGTGGGGATGAAGGCAGTTCATCGTAGCTCTGTTGCAGCTACAGACATACTTGATAGTCTTTAAATTACATTTTCATTGCGTCTCCTCCACTTTGCAATCCATGCGTCGATGCTGGGACCCGCCCGGGTGTGTTTGGGCCTCGCACTTCACATTTGCTCTCCTTAGGTCACCTCCATTCTTGTGCTTTGAACTGTGATGAAGAAAGAGGAAAAAAAATGGATTTAGCGTCCGGCGAAATATTTCAGGGTATGACAAAAACAGTTTTAAGTAGCTGTACCGGAGTCCACCCCTGTTTTCGAGCACTCCACGTGGCACTAAATCCTTCCTCTTCATCGTTAGTGAGATTTATGTCTGAGCCTTTCTCCCCCTTGCACGTCTGTCCAATGTGAACACACACCTCTGCCGCTAATCACACACACACACACCTTCCTAACTGCCACCTGCAGGCTCTGTGACCTTGTTTTGTTCCGTGTATCACACAGCTCCGCTCGTAACCTTTTTATTTTCCTTTTCCACAGAAACACATGTACGGGTGCGCACGTCTCACCTTAAGGGAAGGGCACTCTGGAGTGGAGGGGCAGGCAGCGTCTGTACGGGCAGTGGTGCCTGTGGTATCTCCGGCGGAGGTTCAGCCAGTCTGCAAAAAACGCATTTTATTTTAAGTCCTTGTGTTTCATACAAGAAATACATTCGTAGCGTACTGTAACTGCTCATCAAATGTCATTTTCAATGTAGGATTCCTTCTAAAGTTAGAATTGTGTCTGCGTTTGGCCCCCGGCCTGCAAATCACCGGACAGGCCTAATTAATCCCAAGTGGGGGTTCTCAGCCCGAGCGTTTTAGCACCCAACGTGATAAAAACAACAGCGCCTCCAGTCACCATTTTCCATGCAAGTCAAATTTTTTGGAACTAACAAAAGCCTAATTATGTCCCCAAGTTTTCCCCTGTTGACCAAAGATAAGCCCCCTTTTCATAGGTATCATTGTTCGGACCCATTTACCATCTCAAGGCGACCCCCCTCTCACCCCCCATCTCCACCTCCCCCCTCTAATAAACTGGGACACACGTGGTTTTTTTTTTTTTTTTAAACGTCCCTAATAAATCCACTTTGACTCCTGCGGTCAGCAGACTGCCAGCCAAGCCCAGGAAGAGATAAACTGCCAGATGACTTTATGACTCCCTCTTCCTCCCTCCCTCCCTCTGAAAGAAACTGCTCCCCACGCCCCGAAGGCAGGCTTCTTTACACTTGGCACTGCTCCTCCATGTCATGTTAATAAAGCCCGGGCTATTTGCATGGCGTTTTTTAACACCGCGATTAACAAAAGCGCGCCGGAGTGCCTCCGAGCGGCGGACAAAGGGGCTCCCCGAAGGCCGCCGCTGTGCGATCCCCGGCGGCGCTCCGCTCCCGTCCCCTCCCTCTTCCTCCCTTCATCCTCCTCCTCCTCCTCCTCGTAGGCACATGAACCCAATGATGACGACCCCCCAAACCCTCCGTAAAAAAAAAAAAACATATGCTGTGGAACCGGGCCGCAGATAACCAGCGCTAAGTCTTGATTTTCTCCAGTTAGCAATGAAAACAATATTAAAAATTATAGAGTTAAAATTACGTTTAAAACCCGTAAACAAAATTAATTAATTAAATTAATTAAAAGTAATTTTATTTATTTTTTTACAGGTAAAAACTCATTTTCACCTTGTTTTAAATTCTTAAAATAAACGTTAAAAAAAGTAACTTGACTACAACTGGCGTCGCGCCGCATACGGAGTTCGTACGCTCGCTAACGACACGGTGATTTACGGCACATCGGGTTTTATTCCCACTTCGGCCCACGTTGTATCACTACAGCGGCAAAAGGAGCCGATGTTATTAGAGTATTATCATCATAATAGCGTTGTGGGTAATAGGTAATAAGTTCTAAGCTAAACCTTTTGACCCCGCGACAATTAAAGCAGTTAACCGTCACGATAATTTAGCTAGCAAGAAGCAATTTCTGTGGTTACAGTTCATCGCGCGGTGTGTGAACAAGACCGCTGTTTAAAACCTCTGACCCGGAGGGGGGGGGGGCAATTATTTAAACTGCCCCCGTGTTAACGGACACCTGCTGGAGCACCTGGACGGGTGGATGCTTACCTGGCCGGACGGAGGAGACCGACGCTACGAAGGCCACGAGCAGCAGCAGCAGGTAGAGCAGGTCGAAGATCCTCATGGCTGCGGTTGAAGAAGAAGAAGAAGAAGAAGAAGGTGGTGGTGTGTGGGTGTGTTTCACCCCCCCACACACACAAAAAACGCCTGGAGAGTGACCCGGTGACCCTGATCGGGACCGGCGGTGCTGAGCAGCGTGTTCCTGGTTCTCCTCCTGCTGTGTCTCAGTCCAGATGGCCCACCGAGGGAGGATCCAGAGTCCGGCGAGACCGCTTCTCCTGCAGGATGATAAGTAGGTTTCCCCCCGGAGGAATGCGCGGGTTCAACGTGTGTGTGTCCGTGCGTGCGTGTGGGTCCAGTGAGAGTGAGATTGTCTTTATGTTTCAGAGCAAAGTGGCAAAGATGTGTCTCCCCCCTCCGCCTTTATACTGCCCTTTTTTTTTTTCGGAGGGAGGTGGGGTATTGGGGAGGGGGTGTAGCCCCCACGTCAACCCCTGACACACACACCCACCCACACACACAGACCTCAGCATTGCACGTATTGACCCCACATGTAGAGGTTAATTTAAATGACAGGAAGCCCCCTCCGCACCCTCCGACTGCCCCCACCCCCCCTCACCCTCCTGAACACAGACCCTCTTGCACGCAAGACGTGCACGTGAGCGTTTCGGAACTTACTTTTATCACTCAGAAGTTTTAAAAGTAGCCGAGAGGAAAGGGCCAGGTCCCTCCCTCCTCAGCGGCCCCCCCGCGCTCACATTTGGGGCTTTTTGGGTGGATGCGTGGTATAGGTGGTGGAGAAAGGGGGTGTGGGGAGGGGGGTGTTTGCATCGAGCATTTCGGAGCCGGGGGTCCTGACTGAATGAAATGCAGCGCTGCATCGTACTAACGACACTCTAAAGGAGTCATGGCCGTCTTCTCAGGTTGCCATCTGCTGTCTCTCGGTCTGTCTGTCTGTCTGTCTGTCTGTCTGTCTGTCTGTGGGGGGGGGGGGTGTGGCGTCTTCTCATTAGTACATGTATCAACAGTTTTGGCACTGACAGAAATACGTCTGTATCAAAAAATGATCAAATGCATGATGGGATTCTCGTCTGCATCCTTTTGTTTTTCGACCAACTGATTTCATCTGCAAAATGTATCCAAAAAAATGAACGGGTTCCAAAGCTGTGCACCGGGGATTGAACCCCTCCACGCCACTCGAGCCTCCTCTTCCTCCTCCTCCACCCGCGGGGCTGTCAGTGGGCCGGGGATTTTCCCTCAGGTGGACCACACGTCACTGGGCATTTAGCTCTGGGGTGACTTCTGCAAAGCTGCGGGGACTCATTAGCGTGTCTGCTCGCGGGCCGTCTCTGCGGACTGAGACTCCCCATTCAGCGGCGGGCTAATGAATTAACACATTAAGATGAAATGTCAGCCATTACATGTGAATGAGGATTAGAAGAAGCAGCAGGACGCTAATGGACCAGCGGCTCAAAATACTCCCAGAGACTTTGAACAAGCATCTGCACCCTCAGCTTTCTTCAGGCCTCAAAAACAGAAAATCACAAAAGAGGCCAAGAGTCTTGAGTTTGTGTTTTCGTTAGCAGTCTGTGTGTGTGTGTGTTTGTCTGTCGTTACGTCTTTGGACATTTTGCCTTTTATTGCTTTATGGTGTTTGCAAAAATGTTGCTTGGGTTTGGTTAACGTACACACACACACACACACCCTCGCGTACGCACTCATTCATCCCGCTGCAGACAATCAGCGGAGGTATGTAGTTCGTTTCTGTGGGCGAGCTGCGCTTTGCATCGGCTGCCATTGTCTTTTAAAAAACTTTTATTTTCCCTGTTTGAATATGGTAATTTAGTTTCAATTGTCATTCAGAGCCGCCTGGCATCCACTTCACCAAACTGCAGCCACACTCGGCTTCTCCCGGCTTCGGCCCCCGGAGACAGAAAGCAGTGAATGGTCACCCCACTCTCTCCCCACCGGGTTTTCTGTCTGACCAAGGAAAGCGTGTTGTAATATTTGCTCTTCCTGGGGATTATACGTCTTTACAGGGATTACCCGGCCTGCTCAAACACCCCCCTACGAGGGAAGCACGCACACACACACACACACACACACACACACACACGGAGGGCAACCCTGCGGCCTCGGTACCTTGGCAGAGCTGCACAGATGAACCACGTCCCCCCCCCGACAAAGGTTACTCTTTGGTGTGTGTGATTAGAAGCGTTGGGTACTGGACTTCAGTACCGACCCGAAGGTGTTCACTTAAATAACACATTTAATCTCATAACATCCACATTGTGCCAAATCGCACAAATTTATCAGAGCCCAAGACGTCTTCGGCCGTCGTGTTTTGTCCCGTAGGCTAAAATCAGAGTCTTGAGTACTGAAAGGTGTCCTTGTTAAAAGGTTGAATTTACATATTCTTGAGCTGTGTGGAAATTCATATATATTCAATGTTGGACAATTTCTTTTACCAACATTCATAAAATATAAAACCATATTGAGAACCTCTGAATATACAGTAGTTAAAAAGCGCCATCTTTAAATTTGCTTGAAAATTGAAACTATTACAACCATTTTATTTTTACCAATTTTCTGAACCTGTTTATTTAATTAATAATTAATTTATGGAGCTTTATAGAACTACTATTAATCCTCATTCAGATAAATAAACCCAAACTAAACTGTTGTACCAGCAGTACAATGTTTCATCATACCCAATTATAGCCGCAGTATTAATCCGACACCTTTAGTGGTCAGTTAAAGTCGACAATGCATAGTGTGTAACTGGGGAAAGCGTCTGCAGAGTATCCGTCGTCGCTCCTGCTCAGTGACTGCCATCTTTACGACGTCGGAGGAAGCTCCAGCCTCTCCTCCCCTCCTCGAATTTCACTTTCCTCTTTCCTCTTCGCCCCGTCTCCTGTCCAGGTCACGCAGATAAAGAGCTTCCTCTCCGATAAAACACGGTTTCTCCGCCGCTGGGACGAGCGCTGCGCTTAAAGGTGACCGATTAAAGAGAGATAACTGCGTAAAGTGTCCTAGTGTGTGACCCCACGAGGCCCCCACACGGACTCCACAGGACACGGGATTTAATAAGCAGCATGTTGGGTTGAGCAATATTACAAGGCCATAAGGCACAGAATGATATTGTGGTCGTCTGTCCCCTTTGGACGCCACTGGTTTTATTAGACCTTTGCGGCGAGTAGAACCGCTCTATAAAAAGTACAATTGGGACATTTAAATGTTTCATCACTGTGATGAGGAATTTGAATTTGATTCGGTCACAAACAGACGTGTCCCTACAGTCCAGACAGCTTCTCCACTGTTTTTTGGGTTGGAAAGATAACTGCAACTCAAGGGAAAATTGCAAATATTTGCTGTTTTCATTTTCTCAATTATAATCATTTCTTGCCTGCTTTCCATTGCGGCCTACTGAAGTGAATATCTGCTCTTTACAGAAAGCTGGTTGGACGATACAAGACATCTGAATGGAAATTATGAGGATTCTCTCACATTATAGTGACAAAACCGTGAATCTAATAACTGAGTAAAACCTCATCAGTTTCTAATTGATATTGTTCTTCTCATCGTAACCAATTGAAATGGCTGCAAAAATGTTTCCCCAGCTGCGTTGGCCGCTCCCTCCTCTCGGGGGAAAGTGAGACAGCAGAAAGGTTGCGTGCCGCGATGTCTTAACTTTTCCTCTCGGGCTCGGCGCTGTGTGTGTGCGTGCGTGTGCGTGTGTTTGTGTGCGCCAGGGCGGTGATTGCGATCTAATGGCTCGGATGGGTGTCCATCGTTAGAGTGATAGCAGGTCCGTTGTCATGCCGCAGAGGTCATCAGTGTTAATGAGGGACGCGGCCGGCCACAGCTTAATGACTCTTAAAACCCTTTATCTGCGATGGCCTCCATACAAAACCCAATGGACGCATATACACATGAACAGCAACGAGCAGCAATACACACGCCGGGCGTTTGGACCATCAGCACACATCTCGCAAATGAGCCGGGCGGGTTTTTTTTTCTTTCTCTCCCTTTTCTTTTTTTCTTTTTTATTCTTCTTTCTTTCTTCTCCTGCGACAATCAAAAAGATAGGATCTCACGACGGTTGATTAGCTCGCTCTTTATTCCGGAGCGCCCTCCTCCCCTCCGCCGGGCAGCTAGACGGCCGACTGCGGAGGAGTGACGGAGGGCTCAGGGGTCGAGGGGCAAACTCAACAGGGAGCAGCCTCTAAACCCCCCCCGCCCCCCAGGATGTCACCCCAATAGAGCTTCAGGGGCCAAAAGTCACTCGGTTTGTTAAATCCTCACCCAGACACGGCGGCTTCGCGGCCTCTGGAGACGTCCATGCCCTTCTCCTTCTCCTTCTCCTGTTGTTTTAATCTCAACATTCTGCAGTCGGTGCCCTCTTTCCTTCGTGTGTACCAACCGCTCGTGACGCGGCCCGTGGACTCACTGTTCTGTTACCGCCTTCGGGGGATGAATACGCTCTTTACAGACATTTATTAAAAGGCTCAACGTGACATCGCAGGAGCTCAGGGCAGCATCACGACCGTCCAGAGGCTGGTTTTATCTTGTAGATGTAGAGCGGACCAGTAGTCAGGAGGCAGGGTTTGGTTAACCCGCCCCCCCCCCTAAAAAATGGGTCATTTTCAGCTCATTTTGAGCCATTTGTGAGGAGTTGACATTCTGCAGCACAGCAGATCACGGTGGAGATCTCTGGCTTTTACTCTGTGGTTTCTGTCCGGCTTTCTTGGTGATCACTCTCTGCTTTCTGTTAAACTTCTTTGCTCCATAGACGCTTTCCTCTGAAACACAGAAGACACAATGAACATCATGCATCACTGGGGAGACCTGACACTGTGTGTGTGTGTGTGTGTGTGTGTTTGTCTGACACCAAGGGGAGGGGAGGTTGTACCTGGACGGGCTTCCGGTTCGATGCAGACCGAAGCCAGGCCGAATAGCGAGAAGATGACGAAGGCAACGATGATGAAGGTCAGCTCAAAGCCGGAGAAGGGCAGTTCCATCTACACAAGCAGCCGACACAGAGCAAGGTACCTCATGTTACGTCCTCACGTCACGATGCAGGACGCCAGGTCAGGCCGCGGCCTTAACCGTGAGAAACGCTCTTACAAACGTACACAATTTGGTGTGAGTTTATCCCGCACTGCTCAGGGTACATTTGTTTTCTGTGGAGCTCTTTGTGATAGTTACGAAGTAAAAGGTCTTGTCTGCTTTCTGTAATTCCCATTTTGTGAGGCCAGAACCTGGAAAGATCTACTTTTAATAAAACAACAGCACCTATTCTTTACAGATGAGATCCATCTTGTATATCAAAATATTTCCATTAAAACCAGAAATATATTCAAATACGAAATCAGGGTTATAGGATATAAATCTAAAAGATTGCATGTGAAGAGGATCGTTGTGCTGTTTTTTTTATTTTACATCAGTTAACTGGTGGAACTGTTCACAAATCTAAGATGTGGCCAGTAAATCGGATGTTTTTCGAATAATGTACATAAATATGCCGTTAAAATGAGCAGAACTTGTAAATTCACAGTGAAACTACTAGTTACTGCTATCTTAAATATGCTGAAATGGGTTTGGTTGTCTTCACAAACGCCAGTGTTTGTGCATTAAAACAAATTTAAAGTATGATATTGTTTACGCAGAGCTCGAGGTGCAGTACTGCGTTGCCTCCACCGGAGGGCGCCAGAGCTTTATTAAAGGTCACTCAATCGGCGTATAATGTCTCATGCTCTTCAGTTCTACGGTGCTCTTCATTGTGATGATTTTCACTCTATTAACCATCAAAACATGTCACTGTTCACAATCAAAATTTCTTGTTGTTTGTTTGCCCAGGCCAGGCACATGTTATTGCTTGAATTTTTTATTCATGATTACTTTTAGCCTAAAATGAAGAAAATACCAAATAATGTGTTTAGGCATCACAACCATGAGAAATGCACTGAGCGGTGTAATTGGAGGCATACGTAAAACAATCAGTACAAAGAGACACAGATGTTCTTGGAAACTTTGTGAACTTTAGCAAAGTAAACAAACAAGAGTATGTGAGTGAATGCATGAGTAAACATTTGTCATGAACACCAGTAAACCGGAAAGACGGACAGTTCACTGGAATCCTTAAGAGGCATCAAGTAACACATTAGCGAGTGTAATTTACGTTGGCACAATTTGCTTTTATATGAATGAATCTCAATGGACTGTGATTCACACTCTTTTCTTGCCGCTGTAAATCAGCTCATTCACACATGCGCCCCCCCCTTTTAATCCCAGGCAAGAAATTCCTGTAGATTAATTTCCTCAAAACCTTTCTCCCTGACCCAGATTTAGAAAAAAGGCCTTTCTGTAGCTGTAGACTATGAGCAGAGATGACCTTTGTTTCTTGTTGAGCAAATCCAACAAAGAGAAGGAACAAGAGACAAGTTGATAAAGCTTGTGCGACTTACCAGTAGGAAGAATTCGGAGGAAGCTATTTTCACATCTGAAGACCAAAACAAAAAGTGCTCCTCTGTGTTCTCTCTCACACACACACACACACACACGCTCTCAAAGAGAAAAGAAAGCAGGCGTGGGATTCCGTCTTTAAACGGTCTGTCGAAGCAGCCGCTTATTTATTGACTTATTTATTTTACAGTACAATCTTGGCCGCTCCTTTGCGCCACATCCTGGAAGCCAGAGTGGATCGTATGACAAGGTACACACACACACACACGTTCACAAGTCCCCCGTTCGACTTTGCCCTGGTGACTGATAACACACACTCACACGGGGCTTTCAGCCGACTCGTCCTCATCGGGACCGACAGGAAGACGGAGGCCGCTGCGGCCCTGCGGATGTTTTTCATTTTGGTGAATCTCTTCAGACGACCACTTCCTTGTTCTGTGGTTGACTCTTCTCTGTTGGACAGAAAAGAATCTTTGGGTTTGCTCGCTCTATATTTTTGACACATTGAAAGTAGGAGGAAATGACTGTTTTTATACAGTATTTTGTTATGTGGTGTATGAGTAACGTATTGGACTATTCACTGAATCATGAACGTACGTGAAAGGCAGAGGAAAGCTTCAGTAAAAGCTACAGAGTGGACCTTTGAGCTCTGATGATTTATATACATTTCTCCGTTTTATGCATAATCTATTTCATACATCGGCCTATTCTCATTGAGGCCATAGATGTTCAATGGACACTTTCAGGTGAACTTCCCTAATGTTTCTCAAATTAACAGACAGAGTATGAATGCATGGCTAAACATTTGTCATCAACACTTCCAGTTCACTGGAAAGTAACACATTAGCGAGTATAATTGGCACCATTTGCTTTTATATGAACAATAGCAATCGCAAATTATTAAAAGGCGGTGAAATAGAACAGCGTAAAAGACAAGGACACACCCGTGAAATGTTCGTGAAATGTGAGATGAAAAACAAGTGTTACGGTTGTGGTGGTGAACTTGTGTTGCAGGCACATTTAGTGTAAAATGAGTTTTAACATTCAAAAAGAGTTTGAAACAAACCACTGCCTCAGATCCATTTTTAATTCATTTCCTTATGATCCTGGAGGCTGTAGTTTTTAGTGCGGCTACTACATTAATGTATTTGTTGTTTTTAAAGTATTTTCAGCATACTATACACAGTTTATTGGTTTCATTGGAGAAAACATTATCCAATAGTATTCCATCACAGTTATATCAATAAAGGCTGACAAAAGTCCATAGATTTTTTTCAATGCAAAGTAAGTTTTTGACACATTGAGTGAATAAGGTGTGTGTGTGTGTGTGTTTGCAGTCGTACCATCGCGGCGTGAATAATCCTCGGTGAGCATCCCAGTGAGCGTGAAGAGGGCGAACACCAGGAGAGAGAACATGATCGCCAACGCCTCCACCTCGGTCAACGTAGACAACATCTGCACCCCTGCCGCTGCGAACGTTTTTTAAAACCTTAAAACCGTCCGTTTCCCCTCAAAGGTGAATCCAAAATCCCGGGACGAGACACTTACCGTTGTAACTGCAGCGGATAGACGCCGACCAGCACACTGCAGCCTCGTGATGGCACGTGTGAAGAGCAGACCAGCACTTCCCCCCCTCTCAAGTTCAAGTGAGATGAAATAAACCCTAATTATCGATGGGCCACATGTGTGGCGGCCCGCGTGAAATGTATTAATGTATTGATTTTAAGGTTTGGGGGGGGGGGGATTCGCGCAGGGTGATTTGTTCTGAGAGATTAGAAGTGCGCCCACCACAGAGTGTTTGAAGCTCGTTGCAAGAAGCCATGGGAAGCAGATGGCGCACCAGTCATTTGTGTGTGTGAAAAAAAAGGTGAGGATAGGCTAAACCTTCGTGGCACATCTTTTAAAATAACCAGGGGGAAGTTAAGTCAAAACCATCACAGACACAGACAGGAAATGGCGCAGAGGTTAAGATGTAATAATGATGTGCAAACTACATTCGTATAATGTCAATAACTGTGATGGTAGTGAAGTAGTTATACTGTGTGCAGACCGGGGGGGTGTGCAGGTATAAACAGGTATGTAGTATGTTGTATTGCATATTTACCGTGTAAACAAGTAGTGACATTATGATAAAATGTTAAGCAGAAAGGATAAATTAGTCTGCGAGGGACGAACTTCAAAACCTGGATGTTCCGGTTGCAGCGGGGATTCATTTGTCTTTGTAGTTCATTAAAAAAAAATCATCCCAATAATGCATCTCTCACCTTTTAATTAACATTAAAAACTGTCAAAGTGAAATCTCTTTCTGGAGGAATCACGGTTCTCTTGCCTCTTCGCCTCGTTCACCGGCTGCACTTTCTAGATCACCAATTGTCCAGTTATATCAAGTACAATCCTCATGACCTGAGACAGTTGCAAAGAGGATTACGCTCTCGCCACAAACACCCACACGCACGCACGCACACACACACACACAAACACCCACCCGCGCACACACACATTCTGTGAACTGGCCACACTGTGAGGAGGTTTCTCACTTCATTTCCGTTTAGTGGGCCTTCATTTCTTTTCGCTCAACGTGACAAAAATGAGGCAGCTTAATTGTTTCTCAGCAGTGTGTGTGTGTGTGTGCGTGTGTGTGTGTGTGTTGCTGCTGTCCATGTGCACATTGTGTAAGCTTATTAGCAGCAGCACTGGTCAGAGGAGGAGATTGAGGTTAGTCTAAACCCTAATCCTTATGGACCGTGTGCCTATTAACCAGCAAGCACGACAGCATCCGTGCTACGCCCACCGAGACACACACACACACACACACACACACACGCACACACACACACACACACTAACACCTCCTTGTTTACTCCTTAGCTTCACCTCAACTCTTCTCTCTCGCTCTCTCTCTCTCTCTCTCTCTCTCTCTCTCTCTCTCTCAGCAGGAGGGGGAGGAGGAGGAGGAGGAGGTGGTGCACACTGTTGGTTAGTTACCCAGTTGTCATGACGACCTCACGCCCCTCCATCTCCGGAGCTGTTCTCGCGTTGCCACGGTGAGGCCGTCCCGTCCCGACCGCGCTCCCCTCGATGATCCGGATCGGGCCGTCAAAGGAGAGCGAGAGAAGCCCGCGGATGGGCGGAGAGCGGATCGCACGCGGAGCCGCGGACCGGACGGCAAAGCGCGGCGTGGCGGGAAAGCTGTAGGCCGTTGCCTGGAAACGGCGGCATGCCAACGCAACAGATAACGGTGGTTCCCGCCAAGGAGGCGGCCGGCGGCGGCAGGAGCGCAGCCCGCTCCAAAGACAAGACGGAGGTGAGTGTGTGAGCTCCGCGCTCGGTCCTCCAGCCTCTTTTGGTCGAAAAGAACGTCTACATTGTCCGACGTTGCTTTTTAATACGGTAACGTTTCGTCCTCTGCCTTGTGCTAACCTATATGTTTTATGTCCTTTAAAAAGAAACGACGTCCACGTTTGTAAGTTTACCACCGATATTATGAATCACGTTGAAAACGGGTCTAAACGTTGCGGCATGTTACATACTTAGTCACGTTAGCAACCCGTAACACATTATTTTCCTAATTTGTATTTATTAATATCAATATAAATACAACACAACACAAATAACACTTTTCCTAAACAAAAACAGAATACAAAAATAAAATATATTTCAGGGGAAATAAACTATGGAATTAGAAGTGTAGAAAAAACATGGATTTCTCTGAATCATTGGAACTTCATTTTCAGATGCTGTGAGTCGGAAATCAGCTCCACCTCCCTCATTGTCACTTGATGATTATTTGTGTAAAAGGAAGTCAGAATGTGCAGAACACCCCTCAATTGCACATTCCCCTGGTCAACATGTATATTACATCCAAATTATTTTATTTTGTTGTTGTTATTTCCTACGACAGAAATTATTAAAATATTGAGTAGTAGTGAGCCAGGTGCAAGGCAGGATCACTGCAGGGACAACCTCCATCAGATGGAACCTCCATCAGATGGAAGCACCATCCACAGAAACCTGTGAGGAGGGAAAGCGCAAAGTTGGTGATTTGGGTTTATGATGACAGTAATAGTAAAGTGACCAATAATAGTGATAACCGCAGGAGGTGTGTTAGAACCCTCATTTATAGACGTCTCAGTACCATTGTGTGTAAAATATCCCTCTGGTCATCATCAGTCGATTTGGGCTTTAAGCTCGCTCCATCTTTAAGTCTTAATATTGTTAAGTAAATATTGTTTACTCATGACATTATAAACAAGGGAAATTTGTCATCTGCAACGTATTGCATTTTTGGAGTAGCTTTTCCAGGTATGTTACACAGTATCATACCTTATAATGTTTGCTTTAAGTATGCAGTAACTTACAATGTTTTGGCCCTCTTGTTTACAGACCACAACCTGTTGAATTCAGCCCCCATTGCTTACTAAATGTAAAGTTGGTCAGATTACAGAGATTTAAGATTCCAGCTTTGTGTCGGCTTTCGGTCTTTTCTTTGTCACTCACTCACTTCAGCAGCCTTTCATCACCGTTCCCTCACTTGATGCTTTCACCTCCCTCTTCCATAGTGTCACATCTCAGAGCATCATGTGCAGGATCAAGAATGAATCTCGGTGGTCTGTTTTGGTCGGTCACTCATTAATTGCCCGACTAAGAATCAAATGGAAACGATCCTTTAGGGATTTATTGTGCGACGACTATGGTTCAACTTGCTCACATCTGGCACAATATTCCGGGGTCATTTATTCGATGCCGTACAGCGATCACAACATCTGCATCTAAGAGCCGTAGTCGTGGCCTCGCGTGGGAACTGACATGAAGCGAGCGTGGGCTGCATTCCTTTCGATTTGTACGCATAAGCCCGAAGACAGTTTTGCACAAAACAGGAACACCTGCTCACGTTCCGTGAAAGCCACAATAATGTAGACAGACTTTTGCACGGAAACAAACCGCAACAACAAAACCACGCTAACTCACTCACAAGCCAACAGCAAACACATCACCTTCTGTAAAACGCGGCTTCATACAGGGCAGAAATGTAGTCTTCGCTCCACGCTGCATCGCCTAATCCCCCCCCGGTGGAATCATGCGCACCGGTCACGGCGGAAGTTGTCTCTGATGCATCAATAATTACCCATGAACTGTTGCGTCGGTTAATCGAGGACTGGATGTGCCGGGTCTGGTTTTTGTTGCTTGTTTTGAGGAGTAAAACCTTTACATGCATGAAAACCCAGAGTTGTGACCATAGACTTTTATTATTAGACCGTGTATTAATGGTGGAAAATATTATTGGCTTTCCAAAGTATTTCTCATCTCTATCCGTGTTAATTGTATGTGAAGAGCTGGTCTATCTGAGTGTGATTATGATAGAGATGCATCCACTGTACAGATGCTACACACACACACACACACTAGTACTTTCTGAACAGACTCTTCTGGCTTTGTCAGACAGGGAAAGTAATTGCGTTCCAGATGTGTTTCACTCAGCTTGACACAAAGACTGGAAGGAGGAGGAAATGGCCAGCTTAGCTTCTTCCAGCAACAAGATCAATGCAGTTTTTCCACACAAAATCGAATCATATGCATACCGCATACACCAGAAGTCACTATGTACTGCATACAGGGGGAAAAGCTCCTCATCTCTCCATTCTGGAATTAATTAGAATATCTGTCTGATCTGTCCTACCAAACGTTCCCGCCATGTGCCCTGTGCCCCGTACACGTCTCCATGTGGTGTAACACCCGGCGGAGGCCGCAGTGTTTGCTTTGACTCCACACAGGTCTGCTGGTTTAAACCAGGCTATCGGCAAATCCCTTGATCAGCTTACAAGATGCTGTCTTTTACTTGTCAGTGTCTCTCTTGTTTGACTGATTTGCACAGACTGTGTATGTGTATGGGTTGCTTTCTACACATACAGATACACATTTGTAGTTTCCACTGTTCTGTTTCTTCTAAGAAATGTTAAATGTCGAGGGTGACAGAAATTGACGTGGATCCTCGTGTCGCTGCCGTCGCTCTGCAGCCGCCGCTCTTATTGTCGTTGTAATCTCTGGTGCTGCCTGTCTGAATCTGAGCTGTAGTTCCCTTTTTTGTCTTCTAGTTTCAGTTGTTCCCTTTTTTGTACGTATATAGCCAAAGAGTTATTACCTTATTATCCTGGGCCATAGACATTGAAATAAATGTATTTGAAAAGCCCAAAATCACAAATCACATATCTATATATCCGGACATTAATTAGTTTTTGTTTATTTGGGAAAGTTGTTTCTTACAGCTCATTTGAACACGTCTTGCCACACTTGCATTTCAAGTTAACGCTAAAAAGAAAGTACAAAAAAAGAAAAGAATCAGCTGATAAAGTTTAGCTGCTGAATTTTGGGCACATAAAGAATCCAGCACAGCTGAGGCTGCAGGTGTTACTAAGACGAGAAATATTTAATCCCATAATGCACCTGGCCGCCAGCAGCATCACCAGTGCGGCTCGGAATGAAAGCCAACTGGAAGTGTTGTCGGAGGAAAGGTCGATTTAATTACTTGCTGCAAATACTTCTTGAGGTCTGTCTATTTTCTCGATAAATCTGATGCTTCCTAAATAGCTCTTTCCCAACAAAGTAAGAGTCAACATTCTCTGTTTAGACTCCTGCAAAGAGATTCTCCTCATTCCATTCATATGGACCGAATTATCATATTATTTAACTCACGTGAACAAGGAGACACAGCTCACAGCATTTGGGATTTCGTTATTTATATATAAAGGCAGATGACGTACATTCATTGTCTACTATAAGAAATGGTGTCTGACTTTTACGTCAATGTGACTAAATAATCAAGTATTTACTCTGTTGGGTTACCCCAAAACAGACATATCTTATGCAATAATAAATAATTCCTTAGTTAGTTTTGCACAAATGTTTTTATATCATGATTTCGATCAATAATATAACATCTATTTTGATAGAGTTTGCCATCTTGTTACTTGACCTAAAAAGAATTTGTGTGGGAAAATCATTTGGAAAGCATATGATTCTGATACCTGGGAAGGTTTTTTTTTATTTGCTGTTTATCAGAAACAATACTTGGTAAGTTGCTCCATTGCTCACTGAGACTTGTGTAAGACGCTGCAGGAATGAGTTCAAGGTCTCACGGTTTAGTTTGTGCAGCCCTAGAAAAAGTGCTATTAGTTTGCCTAAAATAGAGACGCAGTGCAGAGAGTCATCTTGGACACTTACAAGAGGACGACCAGGTAATAGGATTGAGTGGCTTTAGCTCGGGTCACGATGAAATAACACGCACACGTGGCCACGCATGATTCCTGATGCTGGATTGTAACCAATCAACAGCCGGCCAACGACGCATGACTCTGAATCAAGACGGTGACGTTTGAAGCTGCTCAGTTCAATTATTCGGTTTCAGTTGCTGAGTTAAAGCACTAGCTTGTCTTTAAATAGAAAATATTTAAAAGCAGGTTTTTTTAGTCAAAACTAATAGTACATTTCCCAAATGTTGAAGATCTGAAGATTAGCAAAGAATAGCAAATTGTAAATTGGCTTATTTGAGGAAATTGCACTTTCTTGTTTCTTGTTCTTCTGAGTTTATTGTACTTATTGTACGTCGCTTTGGATAAAAGCCTCAGCTAAATGACATGTAATGTAATGTAAAAAATGATTTCACAATGAAAATAATCTACAGCAGATCAAAGTCCAATGTTATGGATCAGATGTTCACGTGACTGCACTGGGATATTGTTTAAATGTTTCACATGGAGACAAATCACTGCTGCTACTTCCTGTTAAAGCATCACGCACTTCTCTGTGGTCTCTAATGATTTTTTTGTGTGTGTGTCCCCCCCCAGCGGAAGAAGGCCCCCCGGTCGGGGAGTCGATCCAGCAACATTTCCAAGGTAACCGCTGAATAGCAGAGCTCTTAAAGGGCCAATATCAAGGTCACAGCTCCCGGCTTTTACTCAGGCAGAATCTATTGTGCAAGAAAGATGCGCTCACGCCAGAAGTCTTATTTAACGATTGCGCACAAGGTTGTTCTAAGCACACACACACACACACACACACACACACACACACTATTAATTAAGATGACGTTAAAGGGTCAGGCGATAGCATGTTGATGGATCTACTAGCAGAAATTATAACAACTATCTAATGTACAAAACCTCTAATGTCTTCAAGAAATCCAATAATCAAGCTCACTTATTAATTAACAATACAAATCTTTATTTTGTTTTAGTCACTAGAGAGTGTGTGAAGATGTTGTGATGTTGTGATGAACTTGCAAAGAAACTCTTGAATTGAGTCTTTTTTTTTTTTTTTTTCAGGCCAGCAACTCTACAGCAGGAATAACAACAGCCTCAAGAACGTCCATCACCACGTCTTCTCAGGACATATGCAGGTGAGACAGCGGCCTCTTTCAGCCGTACCCGGAATCACATTAAAAGCTGAACAGCATCCAGGGGTCTCTCTGTGATATTCACCTGCACAGCTCCATCGTGTGGGGGACTCATTCAGTACGGTCTGCATGGCCAAACCTAACGATGCTCCCACAGGCAATCAATGAGGGGGAGATGTCTGACTGCAGAAATGGGATCCTTCGTGTTATTTATTATACCTACTGGTGGCACAGTTGCAGCTGATGGACTCAAGGCTGAAAGGATGCTGGGTTTTATGGCAGTGTGAACACGCGTGGTGTGCTGTATGTGGGTGCTTGGACCGTCATTTGTCAAATAGCATGCTCAGATCGTTCCACCTTCACCTTTTTATTCTGATTAGTCAATTTGGACGTTTTGATTTCACAATTACATTGTTTTCCCGTAAACAAGGAAGCTCAATGAATATTTAATTTAATGCGTTTCACAATCATTAGTAAAATCATGCCGAATTGAATGGATTGTATATTTAATTATTTTAGTGCTGTTTTAATTATCTTGCAGAAAGCAATTAGGTGGTTCTTTTGTTTCGTCACTCTGCGTCTTCTGCCTCTGCCTCGTTTTAACATATTCTTTAAACGTTTTTGATATCTTAGGGGACAATGAATCAACAAGAGAAGACCCATCGGTTACGATGGCTTCACATTTTGGTTTGGCGGGAAGGACAAGTCATGTCACATTATATAGAGAGCTGATATTGCTCTGCAAGTTTTGAAAATATATAAAACACGAGTATGTAACATTTCATAAGGAGAAATGTAAAAATGCCGTCAGACCTCAGGTAGTTAATACATTTAATTTACATGAATAACTTGTATAACTTTATCCATCAGAAACATCACCTCTGATCAAAGAATGACAAAATGTACCAATTGGCACCATTGAATTTCTTGACTGACACAAACATTTTGATGTCTAGAGCAACAAAATGTGCCATTTAAGTTCTACGCTGGAAAAGCTTTTCTGAAAGCAGTGTTAAGGCATTGTTCATGCCAAATGTGAACGTTCCCCATGGAATATTGACTTAATCTGCTGTACTATGTGAATGGAGGCCTCTGGAGGACTGGGTGGGGGTCGTAAGGTCAGTGGCTGCGCATCATCATGGGTTCAAATTTATTGGCAAATATTGGCAAAATTTGGTCGAGGATGAAAAACAAACGAATAACGACAATAACAACCCTGTACTGCTGTGATGTTGCTGCTCTTCCTCTTCTCCTTTTACAAATTATTATTATTGTCTCTTTTTGAAGGTTATTCTTTTGTTTCAGTTTATTTTATTTTATTTTATTTAATTATTTAATATTTCTATCTTATTATACTGTATATAATGTGTATCTTTTTATTCTATTTTCTTCCCTGTAAATACTGCTGTGATACCAAAATTTCCCTCTTGGGGGATCAATAAAGTATGAATCTATCTATCTAAAAAGACCCCCCCAAAAAACCCCAAATCATTCCATAAATCTCAGTCGGATTTAGTTCAGATCTGTTTAGTCATCACATTCATGTCTTTTCCATCTTGTTTCACCTTATCATCTCTTTGTTTGTGTGTGTGTGTGTGCATGTGTGTGTGTGTGTGTGTGTTCAGTTTGAGCCAGCTGACCCCTCTAGAAGAGGATGTTTCTGAATCGCGAAAAAACATCAAGCTGGCGCCCGCCTCCGAGATGCCCGTCCCCGGCGCCGCTCCGGACTCGTCTGCTCAGGCGCAGAAGAAGCAGGTGAAGCGCCGCCACCGGCGCAAGAGGAGCGGCTGTGCCGCCGGCGCCGCCGCCTGCGTGGAGGCCAACGGCAAACAGGAGCAGAGCGACCGCAGCCTCAGCTCGGACCGCGGCGAGCCCGGGGAGAAGAAGGAGTGCTCCGCCAAGAACCGGAGGGATCAACCGCCTCACGTCCGCTGCGCGGGGGCGCCGCGGTCCGACTCCTCCTCTGACGACGAGGCGTGGCGCCAGGCCCGCAGCTGGAGCAAAGAGAAGGCCCGTAGAGTGCGCCGCCGCAGCGGCAGCAGCCGAGAAAGGGAGGTGGCTGGCGTGGGCAGAGGAGGGGAAGACAAGGTGGAGGTGATGGAGCTGCAGTCGCTGGGCTCGGACCAGGGGAAGGAGGACCGCCCTCTGGCGGAGGACGGCGCAGGCCTCAAGAAGCGCCACAGCGGCGGGGGATCCATCAAGAGGGAGGCCGCCACTCCGCAAAGGGAAAGCCCCCACGACCGCGACAAGGAGAAGAGTCACAAGTCCGGAGAAAGCTCCTCGGTGGCGGAGGACGGCGAGGCGCTCATCACCAAGAGCTACCAGGAAAGGGGGGCGGGGGGCGGGGACATGGCCGTTCCCACACCGCAGAAACACTGCGGGGCGAACGGAGGCGCGATACGGCAGTACTCTGATGACTCCGAGATGGAGGCCTGCAGGTCAGTGGGGGTCTGGGCGCCTGGTGGAGGGAGTGTGCGCTACACAGTAACTTCGTTGGCCAGAGGGGGAAACTCTCTCTGTAAAGGATGCAGAATAAGAATAATAATCCTTGTGATAATATGCTTTTGTGTGCGTAGGATCTGCCACTGTGAGGGGGACGACGAGTGCCCGCTGATAATGCCGTGCCGTTGCACTGGGAGCCTGATTTTCGTCCACCAAACGTGTCTCAACCAGTGGATCAAATCCTCGGACACCCGCTGCTGTGAGCTCTGCAAGTTCGACTTCATCATGGAGACGAAGCTCAAACCTTTACGCAACGTATGGCCCCCGCTCCTCAGTCGACTTCACAGCGAGCTGCAAGGAACATTCAAAACAATGTTCTTCCCCCCTCCTCCCTGTCCCCCCTCCATGCATCCCCATCTCTCCGTCCTGCAGTGGGAGAAGCTAAACATGACGACGGCGGAGAGGAGGAAGATCTTCTGCTCGGTGTTGTTTCACCTGATAGCGTTGGTGTGTATGTCGTGTTCAGTCTACGTTCTGGCCAAGAGAACCGCGGAAGAGATCCGACTTGGGAAGAGCGGTGAGTATCTTCCCCCATCCTCTCTCCCTCGTTCTCGTTCTCATATACCAGAGACACACGGAGTAAAAGTGTGATGATCTGTGGCAAATTAAAGGCAATCAGAAAACAATATTCTTCACTTAAAGGTGTTGTGAGTAAGGATTAGCAAACATGTGCCAACCTTACTTTTTTTTTTTGTTTACCTTTAAGAACAAAGCCCATGAAAAATGCTCACTTACTAGAGAGACTATACCTGAGCTTTGGTTACTGATGAACTGGTTTTTAATTAATAAGCAATTTGCTTCATAAAATGAAGTGAAATAAACATCAATTCTTTTCAATTCTTATTTCATAAAATGATAGTATCTAATATCAGATTGGCCCATTGTCACCGACACAGTTTGCGTGAATGAAAAATAGAGCTGATGTTTGTTTAACACTCTTAAGTATATTGGTTGTGCAGTTCTTCTCTTATGTAATTACATCCATATGTACAGTATCACTGCCTTGCACACAGGTTTGTAACACATCCTGTCTCCTGATACGAACAGTTGGGAGCATTTAAGTGCAGCACTGTAGCGCCCCCTGTGGTCAAAAACTCCAGCGGGCACCTGTTCATCTTAACCGCCGTCTGACTCTGGTGTCGTGATGTTTGAGGATGCGTTTACTGTGTAGCCTCCCACGGTTTTCATCCTTTCTCCCCAACTAGAAAAGGGTATTTGCATATTGTTTAGTATAAACCGGTTGTGTCAAGTTCCACATATTAGATTTCATTACGAGGAGCAGAATTCGACAGTTGTCCTGGTGACTTTGAGTTTAGAAACCTGTCAGTACTTTGGTTTGTTCGTTGTTGTGTTTGTTGATGGTGTGTTGTGCTGTGATCACAGCGTAGCTGTATTATTCACTTTTTGGAGGACCTCAGATATGATAAACGTAGTGAATAAAGAGAAGACACTCTTTGATTATTTGGGGATGCACCGATCCGACTTTTCATTTCCAATACCTGAGCTTTGGGTACCGTTCGATGCAGAGGATCAATCTGATATCAGTGTCTAATTCATAAGGTGTGTGTCCTTAGCATCGACCTAGAATTCTAGAATCTAGAATACAATTAAACAACGCTTTGTGTTTTTGGAAGAAAATGTTAAAATGACATGCATTGATAAACATTTACTGGTATTCATCCTCAACATAATAAACTGACACCAACAACTTTGTAAAACCCCTTCAAAATGAACAGGCATTAATTAAAGTGTAAACCTTTTAATCCAGCAATCAATTCCAGTATGTAACACATAAAGTGTACGTCTGTGAAAATGAGTTGACTGGATCAATTGTCACGGATATCCAATCAAACTATTTGAGTGTCACATATCGAATATTGGCATCGGTACATCCCGAGTTCATTCAGAGGTCGTAGAATTTAAGGGACATTACACTCACTCTTGATTGCAGACGAGTTTCGGAGAGTTCCTCTACTGAAATACTATACGCATGAGGGTAAGCACAGTTCTGCACACGCCACCATCGTGATCCATCCCGCGCCCTGCAGTTTAAATTTAAATGTGTGCGTGTGTGTGTGTGTGCGTGAGTTTCCTCAGGTGTGCTCGAGTGGCCCTTCTGGACCAAGCTGGTCGTGGTGGCCATCAGCCTCACGGGCGGCCTCATCTTCATGTACATCCAGTGCAAAATCTACCTGCAGCTGTGGCGCCGCCTCAAGGCCTTCAACCGCATCATCACCGTGCAGAACTGCCCCGAGAAAGAACTGCACGTCCCTCAGGCCCGGAACAGCAGCCTGACCAACGGCAGGCACGAGACCGTGGAGGTCCCGGCCAGTCCGGCTCCCACCGCGGAGCCGCAGGCGGACTCGGACACGTCGGTGGAGGCCGCCGTGGCGCCGGCGCAAAACCCCGTCTGAGCCTGATCTCTTCCCCCCCACCCCCAACTCGGAAAGAATCGTGAATGAGCGCGGTGTCGCTTGGACTCGTGCGACGGTCTAGTGTTTTTCCTCTCCGCTGTGGTTACTGATCCTGAGACGCGAGAGATGATCCGATGTCCTTCATACCTCTCGGGAAAGTAACGGCAGCAGCGAGAGAAGTTTGTAAAGACTGTAGTTATGTAATATATTACGTTTTATTCCTAATATGCACTTTCTCAAACTGCACTGACGTAAGTTAAACTTGTGTACACCCTCAAGGTGCTTTTCAAGGTCTCAGTATGCTTCAAACCAGAGATGCTAACAAATAACCGTTTAACTGCTAAGATACAGAAGGTTTTAATGAGAAACGGCAGCAGTTAAAATAGATATTCAACATGCTGAAGAGGAGAGGCTTTTCAGTTGAAGGCTGATTCGACCTCACAGGCCAGACTAAGTAGCGCCGTTACGTTTGCACCACATTGTCTGATAGCTGAAGATAAAATTGTTTGATGCACCCAAATACTTACTAGCAACTACCAAGGAAGGTCTTTGGAGTCCTTCACCTCCCGGACCAGCTCACCATCAAGGAATTGATGGCTGCGTTTTGCCATCCACTCAGTAGCAGCTGTAGTCAGGAGGAACCTAAATGCAGACGCAGCTCCGTTGTCATAGAGACGTGCTTTCACCTGCAAACAGACGTGCGTCTGTTTGCAGGCATTCAGGGCGTCATTTGCACACTTGGTCAACCATTCCTTAAAGTTACCAAACACGGGGAAAGGTTGTTTTGGAAGATGATCGGACAAACAAGCTCTTAGTTTGAATCATACTGAGCCTGAGCTCCGTTTCAGGTTTTCAGACACCAAAGAGTAAACGTAAGTAGGGAAAGAGTTATTTATCTTAAGAGGAATTCTGAAAAATGTGGAGATTAATTTATTATTGTGAGTTTTTAATAATACTTCTTTGGAAATAGCAAATCTAAAATATCCCAAATATTTCTGATGTTATAACAGTTTGCAGCTTCACACAGTTGTGTTATATAACATTTGCGTGACTTTGTTCATGGTTGCCATCCATTATTAGCGTTAAATCCTTCGACAAACCGCACGGTCCGTCTAAAAAAAGGCAACTGTTGTTTACACTTGGTCACTTTTCTAAAGGCCAAATTTGGGTTCTTTATCGGTGTGACTGCCACGTCACAGTAAACGCCTGTGTCTTGTAGCCACCAGGACATTAAAGCACGCAACATCTTCAAAACCTGATTTGGTTATAGGGAGTGTTTCCATTACATACAATTCATATTTGTTTGTGCAATAAAAGAAATGAATGTAGAACCCCTTTACATGCTGGTGTGAAGTTACTGATGCAACAAGCAGACAAACTGATGCAAGTTTAGTTTCAGCATCACCTTCGGTACAATTGTGGAGCAGCAGCAGTTTCCCACAGAGACACAAAACACACTTATTTTCTTATAAAAGAGTATTTTCTCAATTGAGTAATCCAGTCTGCTGTGCTGAATCGACACACGGAGCTTTGGGCTACAGTCAAATTGCAACGTCACGCCGAAGGCAGCACCTTTTCATCCAGCTGCTCATCATCTCCCTCATCATCTTCTGCATTTTCATCCTCTTCTGCGTCTTCACGTTCATCCTCCTCTTCATTCTTTGTTTCCAGACCTTTGTTAGACACCTTACGTAGCTTCAAATTTGGAAGTTTCTTCAGATCACCAGTCCACTCGCTGACGAAATAACGGACAGACAAATGTCAAACGTGAGCAGATGGAGGTTTTTTAATCACCGCGCCAGGTCGTGACACTGGGTAATCATATTTAATATTACAATTGAGCCCAAATCATTCAGATAGGTGTCACGTGTCAATCTTTTTAATTTCTTTGAAAAAATAAATATGAATATTTGTTTAACTACGTCATTTGCGTGGTCATGTTAGTCAGATCATGGAAGCTGAATATAACTGCTACTTCTCAAATAACATAATGATAATAAAACAGCTAAATAAAAGCCAAACGTTGTACTCACCTGAATGTTTTCAGATGCTTTCCATTGATGATGTCTGGAATCTCTGCAATAAGACAACAAAGGATTGGTAAGTTATTTTCCAACACACTGAATAGTTGCACGCACAGCATATGTGTGCATTTATATCATGGATGAGGCCTCACCGAACCCGATGCCCTCATACAGCGCTCGCTCTCGCTCGATGGTCTGCTTGATGACAGCCTCTCTGGCGCCGTGGAGACGACCCTGCCGACCTTTGATCCCGTTCATCAGTTCAATCTGCTCGAGTTCCGAATCAAACCTTTGGAGGTATCTACACACACACAAGTTCACAAGACAATAAAATCTCGATATTTTGATGGCTCTCAAATTTGAAATTGCGATTGTCAAATAATTGATTATACCTTTCAACAAGGTCACAGGCTTCTTTTCTGGAGTAAGTTTTCTTTTCTGGATCCAACTGTTCCTGAAACCACAACAGCTTCTCACCTGCGATTCAAGAGACACATGTAAAAAGGAAAGTGGCGGTGTTAATGGATTTGATGCTCGCAGCCAGCGAGTGAAGCGTGAACGACACAGTGACTTACCAATGCCGTTTAGACGCGTTGCTTTGTCACTCCTCTGCCTGCAGCATCACAAAAATACAATTAAATTAAAGTGATTGACAAATGACAATGATTAAATTCAAACAGTAACTAGGTATAAACGTGCTGTATATAATGTACTGTTCTTTCCCTGACAAATGTTACTTTATGCATATACAATATGTCAATATGTATATACATATATACATACACACACGAATCCGTCTGGTATGATCACTTTTCATACAAAATAAATACACAAACACATTATAAAACATTAAATTCCTTTATAGGCTTTGCAGAAACGTTTGTTATTATTAAGGCAACTGTCTGTGAAGCATTTACTGCCTATTTTCAGTGATTTTGACCGCACGGCGAAGTCAGCCGTGCTCAAACGTTGCTAATGTTCAGATTTGATATGTTTTTGTATTGTTTTTCCACACCTATCTTTCTTTTTCAGTCGGATTTCTTCCCGGGCGAGGTAAGCAGCTTTCCTGCTGTAAGGATGAACAACCTTGTCCGCGGCTTTTCCGTTCCCTTTCTGAGGCTTCGGCTGGAAAATGCAAATAATTATAAAAGTTAAACAATCGGTGAGCTGATGACTAACACAACGTATTAATAGTAATGTGACAGAAATACGTTACAGCACACTGGGCTCACCATTTTAAAGGATTGAAAACACGCGTGGTTCTGTTGACACCCGGAACGGAAGTGCACCGGTCCGTCGTCAAACGTTGTCCGTGTGGGTGTAGGAGAAAACAAAACCGTTCCGTATTTTTGACCCGTCACAAATAAAAAATGACTAAACAGATAATTAAAGTGATCCAAAGTATTAGTTTGACTCGATGGCTAACGATTTAGTTATTTAAATGAAACCATGAACTCTGTGTGATGGAAGCGCTTCATTTGAACTCTGACATAATTAGAGATGAATCTTTCTGAGAGGACTCCCGAGAGGGAAAGCAACACACTGTTGTGATCCAACGCTGACTGAGTATATAGCCACGGGTTTCAGTCTGATTATCACCTATTTGTTTTTAATTGTGTGATAAATATTCAATGGAACGCTATGACAAATATTTGTATAACCTTTTCTTAATCTCTTTTCGCAAACAAATGCACACATTTTAGTTACGCTGCACTTGGTTGCTATACAGGAAAAAGTTTTACTTAAAAACCAGATCAGATTCATGAATAAAGATTAGAAAGTTAAATAAATCATAGACATAATGAGGCCTACAATCCCGCTACCCGTCTAATGTATCAATGATACTGGTCAGTCCAGTTAAAGCTGATACAGGGAGACTGAGACCAGTCAGGTTCCTCCAGCACCGCCGGCTTTGCTTGTTTTCTATGTCCAAACGATCAGAAATGAATCAGATCCCTGGTTTGAGTTTCACTATAATGTTCAAATCAGGAGCAACGTACTAACAACACGAGAAATTAGTTCATGGGCCCGACATTTGTATTTGTCTATTGTAGTGGACACACACACACTGACACACACCATCCACATGTAGTCTGATCAGGAGCTGTAATTCACAGTTTCAATATGCTACTTGCAATTGTGTCTTCTCCTTTCTTTTGTTCAACAGGAAATGTCACAAGCATGTGTGGGGAACTCAGATTTCTTCACATTGCCAACAAAATAAAAACAATTTAATTCTTAAAAGGAAGCAAAGAAATGTATATGTATGAATATGCAAAGTCTCAAAATTAAAGGTGCTCCTTCTGCTGAAATATTTCGCTTATGACTGATATATTATTATATATATGACGTTATTAGATTATAATACTGATGCATCTTATGCGAGAAGGCCCTGACTAAATTTAATTGACTTATTTTAATCAAGCAGCTCTTTACCAAGGTTTACACCCCTCTAAAGATTCTGAGGGATGATTATGAGTGGAGGAAGTATGAAAAAACAACAATATGCTTTAATGTTGTTCTCTAAAAATGTGAGAGAGTACCACTATTTGGTGAAACTGCAAATAACTGGGAACAGGATGACAACGTTTGGTTTTGTCAATCTATAAGCTGTGAAATATAAGCAGAGTCAAAAATACAATAATATTCCCTTGGTGGAAATACAGATTTCCATACACAATAATACTCAAGTAAATACAAATACCTCAATACTGTACTTTAGTAAAGTACTTTTCAACCACTAACAAAGCCGGTGTTTGTCCACTGAAGATAGTTAAACCCGGCTAAAATCGTATGACGCAGATAGATTGATAAATATTTCTCAAAGAGCAGCGGCAGCCATGGATACTGAAGTGACTCCTTTGTCACAGACGAGAATTACAACGCAAGAGATTCCTTTGAAAAGGATCGATCTGTCATGCGGAAACTTGCCACCACCACCACGTTCCTGCTCTCAGATGAAGTAACACACTGCAGTCTTCTCCAAGAAGCTCAACAGCCTTCATCCATAGAGAATGACCATCATATTCATTACTGGTTTTTTTAATTCTCTTTTATATCACAGAGACACTTATAACCCTAAACAAACAAGCATGCAGCACATTCACAGCTGCCTAATTGCTTAAAGCAGCAGCTCAACACATTTATAACTCTGTGAAGAGATAGCCGAACAGCCCCCCGCCCCCCCGTGAGCTCACACACAGACAGTCTGTTTTCCTTCCTTAAAGCTCTGCTCAGCTTCCCTCCCATAGGGCCGAATACCTAACCGGCAGGAATGCGTTTTCCACCGCAGCCGAGGAGCCCTCAGACTTGCGGTGACAAGCACACAGCCGATTGCATCACATCCGACTGAGTCTCAGGGTGTGTTTGTGTGTGTGAGAGGGCCCTTTTTTTTTTTTTTTTTTTTCTTTCGTCCTTTTGAATATGTTAAGGCAGAGCAGGAAGTGTGATGCTGTGACAGTAGAGAAGGAAGTGGTGACACAATGGCACCATGTTTGCTTGTGGGACTGGTAACATGAGAGGGCCTCGGATGAAGACCCCCCTGCTGCTGCTGCTGCTGCTGCTGACCACTCTGACTGGGACAGGTAGGACCTGCAGATTAGTCCAGATTACTGAGATTAGTTTCACCTGCGCTTTCCCGCCTACTGCCTGCTTTCTCTTTTTGTGCTTTACCTTCTGGGACTGTGAGAGGGCTGATTTATTAAATAGTAAGTGTCAAGTACTCGGCATAATTATCTTTGTACAATGTACACTGTTAGTATTTTTAAAAACATGTTCTTTTCCCATTCCTCTTATGTTTAAAGCAAAAGGAACTTTTTTTTTCTCACAAAGTGAAACCTTTAAGATCGTGACAGAGCTCTGTCGGGAACTAATTGCTCAACATGTTGAATATCTCCACCTACTCTGCCGTCCAGTTGGTGCATTTTGCAACAGTTGAGATTTTTCTAGCCGCAGCTTGAAAGAATTTATCCACTAAGCTGATTAAATTCCCTCACAAGAAGCTGTCTCTTAATAGAAACTCTGCACATGTTTTCCTTTTAACTTTCACTATCTCTTTCAATGATACGCTGGTGCCGTAATGTCATGAGAGGCGTTGAATTATGCCAAAATAAACATGGTGGTGGGGACACAAAAACTAGGACAGCCAAAGAGGAAACAGTTTTTAACAGAATTCTCAGGTGAGACGAGACGAGTGGAAACTAGGGCGGGACCTCTTTGTCTCAATAGGGACTATTAGTCAAGAGAGCAGCCTTAAAAAACGCTGTTATTGTACAACAAGGACAAAATGAAACAGGACAAATTACTTTGAGGAAACAGAGTGCCTCCCCTGCACAAGGCCACGTTCACGGAGAAAACGCTTTTTTAAAATCAGATATACACACACACTTTTTCATGACTCCCATTGACACAAACACGAGGTAGTTTCCTGTTAAACGACTGGTTCATTTAATGCGACTTTTGCCCTTTTCACTGGTCTGCTCAAAACCTCTTGGTTCAACGTCTTAAACGCATTTCAACCAAACTGGTCTCGTCTGCTCGAAACGACCGAGGGCTTTCTGCAAGTCAAAACTTGCGGAAAGCCTCTTTTCTTTTTCTTTTTGGAGGAGTGGAAGAAGGAGATCAGACCATCAGATAACGCTCATACTTTCATCCGAGCGGAATGAATCTCTGTGGCATCGCGTTAACGTGCCTCTTTCTCTTTTTCTGTAGCAGCACCCCAGTCTGTTCCCAACGCCACTGTAGAACCGGACTACAACCTCGAAGAGCCCCGTAAGTCCACAACAGCGTTTCATCCTCCTGGTGTGGATTCTACCCGCCGGAAGGCTTTTAGGGAAAAGATTTCAATTGTTCAGAAGAATCATCTAATCTGTCAATACTGTCGTTTTCCAGATGAAAATACCAACGCAGAAGATACTGGCTTAGGAAGCCTTGCCTCCGTTAATGGTAACTTAGTACTCGTATCATTAGATTAAATGTCACACATTCCTGCGAGAAGTAAGAGATCTAAAGGCCGCTTCCTTGCTTCTGCAGAGAGCCTCGAACCAACAGAGGGCCTCAATGTCACGGGTCGAGCCGCTGTACCGGGGAAGGAGGAGGAGGAGGAGGAGGAGGAGGAGAACAAGGAGGACGAGGAGGGTTTGAGTCCCATCATCATCCTGATCCCTGTGGTGCTGGCTGTCATTATCATCAGCACCGTTTGTGGTATTTTCATCAGCCGCAGGTGGAATCAAAAAGGGAGGAGTCAAGGTATGTCCATCACGAGGGGGAGAACTTTCATCAAATTAACAGCAATGGAGGATTTCAAATGCAAAAAATGTAAATAATGTCCCGCAAGTCATAAATCCTGTCACATAATAATAACGGAACTATAATAAAGTAACTCAGCTACTTATCAGTGGTTGCTATCAATAAAACCAAAGAATACTTATTAAGTGTTCTCAGTAAAATATGTTGTTTTGTTATAATAAAGATGAGCTGTGTTCTCTTCTCGTAGAGCTGAGAAAAGAGGATCCATATTTGGATGGGTCCAGCACAGAGAAGGTGCCAATGTAAGTATAGATTTTCTTCTTTTCTACAGGTGCAAGTTTGAAAAACCCTCCTCAGCGGCGCAAAATGATTCATTAGAATGAAAGGCTCAGTAGGCGTTCTCAATGGGGAATGCTTAGACATGGATTACCTTTAATCTGTAGTTTCCTGTTTGAGAAACATGACCTCAAAAGAGGTTCAGGTGTGGCGTGCATTCCACCGTCACAGTTATGTTGAAGTAATAGAGGGTTAACACAAGTCGTACCTTGTGAGTCTTCACTGCTACTAAGAACATCAACAAGATGTCAAACATTACAGATCGACGTCTCGATACATCGAGTTCACCAATCCGCTTTTGCCTATATTCGGGGTAAACAGGTTCTTCTTCTCTCGCTATGTTCTTATGTTCACGGCCCAAAAGCCCCTCAAATAAAGGTTAAAAATGGGTGTCGGCCTCAGAGGTGTTAATGGGAGCAATTGAGAAACAGTATTGCTCAAACAGTATCGGGGCAAAACGTAGTCAGTTCAACAAGAACAAAGGACACCAATTAACATTAACATACTGTATATATATATGGCAATTTAAAGAGACCTAATAGATATTTCTTTAAATAAAAATATTTGAGGTTGCCACTTTCTGAGTCTTTTTGCGTCTTTTAACCTTCCAGGCCCATGTTTGAAGAAGACGTGCCCTCTGTGCTTGAGCTGGACATGGAAGAGTTGGACCAATGGATGAAAAAGGATTGTAGGTATCTCTCTAAGAGTATAAAAAATACTTAAAATACAATTTAAAGGTTGTATTCACACAGAGATCTATTGAGCAATATCATAAACATGCATGTCTGGAAGCTGAATTGCACACTCCTAATCTGGACGCCATCGACCCCAGACATTTATTATTATTATTAACTCTTTTCATCAAATATATTTGTCTACACTTTTACTTTCTCAAAAGTTTATGGCTGTGCTATAGGCCTCGTTATCGTTGTTGTTGTGAAGACCTTCATTATATTATTTGTTAGACTGAAAGTGACATCGTTTGTCTCTGATGGTCCGCTCTGAGAGGAAAACTCTACGGTCAGTTGCTGTAGTTTATCCAGCAGAGGTCACTGTAGCTTTGATTGTTGGCGTCAGTTGATCACACAGTGTATCTCGTAAACAGTGTATTTTAAAGTTTGAGAGAAGAGGATATTTGAATAATGTGTCTGTTCATTGTTTTCTTTGTTGCAGGTGACCCCTCAGACGACTCCAAACTTGCATGAATCTGTTTGTGGTGAGGACATTTTTCACATTTTTAGTTTATGAACACATGCACTGCATTCAGTTTATTTTCATCATTGTCCTTCATGAGAGATATTCTGGTAAAATGCTTAAAACCCTCACTTTTTGTTGTAATATTCCTTTGACTTCTTATCCCTAAAATATATATTTATACATTTCAAAATTAGTTTCAATATTAGCTTTAATCCTGGTAATATTTTCTTTTCTTTGTTGTCTTGTAATGTTAACAACTGGTTCATTACATTCGCTATGAGCAATTATTTATCATGCAACCTCCTCCAGGTGTGAATGCAACTTGCTTCTTTATCAGAAATACACTCAAAACCGTCAAGTAAATATCTGTCACGCTATAATGCAAAAGATCCAAGGTCGACTTGGGCTGTTTCCAAAATGTGCTCTGTTATTCCCTGCCTGTGAACTGTTGTGGTTCACCAGCTGGTTTCGGTACATCAACACGAACTGTGACCCCTGCGTCATGATACCGATTTACCGCACAAACGCCCATAACACCTGCAAGTGATTAAACCAGGCATGTATTGAAGTGTGGCGCAACTTAACCCCCGCGCTGGTCTCCTTACTGGAAGCGCTGGTAAGGCAAGCTCAAGGTCTACTTGGGTGTAAAACATGTTGACTAACATCATCTATACACAGCTTCTTTTCCCCGGATTCTATTTCTGAAGCTGTGCAAGAGTTAGAGGGGACTTTCACTCAGTGGAGGCCCTCTGAACACATTGTGTACTCAGGTTACACAAGAGATGTCAGGACTAAATGGGATGTTAGCATTGCTGCGGGTGCAGGCTGCTGCAGCTTCGACCTGTTTGTCACGGCTGTGATGTTCAGACCAAATCTGCAAAAGCCTCCGACAAACAGGACACCAATTAAGTCAAAGGGCAGGGGAAAAAACACACTCTAAAATGACAAAACACTCCATCGCAGCTCATGATATTATTTAGGAGCAACCTCTCCGACTCAAACGTTCACCTCTCTCTCCCTTCTGATTTCTGCAGGTCAACAGAGGAAGCTCTCCAACACACAATCAACGACAACTTGGTTTTTCTGACCTTCTCCAGTATAATTGATGTGACGACCAGGGAACAGCATCACAACACTTAATAGACACTAGCAAACAAGAAATCATTATTGCAACCCATTCTCCCAGAAAGTATTTAGTGGACAACAATTGCAGTTACGGATGTTAGAAAGTGGCTCTTTGATCAGTGGCTTTCATGTATCGTTGTATATATCGTTTGCTTTTGTCTAAAGCTACTGAAAATAAGTGCAAGGATCAAGCTGTTACATTCACTTAAAATGCTCGTGTTGCATTTAGAGAAAATAAATAAAATAGAATATTTGTATTTTATTGGCCACAATGAAGTCCTGAAGAGAAGAGATTTCACTCGACGTTGGTCCTGCTTTCATTGTATGTCAAACCGTTGAGAAGTCACCGGTTGTGATCCACGAAAATGTGCCGTATTTTCCTGTGGAAATCAATCAGACGTGGTGAAAAGGATTAAACTTAAAGAAATCCCAGCGCTTCCCTTATCTGCCGTTAAAGGAGCACGTGGTCGCCTTAAAGCGCGTTGGGCCGACACTCCTCTCGCCTTCACCACAAAAAACGACCGCTGGTAGTTTCCGCTGATGGCTTCTCTTTCAGTTCAAAGCCTCTTTGTTGTATTACACTGTGTGACTCCCTCCAGCTGCAGGTTTTAATGGGGAAATATCCTGTTGAAGATTGCAGGCATGCATGACAGAGAAGGCCACTCCTTTTCATGGCTGTGCTGAGCCGGTTAGGAATTCTGGAGTGTGTTTTGCATGAAATTGTGTGAAAAAAGGTGTGGAGGCAAGATGCACTCATTTCTGAGTCTTTTCATGAATTATTACCCCGATGCTGAGGCAGCTTTCAGAATCACCGTAGAGTAGATAATAACTGACTGATTACTGTTTTTGTTTTCTGTTTCTGTTAGTCAGTATTTTGTCAGTATCTTGCACAATTGAGAATGCAGTATGATCAATATGAGGATACAGCATGCCAAAGGATATACTTTTCGATGAATGCCTTTTGTAAATATTTCATACGAGGCGTTTGTCTTCTTGTTCTGCTGATAAAGCTTTAAACAAAATTTCAGCAAATAAAATCTCTTGATAATCAAAATCGAAATGTTGCTTTATTTTTAGAATATCTCCTCATGTATTTGATGGATTGCCATCAAGTTTAGTAGAGACCTTCAATGGAGAATCCCATTGACATTGGTGACTCATTTATCTTTTGTATTTCGTCTCCACAAGGTGGACATTGGTGGGTTTTGAGTGCAATGACTCAACCGCTATTGGGCGGATTGACAAGAACATACAAGATACAAACATTGTAATATTAAAGTTGTATATTACATAAACGTTTGGTGATCCACATCTCAATAATTTACCTCGCTTCATAAGCAAACGCCTTCAGGAAAAACACGGTAAACATTTCACCTGCTGAACATTCCCTTCTCACTTTAGTCATCGTAAGCATGTTAGAATGTGCATGTTTTAATTTAAAGTGCCACCAAATAGCTTCTAGCAGTCGTGTCTAAAGTGTGTGTATATAAAATAACTTAGATGAATGGCACATTCCATCCAGGCACACGTGACAGTTGCTTCCTGTTTTCAGCAAGATTAGAATGAATACCTGTGCCTCACATCCGTCCCACATGTGTTTCTGTCCCGTTTCTCTGCTGCATTAAACCCCCTAATGAGTCTGCTCCTCTTTCCTCTTTGAGCTCTGTATGTGCGCTGGTTTTAAAACCAGCGGAAGGTCTGGGGGGGTAACGTCAAACAATCCATGTAGACCAATGAATACAAATGAGAAATGAGTCCCTCATTCCATTTTCTCTCCTCTCTCTCTCTCTCTCCGTCTTGGATTATTCGATCTCCAGACAGCAGTTCTGTTCGCCATCGCTCAGAACCTGCTGAATGAACGTTGACATCTTCATAATCCTCAAATAACGCGGATGAGGAAATGCTGAATTGCCGTTTACACGGGTGGATCAACCGGCCCATTAATGATCATCTAAGTGTACGAGAGTCATGGCTAAAGAATTGACTCATCATCTTTGTCATCAACTCTGAAGTGAGACCCTAACTTCAGAAAAGAACACAGCACCTCACATTCATTCATGTTTTCACACACATTGGTTCTTGCAATTCTCCTCAACAAAGAGCTACTCACCAGAACAGTGTGACCACATCCCACCTATCATCCCCTCGTCGTACCGGCTCCCAGATATTGATTTGTGATACTATTATTATATTTCAGGAGGAACTCCAGCAAGATTACTAGTTGTGGTAACTAGTAATCTCGCATAACCAGTGAAGATTACTAAAGGTGTTCCCCTTTGGTTTATATCGAACCTTTCAAGGTGCGTTGCTTGAGATGTTCGGGTAGAGGTCCTTTCTTAGTTATCCTGTAGTAAAAGTACTCATACTCAGGTCATGAATACAACATTCCCTTCAATGTTTAGTACAATCAGCATTGTTCCCACTGTGTCAGATCCTTGCTTGGCTGTTTATATTGGCAAATAAAACAGCGATGCTTCTTACTAAACATCGACGTGGAAAACAATACGCACATATAGTCTCTCACCAGGTACAATATATTACTTTCTGGTGTATGTGTGAAAGGGTGTGATGATTTATAACTTAGATTGAAGCCATGTCTTTAACGAGGAACATGGACGCGTTGCAATCCCCCAGACGGCACGTTCATAACATCATATTTTCAGTGACCTTTCGCTCTGAATTTTTTGTCGACTGAATCACACTAGAAGAGCCTGTCTCAATATATCAGTTCCATATCACAGCAGTGCTTGTTTGCTTTCAAGAGCTGTGATGTTACAGAGCATTGTCCGTCTGTCGCAATCACACGAATGGAAAACACAGCGCACACCAAGGAATGTGTGTGTGTGTGTGTGTGTGAGAGGGAGTGTGTTTGTCATTATGGGGGACTCACTTCACAATAGATTTGTGGATGTAGATTCCTGATGAGCAGCTTAAAGTGTGTGAAACTTTCCTTTGCTTCTGCGACTTCTTTTTGAAAGACAAATGTGAGGGGTCACCAAACTATTTTATTTATTATTTTTTATTTATTATTATTTATACACTATTGTGTATTTGTAGTATATATTCGTCGGGGTAGAGAGGGTGCGCTGGGAACCACAAGGTTGGTAATTTGAGTCCCGGCTGCCCCATGTCCCAAGTGTCCCTGAGCAAGACACCTAAACCCCAATTGCTCCCCGGACAAAAATGTAAAAAGCCATTGGTTAAAAATGTAATGTAAGTCGCTTTGGATAAAAGCGTCAGCTAAATGACCTGTAATGTAATATACATTTTTTATTTTTTATATACGTGTTTTTTTCATTTGCTTTAAATGCATTTTTTGTTCACTTTTTTCATCATGTTCTATATATTATTATGCTTTTACTTAAATATATATTGTAAACTGATGTAACATCATTGTGCTTATAATTACCCCTTTTTATGTACATTTGTGTGTATCTAAATGCTTAACTGTATTACTTTTTTCTTTTAAATGTAATATTTATATTTTCAAATGTAAATGTTTGTGAACCAAACATATTGCATGTGCATTGTACTTTCAATTAAGCAAGTCTTCACAAAAATATACACTTAAACATCACCCTCACATGGCTGTTATTCGGGGAGTATACCATTACGTCACTATCAAGCGCCCACGACCAAACAAAACCGCGGCATCATCACGTCGCGACAGCCATTCTCTCCAGTCGGTGGAGTCAGGAGACGAACAAACCTGGCGGTTGTCGAAGAGCCTGTGAACGGCTAATCACTCACAACTGACACGCTGTTTGGGCTCAGTGGATGTGTTTCCCCTCTCGCAATGGTCGGACGCCTTCACATGTCGCCCACTAAAAGAAGAGAGTCAAAGGGTCGACCAGCACTCGCCAGTTTGACACAGCAGCTAACGTTAGCGGTGTTTTACTAGCCAGCTAACACTACACGAACTTGGTCTGTGGAGGCTAGTTAGCCCCTCCAGCTAACGCGCTAGCGTCTGTTAGTTTGGTGCAGACACTTGACTTGCTTGCTGGTGGGAAACCAAGAAAAGACAGAAGGAGCGTTTCACCTCATCGGAGCCCGTCGTGTTCGCTCCACCGAGCTCCAGGGGATATTTCTGTTTGGATACTCCACCATAAGGAATGACCGAAGAGGCCTGCTGTCTTTATCCATCCCCACGTTTCTGAGGTAAACACATAATAAAATTACAAAGTGCAAGATCACAGCTGGGGAATCGCGTAGAAATGCACTAGTGAAGCTGGGCCCTAGCATTAGCCAGCTAACCCATAGCTCGTCCGTTAGCTGAGTTAGCATTGCTAATGCTACCCACCGTAACGCACTTCTGTTGATGTGGAGTTTGTGGGCAACTTGTGAGAAGTTAACGGTGACAGATTCGGATCACCGGGGATCGCCTCAACGCGTCGCAATAACTCACACATCCATTTAAACAATCGTACTCGTGTGTGCTCCCCCTGTCGCTTAAACTTTTGGCTGTTTGAAAACAAGCTAATAAAACTCTAGTCAAAGGCTGCAAAGTGTGATGAGTTCAAGCCGCATGCAACACGTTAACTATGCAAACTCCGGCACGATGTAATTTAGGAGCTCTGCGGTCGAGTTTTGTCTTGATAGTCAAGACTTTCTCTTAACGCCGGAGCATTTGCGCAGACCTCACTTAATAGCACAACTTTAGCAAAATCCAGATGTTCTCGTGGCCACTGGGACAATAACTGCAGTTTGGAGGCTCTTCAGAGATTTCTGCCGCTAACGTTTCGGGTCCTAATAACTAACTAATTTGACAATGCACGTGAGCAATTCCACTCTTGTGAGTAAGTGTGTGACTCATTGTTAAAACCGAGTTGTCACTCTTGGATGCTTGTGAAAACTAGTCAGTTCTTCAAAACAATGTTTTCTTGTAATAAAGTGTTGACATGTGTATGTACACATGTCAACACAGGAGATAGTGCTGGAGAGTTTGGCCCCAGTGCCTCATGTCTGAGGTTAGTGAAACATGTGGGCGTCTGTATTCGCACAGATTCAAGTCTGGAACTGTTCATTACACATTGCTGCTAAACTAGAACTTGCATAAATACCAAATAGTGTTTCGGTTTCATTCATGTTCACACCCCGATCCCCTCGTGTTTGACTGCGTGCTGTCTCTTTCGGGGTTTTTCTAAGCCAGTTAGGTTTTGATGTAAACATCCCTATGGTTAAGATGATTTACTTTCCGTAATAGGAAAAGGAATTTCACAAAAGCTTTTCAACCGTTGTTAAACCAAGGTTGGCAAATATATGAAGTCAGGTCCAATGTCACTCATTACCACAGCCAATACATTTAACCTACTACTTCCTTGTATTCGTTTTAAAGAGGATGTAGACAATTGGATTTTATTTCCTTATTTCCTTCAACACAATAAAAAAAAAAATCTGGCTTGTTTTGAGTTTGACACTGAAACGCTTCCATACTAAGAAAATTCTATGAATATATTTTAAACATATCTGTATATGACTTCAAAAAAGCTCATATACTGAGGACACTTCAACCACAGTCACCAAAAGTAAGTGCTTATTTAACTCAAAGCCAACCGAGAAGAACCATCAAATATTGATGAGTATTGAGCCCTTCAGTTCATTGCATGACGGTGTTGCTCCATCTCTGTGGTTAAGGCAATATAAAGTTAGAGCACTGATATGACAAAATCCTTTTTTTTGTGATTGTTGCTGCAAGGCCTTGGAGAGCAGGAGATGAGGAGTTTCCTAGACTTTGTTTGCGGAAAGCTTCACATTCCCACACACACACACATTCCCACACTGACTGTAGCTGACCTCAGGGCCTTCCTCAAACCATTCTCATATGGACAGTGAGATTTCCTGGCTTTGAAGCTTGTGTTGACCAAACATAAAGAGAGTATGCGTCAGATTGGTTGAGGATGTCAATAGAAGTGTGATATACGTTCCTGCAGACAGGACTGATCCAAGTTGCTACTCGCAGAACTTTTTGTCATGCTTATGTCAAGCGAATGTTTCCTGTCGGCAACCACTCAACCCTGTGAATGTTAAGCCAATTATGAAATGTAGCATTGTCCTGG